TTACATCTAGAAAGGGTAGCCCAATGAGTCACGCTGTAAAGTCCTTGGGATCACGGGGCTATTGTGTGCCATAGAAAGGCGCACACTCAAGTTGTTGATTCAAATAATAAGGCTTTTATTCTCATTGTCTGCACCCCAGACTGGATCTTTATTGAAAAGCCCACAGATTGTAAACCAGTCAAGCATGCCATTGCTTAAGCAGATGTTTCCATATAATGCCTTTGTAGTCCAGCGAAGCGCTACACCATTCATCTTCACTCACGCATGTTTTCATCATTTATAATCTACTTTCTCCAGGTCTGTTTCAAATCACTTTCCAACGAACATGACTATCAATTATTTCCTGTGTGTAATGCCGGTCGTGCTCTCCACAATGAAACAAAATTATATTTTCAGTGTGCAACTGTGCATTACACACAATGTAAAAAATATGATCATTCTTTTCATAGGTTTTGGAGAACAATTACTAGCATGGGAACAAAGGATACTTTCAATGTCCAATATCACATTGACATTATCATTGTATGGATGATTTGAGAGAGGATCATTCACAAGAGTAATGGGCTCAGTTTGGTGAAATATTATTAGCATTTACTTTTTGGTACCTTAAAGGTAAAGACCAGTATTGGAAACGCCCCAATTTCAAAAAATGAAATGGAAGCTCTTATTACCAATCATGTGAAAGAATATGTTTTGACTAATACATGATGATAAAAAATTTGCCGGGAAACCGCCTACTAATTCATATATTTGGTAAATTTGTTTCTCTCATGGTTTGTGAGAGATATAGGGTAGTCCCATTTACATCTTTCTGTGTATAGTGCTTGTAACTTTACGAAGAATGGGCCAAATTTCTTATCATTTTGATGATTCCAGAACCTTGCAGATGCTAGATGCTAGATGCTAGATGATCAACCTTTTCTGATCGATTCCACAACGTTTCTTTCACAATGCAATCGCTTGAGCATAACTGGTCTTTACCTTTAAGTAAGAGTAACATCAATATCTCATCTGTTATGAGCCAGAAGGGCGTTAACACATCATATCATTGTACACAGAGTTAAGTGTATCTGCCTTCTGGCTTCAAATAGATTATCATAACTCAGTTTCACTTTTCCTCATTCATGTGCAACAGAGAGATAATATGAAAACTGAAGGGTTCTCAAGAGACAACAGAGATTGAGTAAACAAAGAACTAAATATAGCACATGCATTTGTTTACTAATCATTTAAATTTATGCATGTTTCTCTCCCAAACCCTTGCTTACCAACTATATGATTCACCTGCTATGCGAAATGCAGCTATTTGGATGAATTTTACTTTGCATACATTATTTGTTGCTATGTCAGCCTGGGCAAGCCTCTCCCAGGCTTTTCATTCAAGAGAAGTCTTTGATCAAAACTATGCATCAAATTATTGAAACCATCAAATAGACCCATTTACTAATTCTATTCATAATTTTTTAACCAAACTTTCTCTTGACAATGATAAAGCTCGCCAGAGGCTTTCCCAACATAGAAACAACTAGAGATACCATTATTCATAGCAAGTGAATGAAATGGCTGTTAATCAGGTGTTAGGGAGAAAAAACATACATACATTGAAAGTTTGAAACATAATAGTATAACAGTCTACTACACGGGTAGGGGGGAAGGCAAGGGGCAGTCATTCAAAGAAACATAGGATTGCACATCCTCATACTTTGGAAAAACAAAATGTTCACCTGAATGTGATAATGTGATAATAAACAAAAAGTACATGTAATACAACTTTTCAAAACCCAGCATGAACTGAACAGATCGGACCTATTTGGCGCTCTTTTCCCCCCTCGACATTGCTTAAACTAGTTTCCCAGGGGTGGAAGAATTTGGAAGGTTGGCCCACATCCAAGATGTAACACAAGTTTCTGCTTACACTTCAGACACCAGCCATGCACTAGCTGCCCTCTGTATGTTTTTCACTTGTTCGGTTCGGGGGCCCCCTCGTAGCCACACCGTGGTAGGGATGCAACTCAGAGATGCACAACAAATGACTCATATCATCTCATCTTACGTTTGGAATAACATTTGACTGGATTTGGTATTGGTCTATCAAGATTCTGTATTGTTTCATCAAAGAACCAAAGAAAGACAGACTTTCCAAGCTTGTCAAGTTTGGAAATTTTCAACTGCATAATCCTCGAAGTCCTGAGGCGGATAGCAATTCAAAGGTGACTTTAAAATAGGATTTACTCTCTATAAATACACATCAATAATGAAATAATAGCACATTACCTAGATCTCTATTAACAGGTTATTAAAAATTCCTCTTTTCTGTGCACTCCTTGCACGGAGAAATGCAACAAGAGTTAACACCTCAACACTTTTTAAATTCCACAATTCTCTCACTGTTCTTTACTTTGATTTTAAACTGTTCATTTCAATTTGAAACAAATTATTAAGTAACCATGATTTCTGGTTAGCCCTCTATCACTTCAGAATATCACAATAATAACTACACATTTGATATCTTCTATCCCTATCCTCCCCTTAACCCATTAACAAATGTGACCATGCCCCCTGATTTAAACTGTTCTTGAACCAAATCAAAGGAGATTCACTGATTCAATTACAAGAAAGTAAAGCAAACAATGGCCTTATTTTATTTCCTCTTCCATGTTAATCATTGCCTTGCCACACACAGCACAGATGTCTACAAATGATATCCAACTATGTTCCCACTTCTATCAATTGCCTTTGAGAGAAAATTAGGGGCCAAAACAGGAAGTCGGGTATTAGAATCTCCCAACAGGAAAACGTAAATTCTTGTATTAACCGAGATTTGGAGAATAGCCAGTGTAATATTGTAACTCTATCACTGAGTTGCTTCATTTACACTGCAACCAAAAACCCACTTCTAGAGTGTGGTTTTTTTTAAACGCCTGCAGAAGTTTCACCAATTTTTTGTTAAATTGCAATGTAAAGGAAACTTCGCTGAAGCATGCGGGGCACCGATAAGTCCCGCATACGTGTGTAATATTCACCCCAAAATGGGTATGAGCAAACTTTGATGATTTTTCATGGGTTTTTCAGTAGTGTTAATGGTAATAAGAAAATCAATGAGTTCTCAAAAAATGTTTGTTGTCACGGTGTAAATGAACCTACTGTTGAGTAAGAAAGAAGGGCAGCATATCGGTGATAGCATTTCATATTGGAACCTTGTGCTTTTGTATTTATTTACAATAAGAAGATTAATTTGATGCAACTTGTCTCATACAAAGAAGAAGGTCAATGTCAGTTGCTATAACCTTTCATCTGAAAATATCTCAATTTTAAAAGTAACTTATCTCAAGCGCCAGAACAAAGAACGGTTTCAAGAATGATACGTGTGGCATTGCATGGGAAACCGAGACTATAAAATTTATGACTGTAAGCCATCTCACATAATAAATGCACGTAGACTTTAACTTAGACTTACATGTATCTATTACTTGTTATCTGCACGGAAATAGAATCTTAAACCAAACTGCCTACATTCAGTTGTGCCAACTTACACCTAATTTCTCTTTTAATGTTTGCAGCAAACTAAAATATACCAAAGCTTAGTAATGTCATTAACCCAACTGGCACACTGTCAAGATAATTGTTTTAATCATGGCATTCCTAAGAATGTCATATTCCATTTTAATCACTTTCCCCATCAAACTTTGTAGTTTTTAGAACAGGATTATTAACATAAAACTAGTGTGATTCATTTTAAGAATTTTACAATCACACATAAACTACATTTGAAAGAGTTTCAGTTGATAATAGTTTGGGATATTACTATTTCTTAAGGCTTTCAACACCAGGGTTAATATCACCTTTTTTTTTTAATATAAAATTAACAGAGGTTTTGTTATGCCTGAGAGGCCCACCGCAACCAAAGTAAGAGCATAAGTGTCCACCTGTATACATAATATTCTATTGTACATACTAGTAAATTCAATAAAAGAGATTTGTTGCCTATTCTGGACATTAAGTATCTACTGCAATAGCAGAAGTCTATGCCTTCACCTTTCTTAAAGGCGTTTTTTAAAATTGCCAAATCTGAGATGCATGGCCCTACGTATTATCAGCGTCTGTGATATTGTGTAGCATTGAAGCCCTGAAAAATTGCACTACAAAATGATCAAAAAGTGGCTCAAAAAAGTAAAAATCTTTGAGTGACCGGTCTTACCATACCGGTACTCATTTTCCCCAATAGACTGTTGTATCATAAAAACTGTTGGGAAAATGGTTTTTGAAATTCTGAATTACGATCATAAATATCTTGATATATCTAATAATATCTAATCTCATTAAGTGGGGAAAGTATTCCAACTCCAAGCAACCAACAAGATAATGCATGAAGACTGAATTATTCATAAGATCTTTGACACCATATAGGCACTTACTCTCACTTTCATGTACATGTACAGTGTATGTGTACATGAACAGATACATGCATCAAACTATTCATTACATAATGTGTCCAGTTGTCCACAAAAACAGAACATTATCTATATCATTCATTTTGGAATGTAGCTGAGGAGTGCTGTCAAATATCTTCAATTTTGTTTAGTAGGCCTTCCATTCTTGTATCAAATTTGTTTTGTCCTTGATGGAGATATCTATCCCATCAATCATCATTTCACATTTGCCAATGGTGGATTTACGAGCAATAAATTATCACCATCATCGGCCATCTTCAACACCATTCACTTTCATACAAAACCATCACCATCTTCCATTATTGACAGCACAACTTGGCAATTACTACAGTAGGCTACCATCTGATCCTACCAGATATTGAATTACAAAATGATGAAAGAGACACCATTTCCTCATCATGATCACCAGCTCATCATCATGATCACCATCTCATACATCATGAAACAATATGCACATTTTCCATACACAGATACATACGTGACACATTACATTACATGTCTAGCTGAAAGTGAAATAGATGCGAGAGTTTATTTTGGAATCTGACAAACCTTTCTCGACTTCTGCCAAGATCACATCGATGTAATCCTCCTCTAATGGTTCTCCAACTACCACCAGCAAGAAATGAGTCAGGGCATCAGAAAATCCAGCAGATGTGCTTGGAGGTAAGGATGCATCCTCCGAAGTAGCCATCTTATTTTCTCCTCCTCCTTGAGCAAATAGGATGATACTGCAATCTTCACTGCGATATATGTGAGAGATCAAGGATTCTTTGTGTGTATCCGGAGCGAGTATCCGACGCGAGTGCAACACACGTGTATAGCGGCTGCTCAGCTGAGCTGCAGAGCGAGAGCGACCGAAAAAGTGGGCAGGGCAAGAAGGACACAGTCTACTTTCCAGTCGTAAATGATTTTCTGCGTTATTATTTTCCCCGAACTTTCTCGCATCACTTTGAGATCGATGGTAGTGGAAAGCAGATTTTCAATCGCGCCCTCTTGTGCCTTTAGCATTACATCGTAAGAGGGAATACGAAAACTTACAAGGCTATACTCGGCATGGGATGTACCATGAAGATGTTTTTAATTACATTATTTGGCCTCGTCAAACACCCACAGAAGAAATTAACACTCGTCGGGTTAAACCATCTATTATTCAGGTTTTCTATGCAGCCTTTTTTTTGTGTAGGCAAAATTTGGTCAAGCAATAAACATTAAAAAGTGTTAAAAACTTAGAATTAAAATAAGAAAACAAACAAACAATATTGCCCCGGCTCTTTTTTTTAAATACGTGAGGGATGTTGTTCACGTGTAATTTCCTATCACCCCTATCTTCTTTCCCCTCCCCTTTTTACCTCTTTCTCTCATCCCTCTCCCTCTCTCTCTCTATCTCTCTCTCTCTCTCTCTCTCTCTCTCTCTGTGTCTCTCTCTCTCTCCTTCTCCAGTCTATTTTTTTCTTTCTCTATCTGTCTGTTTATCTTTCTATCTAATTCCCACCTACGTATTAATCTGTTTATCATCTATTTTTCCATCCATCTATCAAATTATATATTTATTTATCTATTTGTGTGCCTATTTTTAATTATATAATCTATTCAAAATATCTTCCTTTCTGCTGCTTTTAGATTCAGGTAAGGATGATGTGCTTCTGCTTCAACTAAGAAAATATTTAGCGGCGAATCAAAGAGCGGGGGGAGGGGGGGGGGATAGTGAGTACTAAAAATATTGTTTTTGTTTTGTTTTGCTCAACGGGGGGGGGGGGGGTAGTGAGCACTATTTTTTTCTTACTCAACACCCCCCCCCCCCCCCTTGAGCGAAAAAAACACAAAGGTAAAATTTTGTTAACCAGCTTTTGTTATAATTTGCAAGGGGTGGGGGCCCGGCGGCCCCCATGCTCCCACCCTGGATCCACCACTGGGCCAACATGTGTGTTTTGTATGTGTAAACAATGGTGTCTTTTTAATCTTGTATCAGTATCCATTTCCAAATGTTAGTTTAGCTACGCTGACTTCCTCTTTGCATCAAATTTCATTAAATGCCCAGGTTTCCCTCTCGGGTTGTTTGTTATCAACGACCAAGACTCCATCACTCAAGTTTGGTTTTATTCAGAGTCATTTGTGATCCCGGCTAGGACAAACTAGAAAGACTTGTGAAATGTATATTTAAATACCAGATGCATCTTGTATTCATTTTCGTAATTTCGCAATTTCGAAATTTAATTTATAGTCTTTGGAAATTGCCCCAATACGAATTATACGTGACACTCCATTGTAACAGCGTCATGCGCCACCATCCCTTTTTCGGCTGCTTTCGACTCAAGCATTCATGCTTATGATAATTGGCCGCTACATTAATTTATACAGGTTTTTTTTATATTTACCTACGTACTTCAAAGTTGTCGATTACATCTCTGTATTTTGTTTTTAGTTGTACATTTTATGCAAAACAACTAGATTTTATATCATCAATATTATTTGAATATTTAGGTTGTTAGTTTTCAATAAATGCAAAAACAGCTGCTAAAAAAATATATCATTCACCTATGTTATGAATTATTGTATCCCAAAAGTCATAATGCGAATTGCATACATTAGTTGTTGCTAGGTAGGACAAACATTATGACTTACCCTTCTTAACAACACTTAATATATGCAATTTTCATTCTTGCTGTTGAAATACAATAATTAAACATCATTAAAGTGTAATTAGAAAAACACATAATATCCTCAGATTTATCGAACAAAAGTATAGGAATAGTGCAAAAGAATGGGCACGGGACTTTAATAAGAATACTATACAGGGGGTGCTTGTGAAAATGGTACTTGCATTGAGTGCTTGGTTGAAGAAATTGCAGCAATATAAAAATGACGATTCTAACAATACAATATTTTATTGAATGACATCAAAAAGGGAAGTATACACTTAACAAATATAACCCAAATTATTTTGTGTAATGAATTAATAAAGAGAGAAAGAGACAGATAGAGAGAGAGAGAGAGAGAGAGAGAGAGAATGGGAGGGCTTGGTTGAAGAAATTGCAGCAATGCAAAAATGACGCTTCTAACAATACAATATTTTATTGACTAACATCAAAAAGGGAAGTATACACTTAACAAATATAACCCAAATGGAATTGTTTAAACAAATTAATAAAGAGAGAGAGAAAGAGAGAGAGAGAGAGAGAGAGAGAAAGAACAAAGAACACGCTTATAATCTCAAGTAAGGGCATCATAGCATTTTGTCTACATAGACTTTGGGGGATTTCGATTCTACGATACACCTTTTGCAAAGGTATGGAGGATATCGACACAAATTAATAATGTGCACATATTGTTTTATAGTATCATTTCGAGAAACCCCTAAGTAATTTCAAAATCCCCATGTAATTCTAAAAGTGTGTGCACATTGTCAAGAATCAGTGTATGAAATAATGATCTCACCCCATTAATGAAAATTTATTTGTGTATTTAGTACACTTCTTTATCAAAATAAAATACATTGTGTGTTCTTTTAGTTGGTCTAGGACATTTTTTTTCAAAGAGATATCGCTGTAATTTGTCTTTGGTTTATTACACATCAAAATGTATTTACGTAGTCATGTTGATTGAGACTATTGGTTCACCTGTTTTGATATTTGTTTTTCAATAGTGTGTATGCAGGTATAAGGTCATGTACTACCTCTGACACGGCGATAGCGTACGTAGCCAAGGGAATCATCGGGGCACATTTCACAAAGGTATAGTCCCACTAATTATGAAACGGTGCAGAAATAACAACAACAAAAATACAAGTTACAAATACTTGGTAACACTTTATCAGCTCTGTAGGGTTATAAGACTTTGCAAAAAGCATATAATTTGACTCCACCCTCGAGAAACTAAAAACCCTGCGGCTTAGTACTCTAGGCCTACCCACCCCTATCAGGCGTCTGTAGTTTAAAGCAGAACATGCATTAACATGTTTGAATGTATTATATTATTACTATATTTGAATATCCTTGAGAAGCAGAACTATTACATTTTACGAAGTTTTTAAATAGGGAAATTTTACATGAACTAATTTTAAATAATCATGTCAACTTTAGGGGCCTCATATAGGGTAAGGAAAATGCCGCACCCTCTCTCTGTGATTTCCATCTGTGAATTATCCAGGCAACATGTGAAATCTGAATCTTTATAATGTCTAGACATATTTGGCCAATATGTCGTCGTCAAATTCGTTCTAAAGAATGCGCCTCCTATGGGATATTTTAGTTTAGCTATGTTTCTTGTGAGGATACAAAAAATGTAAAATACACTGAAAGTCATATATAACCCATAACCATGATAACGTGTATTGACATACAGGTTTAGTGAATCATTACTGTCTAGACATACGTCAAGCTGTACAAACAAAGAACGAATTATAATATTACAAGTATATTTGTTTAGTATCAGTCATTATAAAAGCAATTTTTTAGTTGAAAATGAAGATACCAACAAAGTAATTAGAGGAGACACATCATTTATTTAGCTTGTTTTCTTCGTTTTAAATGGAATGAAAGTAAATCCAAATTTTGCAAGACCTAAATTTCTTATATAAAACACACTCAAACTTCCCCCAACCATATTTAAACAAACAAATTTCTATTTGCAAATATCCTTGAGGAATGTGTAGGAAATAGTTGAAGGTACGTCTTAAGTAATAAAACGAATCATATAAGCCAAAGGAAAATTCCGTTCATGCCAATAAATTAAAACGTCATCGATTTTTTTTTTCTCCAACTATTTCATTTGTCGTTTCAAAATGCATATAATTAGTCAATGTGTGCTTTTCTCGGTCGTCATGGTAATATGTTTGCTTTTCTTCCTGTATTCAAATAGATGCACGACACTTGACGAGACGACAAGGTCTGGGGTAAAGTGAAGAATGCATGCAGTGGGTTCGTGTTCAAATTGACTGCATCATTTCTATTTATAGCACAGGCGTTGACGTTCACTGTTGGTATCATCTCATTCTTGTTTATAATACTTTTGGCTACCTGAAAACCTGTCAGCACTTTACCAATCGTTATCGAAAATTGATTCGAATTGCAAAAGGAAATAATTCAAGCAGGGATAAGATCATCTAAGAATCGGAATGGGGTTGCGAACAGATATTGGAGTAAATAATTCAGGATACACTATGCGTCTTTTATATATTTGTCTCCTCCTGGTGGCATCCTCCTCAGCGGAATTCGAAGAGATAAGTATGTATTTCGAAAGATTGACTCCATCTTTGTATTTTGTTAGCGATCTGTCAGCTTCAATAGACCTGTTAACTAACAGTTATATTCAAATTGCATGCATACTTTTAAACAAAGGTTTTTCTGACAACCTGGAAGCTTGTCCGTGCTTGCCCGACATAGCAACAAGTAACGTATATAGACTGGATACCAACTATAATTGCAGTTCATTCGTTAAAAAATGTTAACGGAATAGCTCGTCACAAGGTCCCTAGGAAAGAAAAATCCAGAAATTTAAATATGTTAGTAAACCAGTCTGTTCATCTAAAATGTGTATGCAGCTTTATCAATCGAAATAGAAAGATATACAAGATGGCATCAAATAGATTTTACTTCGATTTCACAGTTGTGCATCTGATCCCCCTTCCAAATTTAAACATCTCTCAGATCATTTATAGTATAGCTTCTCTTCCTGCAACACAACGAATAATTTTACACCATTCTCCTCAATTCTCTGTACTGATATTTCTTAGACACACAGTTATGATTTAATAAAAAATCAGTTTATTTTGTTCGATTTACTTAATTATTCGAGTAATCATTTCAAATGATTTAATTCAGTTGAAACACTGCATGAAAGCTTGAACCTCCCTACATTTAGAAATGTAGTCTGCCTTTAAGGGTAGGCCAATAATAACATACTTTCTTGAGCTTTGATATTACACTTTTTGATTTAAGGTGATGTAACATTTGATGGCGAGCCTGGTATTTGGAATGGAGCCCCCACGGTGGATCTTGAGAACTATACGCATGTTCAGATCTGTGCAAATCACACTTCCTGGAACGCTACTATGACAGACACATACTGGAACACTGATATGGCAGACACTATCTGTCAGTATTTTGGTCAGTATAAAATGTCTTTCTTAATATTACTAATAATTCAACAGTATAGTTACTCATTGTAATATCATCTAGGACCTTCTATTTTCAAAGTGTTATACTGAAATACAACCGTGGATAGTACTCACATGTTCTATAAAGAAATACCAGCAATAAATCCGGGGGTCAATTATTAGTCATGTCGCACGTCAATATTCATAAAAAGGAAAAACAAAATGATAATTATTGTTGTCTTACTGTCAGAAAAATCTATAGAAAACAGCACTAATCTAGCCCAACTATTATACATATCCTATATAAGTTCATGTCAGCGTGTCACACGACAATACTAAAAACGTTAGTATCCTCACTTTAATTATTTTTTTAATGTTAAGTATAATTTATATAATTCTTCCATTAATGTATCAATACGTTTCAGGATTTACGGGCTCAATGATCATCGAGGTGATGGACTTTGCAGCCCCTGGATTTGCAATGTGTAAGAAAGAACAGAATAACACAGATTCTCGTCTACAGCTGTCCTGTAAATTCCTAGAAGTCTGTGTGGGAGTTCCCATAATCTCATGCTTACGTAAGTACCTCCAAAACTTACCATTGTGTGCTGTGGTTGTGTGTGCGTGAGTGTGTGAAACGGCAAGTCCATTCCAAAAATAACGTACTTTCAATAGTAGCAGAAAAATCACACAAACCAATAAAAAAAGGTTTGATCAACATCGGACAACTAATAAGAAAGTTATGAATTTTTAAAATAAAAAAACTTTGAAAATCACAAGACAAATTGGCAACTCACTCATGAGTATATAATAACGTCATTGCCTCACTATCCACTAATTGATTTCTTTATATTGATAATAGAAATTTCCCATTTCCCCCCTAAGAATCTTATTTCCTCACACCAGCATCAAAGTTACATTGATATAATAATATGTTTGTGTCAATGCACTAGTATAGTAATTTTTCAGTTAAATCATGAAATATTTGATTTACAATGAACTACTGTATTATTTTGTATAAAAATCAATGATTATGAACATACAATATTCAGAAAATAGTGTCAATTCTTCAAAGTTCATAACATTTTGTGTATTGTCATGTACGCAATATGATACAAACCATATAACCTGGACAAAGGCTTGAGGAAATCAAGTTTTGGGGGAGAAAAATAGAAATAAATGGGATAAAAAGATACAAAGCAATTGATAAATAGTGAGGCAATGACGTCACAAACTGATAACCAAATTGGCAATTTGTGTATTGATTTCCATTGTTCCATTCTTTTTCATACTTTTTCAAAAATTCATAAGTTCCTTATTAGTTATCCGATTTTAATCATTTTGTGGTTGTTGCTCTGTTTCTCTTGTTTTTCTGCATCTATCATAAGCAAATTATTTTTGGAGTGGACTTAGCCTTTACTCTAGAAGAATAGACATTATACTAGAACGTGTAGGGGGACAAGCCTTGTTAAATACATTTAGTTTGGTCAGCAATTTGTTAACCATCACCAATATCTAATGGCGATTAATTTGAATGGCTGTTTTCTCTTCTTGCTAGTAAAAGGTGAATGAAGGTGTCACGTACTCCATATCTACATGATTGTTTGTTCATATACTGTAATTGATAAAAACTCTCAAAATCGTTAACGAATTGAGAACCGAACCGAGGGTTGGTTTTGTTCTTTTGGTTTGTCAACTCTCTGGCGCACAATTGATGGGCTACAAGCACACGCACACTTACTGACATACCACACAAAGTATTGGCGCATTATACGTATTCTAAGTAGAGAATAATTATATTCAAAGCTTTCCGCTCATGTTTTTCCCCCAGTTCCCGGGTATGAGGGCTGTTATACCCAAACGGCTACCGATCCGTTCTTTACCAATGGTTCGCTGGCAGATTTAGGGGATCAGCAAGTTAATATCCAGACCTGTGCCGAGGCATGCTCTGATAGTCCATACCTAGGGCTCACCAACGGTTCCAACTGCATCTGTGGATCAGGACTGGGTAATCGTAGTCTTGTAGGGGATTGTGATCTGGGATGCCAAGGAGATGATCTACAGCAGTGTGGTGGAGAAGAGGCTACCAGCGTCTACAGTGGTATGTTACCATTACAAACAAAAATGTTTGTTTTGTGTTTTGTGTTTGTCTTTGTATAGGGTCTTAACCATTCGCTGATACAAAAATACAGAGAACGAACTAACGAAATAATTGGCTGAATAAACGGGATTTTAAATTTATTCTATGGGGTATTCTTCAAACAAGAGTAACGCTTGTGTCATGAGGTCGCTACTGGGATAATATGATGTGTTTCTTTTTTTCTTTTTTTTAATTTAATTTTCTTATTTTCTTAGTTTGTTATATCATTTTACTATAGATAAAAGGAATGAACACAAATTACTATAACTAATATTGTTACTAATGCAATAATTATAAATTTACCAGTAAGACTTTCCTCTCTTTCACCCTTTTTTGAAATTCATTTGTATTTATATAGCCAGCGTGATTGGTCAATGTGAGTCGGAGCGGGTGGAGATTATTCCTGATCAGCCACATTACATAACATCACCGGTACGTATAAGTATGATCTTACAAATCACTGTTTAATCAACAAACTTCCTTTTTTACGATGTTTTTGTTTATTGGTCTGATAGTGGGAACGTTATAGCATTGATCATAACTGATAGGTTTTTCGTTTTTTTTTTAAATATTTGTTACCATCATGTTCTGTATGTATAGTATTGTCATTATCATATTATTATTATCAATATGCTATGCTTTCATTCATCGTTTATTATGGTCGATATCTTATTCTGAAGTATTATATGATAGTCATTTGTACATGTATTCAAATATGTTATTCAGAGATTTATTTTCAATAAATTGGCCTGTCGGAGGGTCCACCAATTTTTTTATTTTTTTAAATAACTGATAGGTTATGAAAATAATTTTTTTGCAGACAATCACAAAAAGTGTTTGCCAGTTTTTTAACACATAATATGAGCGATAAGGTGTTATTATGACATGGAAAAGTATATATGTAAAAACAAATCTGAAAGAAAAGATATTTATGAAAAAGTGGTTACCTTTTACAAAGTGTTTCTGATTGTTTATTTCTTCTAAATTATTACCAAGTAAATCCGTGATATTTTAAAAATGAACTGTTATTTGTAACTGATATCTACAAATGTATGTTCATATCATATTTTGAATGGCCTAGAATATCATTTTGAAATTCCGCAAGTATACATCTCTTCTAGTATACATAATGTGAAAGATATCATTTAATAAGGGAAGCCTTTTTAAGGGGAAAAACCGATAGGCGATGTCATTGACACATTGTTGTAAAATTAATTAAATTCCATTAGGATCTATCCTTTCATATATTAATTGTTACGAGACTCTCTCTCTTTTGTCATTTTCCCCACACTTCACATTATGTTATTTCAATTAAACCATTACAAGGGTGGATGATGAAACCATTCTCATCGTCTCTCATAGTATATCATCATCTTATGTCATACGGACAACGTGCACTACATAAAATGCTGTGAGCGTCGAAATCGGCAGCCTAGCATAGCCGGGTAATGTTGGAGCGCCTTGAGGACCTTGCAAGGTCGATACGTGCGCTATATAAGAATCCAATATTATTATTATTATTAATATATACAGTGCGTCCCAGAAAAAAACGAAACCGAGAATTATCGATGTTTTATCATAACTTATTCACATTTATAATTAATAAATGACACATGTTTGGAAAGCTTAGATCCTCTTCTTTCATTTTGATGCCATTTATATGATTCATATTTCATGCATGAGTGATTAAAATGAATTTGAAGAGAGGAAACCAAAAAATCATTTGGCGGACGGTATCTGAATTTCAAAGAGAAGATCACATTTCTAGAAAGGTGGGTCTCTGCCCTTTCATATGACACCTCAATCAGGAAAAATGAGCAAGGTTTGACAAAGTTATGTTTGTTTAAAGTAGTGCTTGCATTTCCATAATTTCATCAAACGAATTCGTTTTCACTGTCTGTCTGTCGTAGCAACTAGCAGAATTGACAAAAGACTTAACTCCGTTTCGTTGACGATCAGCCATGCATTAAGTCTGTCGTCTACGGCTGATTGTCAACGAAACGGAGTTAAGTCTTTTGTTAATTCCGTTTGTTGCAACGACAGACAGCCAGTGAAAACGAATTCGTTTAATGAAAATAAGGAAATGCAGGCATTACTTTAAACAAACAGAACTTTGTTATTCCTAGGTCATTTTTCCTGACTGAGGTGTCATATGAAAGGGCAGAAACTCAACTTTCTAGAAATGTGATTTTCTCTTTGAAATTCAGATACCGTCCGCCAAATGATTTTTTGGTTTCCTCTCTTCAAATTTATGTCAATCACTCATGCGTGAAATATGCATCATATAAATGGCATCAAATAAAAGAGGAGGATCTAAGCTTTCCAAACATGTGTCATTTATTAATTATAGATGTGGATAAGTTATGATAAAACATCGATAATTCTCGGTTTTGTTTTTTCTGGGACGCACTGTATAGGGACATCACGTGGGTCTTGTCTATAACCGAAATGACAGCTAGCTCTGACTAAGAACATGGTTTTCTTTACTTTACAGAATTTCCCGGACATCTACGAAGCAAACGTGTCTTGTTCTTGGATATTGGATATCAATGTTCCGTTGTTCCATGACCTTGAGATAATCACGACCTTTGACTTTGAAGATGACAATATCCAACACCTGGACATCTCATCTGAGTCCGACCTTGTAGAATTGACTCCAGCAGGAACATCTGGCACGACTGTTCTTAGTCGTACCCCATACAGTACACTCCAAGACACCATCACTGTATCATTGACACCATCTTCTGGTGGCAATAGTACAGCCTTCGTCATGAAATTCACTCTGATGTGTAAGTTTTTGGTTAATAAACTTTGTGTAGGGTAAAGGCTTTTAATTACGATTAAATAATGCATCCTCAATCTTCTATATCGACTATCTTTATCCTTATCTTTATCTATCTCTATCTTTGATGTAAAAGGATTATTTCCTTTTCACATTTTTCTGTTGATGGCAATCCCTTCGAGCATGTCTACACATTATTGTTTATGGACTTCCTTTTGTTCTGATCACTTATACTTTAGTTTCTAGCACATCCCAAAGCATTAACAAAATATAGTATCACGATGGTGATAATGGGGGAGAACACATTGATTTCTTTTAGAGCTGATTTAAAACTTCGTTGAGAGATCATTTGCTTATAAACCAAAATGAAAAATACTGGACGTATTAACGAAAGAATAAAAAAGAAAAAGTTTTCACATTGACTAAAGTGAAATGATTATGAGTAGTGCCGATGGATCGATGAACCTCATGTAACGTTTATGTAAATTATGTTAAAAAAGGGAATATTTCTTTCATTTCACATAAAATTACGTGACAGAATGTTATTATCTCTCTATATTCATGCACAGCTAACACGATGTATACTCCGGCTAACGACTATACTACCGCCCCGCCTCCTGAGTCTACTACGTCCAAGGCTGGGCAGAATGTCAATCTGGGCAAGCTAGGTACAGTTTTTTCACTCTCACCTTCTTGTATTGCATAAAGCCTATAAAAAAAGATGTTGTATTGCCCTTTGCGACCGACCCCAAAATCTTGAAATCTACGTCGGATTTTTATTTTTTATTTTTTATTTTTTAGATATTCAAATATGTGTTAGTATTCAAACTGAGAAATACCTGCCCAAAGAGAAAGAAAGAAAAAAATTAAATAAAAAAAGAAAGATTTCCGACCGACCGACCATGTTTTGGCACCTAAAGGGCAATACAACATCTCTGTTTTGTTAGGCCTAATGTCAAGTGTATTCAAGTCAATAATATCATAGCCAGGCAGACATGAGGAATCGGAATTATGCAAACGAACGGAAAGGGGCAGCATGGGGAAATTTACAATGCTCACTTTCCCATAATACACATGAACTATCTTGTTCAATTCAGTAACAACCACGCAATTTAAGCTTCATACTTAGGCATATGATGTGTTTTCCGTCTTTTTGTGTCATTTATATAAACCAACTATTGTTTTAGTGAACAACCATACACATGCTTAATAATATAATATCATATTTTCTCTCTTTATTATAGCCATGTCCGCTGGCCTAGGAGTCATCCTCGCTGCTATTCTTCTGGTTTGAGAGGTTCCCAGATGTTTTATCAAATTTGCTCCATTTCTTTATTCTTTACGTATGATAAATGCATAATCATATAGACTCAGTTACTCATAACCAATAATCAAGATTTTGTTAAAAACTGTTTTGTACGACAACCTTATGTGTTTATATTTATTGTGAAATGGTGAACATGTATTCCTATCAATGTCTGTAAGAAACAAATAATTATCTTTTTTAACATAATGAACATAGAATAAGAGTGAACAATGATATAGAATAGATGTATAATAGTCAAATTCCAGTCACAGCGCTGTTAACATGGTTATTTATCAACTGAAAATTCATGCATGATCACGTATGATTTAGAGTGTGTCATATTCTATTATTCAAAATTTATCTCTGAATTAAAAAGAAATCACATTCCCCCTAAAACTCTTATTTTTAGAAGAATAATCATGAGGACAGAAATTTAGAGTACTCAGTCATTATACTTGTAGCGTTATATTGCTTTAATATCCAAGTTTGCCTTTTATAGCACGCAACCGCACAAAACTGTACTTGTATTTCATACATTTCACCCATTTGTATTACTTCAAGGGGCTGCGTTTGGTTTCATTTACATTATTATTAATGTATAAACGAAAAGAATCAGTGTAGACAAAACTGTTTATAGTACGCTTCGTGTGATATGACTGCTGAGTATATTTGTGGGCTATTTAACTGTATATTATCTTATTTCGTGTATTAAAGTATACTTTGTAATTTATATATATTGCGATTGGGAACAAAAGCCTGTTCAGGTATAGACAGTTAATTGATGACAGCTGGTCACACAAGCAGGCCCTTCAAGGAGAGTCCCAAGAAGGCCAATCAACTTAGTTCGCTGCTGCTCAAATGATGCTATGTAAACTAATCAATTAAAACAACAAAATTAACCAGAAATATATAATACATGCAACATAAGAAATGTGTGCAACACACATGGTAATGGTATAGAAGTGTCCACTTACAGTGTACATCGGGGAAAGGCGACATTGCATGGCACACATTAAAACAACTAGCATCTAACTGAAGCAAGCCAAACACCTGGCTTTCATTGTGTTCACCACTTTCCACTTATCCACTAATATGTTTTTATGTAGTCTGTACCGTGTATAGCATTTAATGCTATACCTGTTTTTTTAATAAATCTTCTTAATCGTTTGATTGAAATGTCATAGTTTTATAATGGTTTTATTGTCCATTGACTGTTTTTAATTGGTGTTGGAGTTTGGAAATAAGTACTCAAGGTGATTCACTTATATTTACCCTAGCCATGCATGCCGCCCCTATCAGATGTACATGTATGATCACTAATGATACATTGTGTCTAGCCCCTAAAAAGTACTGCTACTTTCAAGATACTAAATTTGTTGTTTAATACACGGGTGGCCAACCTTTTAAAGCTCGCGGGCCACAGCTAACGATTAGCATAACCTGGCGGGCCATAGATAGTCTTCTCCCCCCCCCCCCAAAAAAAAAAAGAAAAACCCTCATGCAATACGTGTACGCACCTGCAGCCTCGAACCCCTATCCGTTATTAAGGGTCATTTTTCTCGAAAAAAAGACCCATTTCCCACAATTTTCGGGTGTTTTTCGGGTGTTTGGGGGTGTTTGCATGGCAAACGCCCAACAAATTTGAAAAAACGGACCCATTTTTAATGATATTTTTGTTAGAAGTAGGACCCATGTTTATGGATTTTGTGTGTGACAAAGTCATCCATTAGAGCGGACACCCCCGTATGTGATATGTGAATACCCCCCCCCCCCCCCGGGTGTTAATGTCGTTAATGTAATGTAATGAGAGGAAATTTTAGGAGTTTAGCATCAACCACGTAACAATTCAATATGTTGTGAATGATGGGAACAAATTATAGAAATACAGCTGTTTGTAAATGTTTTACCCTATTACATCGCTGCTATGCGGGCCGCATTTCATTTATGAGCTATTTTTATTATCACTTCTTCAATGCTCCGCGGGCCGCATCAGAAAAGCTAGCGGGCCGCATGCGGCCCGCGGGCCGCGGGTTGGCCACCCGTAATAGGCATTAAGTATTATACTTGCGTAATATCACAACAGCGAATACCACGAGTGGATACAATTACCACATGTCTTAAGTAAGGAATTATTTGACAGAAAGAATTTGGAATGAATCAGCCAAAGAGTGTTATTCCTGTTTCATAATCATAATTTTTAAATCGTCTCTGTATCAATTGTTGTTCGTGTGCCCAATTATTGGTTAAAATAAAGTAATTTGATTTTAAAATATATGTTTTGTTTGTGTGTATAATAATATATGAGTTTGGTGACGTAATGAGAGTAGAAAGGATGCTCTCTTTTTTTTAAGCTAAAAATTGAGCAATTGATATTTAAAGGGACTTGGTATAGCTATAGGAAGATCAGATAATATCATTTCATTTTCATTTCATTTCATAAAATTTCATATTTCTCATGTTACATATACATTTCAAAAATTAAATACAATTTAAAAAAAAAAAATGAAATTTACAATCAATGATACATACATAAATAACATAAAGATAAGCGGTCAATATAGAGTACTGATTGAACTGAGAGAAATATGGTGGGATCTACATGAAAGCATGCTTGTAAAGCTGTAGGCCCCGGTGAATGTGGTAATGACTATGAAACCCATAGGAATGATTGGGAGAAAGAGCATCGTGGTTTGATAGGTTGAAGGAATGATACGAGGAGAGAGGGAAGAAGGACTAATAAGGATGGAAATTAGGAGGAACGACATGATCACAAAAGCCTATATTATTGTAATGTAACAACTTAGTAATGTTAGCAACGACACCTATTTAGAGAGAAAGAGAGATAGAAATTATTGGAGAGGGAATGTGTGTGTGGTTTTGTGTGTGTGTGTGTGTGTGTGTGTGTGTGTGTGTGTGTGTGTGTGTGTGCGTGCGTGTGTGTGTGTGTGTGTGTGTGTGTGTTAGAAAAGAGAGAGAGAGAGCGAGAGAGAGAGAGGGAAGAGGAAAGCAGTTGAACTTCCATCGTTTTGTTTGCTTCTATTTTCAACATTTATCCACGCCTTACAAAAAAAGTGCTATCTATAATGTTAGTTTTGAAGGTAGTTGACGGTTAAAACCATTGCTGATAATTCTGTCTCACATTCTTATTCAAATTTTCTGATATGAGTTAAGCCTCCGTCACAAATGCCATTACGAACTGCTACGAACGCCGTACGGACGATTTTCAGACAATGGAAATTCGGGAAGACAAAATTATGGAAAAACGGGGAGATTCGTACGAAACTATTATTCGTACGAACCTTTGTGACCGTAGCATGATTAAAAATAAAAATGTTTTCGAAGAATAGACATTTTTAAATTGCGCTGTAAAATTTATTATTCGTAATATAGGCCTACAGACCAATAATGCATCTTATCTTATCTTATCTAAAATTATATGATGTGTAATACGTCAACATTGAAAGAAATATCACATAAAACGTTGCACATATCAAACACTAACCAAATATTTAAACAGAGAGAAAGAGAATGATAGATTAAAAGGGCAGCAATAGGAGACATTATGAGAACCAAAATTTACACGAACTAAGTCGGTGTATATAATGTATGTTTTTTTAGTGGAAAATTAAATTCCTCTCTTAAAATCACAATGTCAGGAATGTATATACTAAGTAATGTAAAAAATCACTAGAAAATATGACTAGAGGCCTACATAATTTTAATAATATTCCTTAATCGCTATTGGGACCAATAATGGTATCCTCTGTATTAAACCGGATAAATATAGGAGTACATATCAAATACGGGCTCTATACAAGAAGCCAATATCATAAGCAATAAACAACATCAGTTTGAGGGGGAAATGGAAAGAATGATATGAAATTATTATTTTGAGCACCCTTTTTCGCAGGTTGATAACACTATCAAAACACAATTTAACCTTAGATATTTGTTCACATCACATATTAACAAACTGTTTGCCTTTGACATTTTTGTCGTTAAAAAGAATCATTATTTACTTTTCCTGGCTGCCATGGTAGTATTTGCACTAGTCTGAGAGTTCAAATATGCATAATATTAATGACTAAGTTTTGCAGCAGAGTTGGACATCGGTCTTATGCTTCACATTAATCATGTCCATATTAGTCAGGTGGCTTAGCGAAATTATCGTTACTCGGCGGATGGTACAGGGCTTCCTTAGGACCTACTGAACGATATTAGCCTATATAGGAGCACTCGGTAACACATTAATATAAAGATGTGGGGGCGGGGTCGTCATCCCGGAGCCCATAAAAAATATATAACGCCCCTGCCCCAAATCACCCCTATATGAATGTTTTGCTGGGGGCTCCAACCCTAGGGTCGTTCAGATAAAGATAAAGATCGTCCTATAAAGCCCTGTACCAAAAATTGCATTCGTACAACAACAAATCAATGTTATTTTACCTTATATATTATCTAGGGGCTCGGGGATGACGCCCCCCCCCCCCCGCCTTTCCCCTTCATCGAATGGTAAAATAATTAAGTATGGAAAAACCAAGAAAAAATGGGAAAGGAGAAAGGGAAAATGACGAGAAAATAAGACGACTGGACCACCTCCCATAATCAAAAGCCCTGTAAATTCGCAATTCATTTTCCGAGTAGGACATGTGCCCCACCCCAATGTTTCCCGCGATGGGTGGAGTCACTACGTACGCCACTGACTCCGAACATTAATTTTGTAAAGAATGTTTGGACATGCCTGCATGCATAGCCCTAACTCAATTGTACTCTATGAATTTATTTCTCAAAACTCCAATTTCTCTTCGTACATAATTATATAACATAAAAGCAAAGCAATTTCCATAGTTGTAGTTTATACAAACATAAACATAATCATAACAAAGTTTGTTTTGTTATGACCCTCCCCTTATAATGACTGGCGATATGTCGGAGGACGAGTTACGTCGCCAAGCGCTAAGCGAGTCGAAAAGTGACGTTCTTCTCGACGTGTTCTCTGTGTGTGTTTTCTTCCTCCACTGAAGATGGTACGAATTTCTACTAACTAAAATTGTGCTATATGAGTTTATAGACATATTTATGTACTTATATAATAGGCTGCTAGGCTGCTACCAAGAAGCTACTTGAGTGGTAGCTTATTGCTGCCATTCCCTGCCAATATAGGATTTTCTATAATACACACTAGTCACAAACAGTTCATTCATGATCGAAGAGTTTTATCGCTTTCATGTTTTCCCTAAATATCAGTGTGTCTTGATTCAAGCCTATTAGTTGACTCTCGTCATTTTCATCGCCCATTCTCTTGCAAAACTAGTAAGTTAACGAGTCATGTTGTTGTTATATTATACTTGTATTAATGGATTATCCATTTGCATGTATGCCTGTTGTGTGATCTGGTGTTTTATGTGAATCTAGACGAAGTATACATGTTCAGAAGTTGTTAAATAACCGATGACTTTGCCGATATGTTTGACTTTAGTCCCGTTCGTTTTATTTCGTGTCGGGTAATTTTGGAGGGGGGGGGGTGGGGCTGTTCACATGCATGCATTGATACTGTCTGGGGAATTTCCACTAAATTAACTCATTATGGTTTTGAGATCTCTGCACAGCCTAAGTCACTTAATGCTTATTCATAGCCGTAAGGGCTGGATATCACCCACACATAGCTGCATTAATCCTGGCTGTGTATTAAAAGCTGTACCTTTAGGGTAGAACCACTACACCTGGACATTTCATTGGCTCACAGAACTGACTGCGTGGGTCCGCCATGTTGCACTTCCGAAAAATCGATGTGCGAGAGGGTTGGAATACAGATTTGTGTACAACTTGACTGCACGTTCTGTTTCTGAACTTTGTTTTGAGGAATGTAATCATTGAAAATGCCTACATGTGCTGCAATTAATTGCTCAAACCAGTATTATAAAGAATGTTAACGGACAGTACATTCGAAAGTTCAACTATGCTTTCTATGTAATTTAAAAGCAGGTTGGAAGTTGGAAGTAGTTAGTGTTTAGTGCTCTGTGTAGTCCCATGTGTTGTATATCATGTACGTATCACGTATGGCATAATGCCAATGGAAATGCAATTCAATCTGATTCTGATCATTTCAATTGCTGATAATCTATACTAAAACCTATAGCAATCCAAGGCCATGCTATGTAATATTTTGGAGTAGGTTTTGACAAGACTATTAGATTCAATTTCTAACGTTTAGTCTGCTAGTCATAATTAATTATATTATCTTGTTAATTGTAGCTTGAAATTGACAGTCACGATAACGTCTTAAACTTAAGTTAACAACGAGTGTCTTACTTAAAAAGGGTATTATTTGTATATTTATCATATATTTACACCATAAACGTCATGCTAACTACAGTATGAGTGACTCTATCGAAGTGTATGCATACAAATACGATAAGTAGCCTAATTTCGCGTAGCATTGACATTGTTTACTTTAAGTTTAAGTTCGTTGTATTTTATTTTATTTCCTCTGAATTGTGTTCAGACTCTCACCATCGGTTTACTCTAGTAGTCTTTATTCTTCTAGAACTGTGGAAGTATCTGAATTTCCTGCATTCCTCCACGGGTCACCTGTTATAGGCCTATATATATATATATATATATATATATATATATATCGTCCTTGTTTTCACGAAGTGACGGTAGTGAGGAAAATCGTAACCCAAAGTGAATGCAATTTTTTTTCACTACCGTCACTTCGTGAAAACAGTGACGATATCTGTACTAAACTACCAAGGAAGACAATATTTCGGACAGATGTCTACTGATGTCAGATGATCAATTTAATTTGATTTGATTAAAAATACTAGAACACTTTTTACACAGTTACCCACCCTGGAAATTAACCTTCTGATGTAGTGTGTAGATGTACGAAGGGGAGAAATATTACGTATAGAAAGAAAGTTAGAAAGACAGAGAGTAGATAGAAGAACAGATAATAGATAGAGCACAGTTAGGGAGAGAGTGAGCTGTTGAAAAGACACACAAATATAGAATGAGAGAGAGAGAGAGAGAGAAAAAAAAATACGATAGAGTGAGCAGTTAGAATGAGAGAGAGAGAGAGAGAATAGAAAGGTACACTAGTGAGAAAGCAGTTAGAATGAGAGAGACAGAGATACAGAGAGAGAGAGAGAGAGAATTAAAGAAAAGGTACATTATTGAGAATGAGAGAGAGAGAGACATGCAGAAAGAGAGTGAGCAGTTAGAGAGACGGAAGGAGGATTGCAATGCATTAAAAAAGTACCAAGAGAAGAAGAGGGTACAATCTATTTAAAAATAAGTACCGGTATTAAGGTAAAACAAACATTAAAATCAAGAGAGAGAGAGATGGGGGAGGGAGAGAAAGTTGGAGAGCCTTCGAGGAGTTTGAGAAAGTGTATAGAAGGAGGAACTTCAACTTTCACCTTCTACGTATATAATTATGCATTTGTATGTTTTCTTTCTAGAGAATAATAAAACAAGGGGCTTGATAAATTATTTGTTTAATTGTTACAGCTGTTGAAATGGCTGTCTGACTGAATACTGGGAATGGACCGAATACTGGGCATGCTACCCTACGTGCCATTGATTCTCAACATTTCAAACACCTCGTACAAAAAACTCAACTGATTTCACTAAAAATCGGTACTTTAGTGACAATTGATGGCACCTAAGTAGCAGGAAAAGACAATTTGTTCAACTTACCGATGTTAGAAAGAATGATTTAAAAATTCAAATCGTGAGTCTACTGTCAAACTTGCCGATCAGCCACATCGATATTGCGTACATTTGTGTGTTATGTGTGTATGGACTATTCGTGCGTGCAATTCTGCCTATTAACACGTAGGGTAGTGCTAGAGGTCAATACACAATAGCATTGACTCTCTATGCTTTGCTGGAGTGGATATCACCTAGACGTCTTGCATGATATTTAACATCCATTCCCCTGCATGAATAGTGATGTAAACAAAAATGAAAAATATGAAATTAAAAAGTGTCCGTAGTCGACTATGATAGTATAAACAGTATATAATCCCCCCCCCCCTTCCTACACCCAACGAACATTGCACACTGGCTTTTGGACTTGTGGACTTTTTTTTTTTTTTTTTAAATCTCGTACATATCAATTTCAATTTGGTCAACAAACCCAGCTCTGCTAGGCTGCCTATTTTGTTAATCCCAACATTCAAGAATCAACGAATTCCTTCCCTTGTTTCCCATTTGACTCCTTGGTGGAGAGTTACAAATGTAGAGCTAGGTAAATGTCTTTCCATAGGACATTAGTGCTACGGCGGGGCTTGAACCGCAAACCATGTAATCCACAGTCCACATTATAGTTTTCTTGCTAAAGCAAAAAACATTCACATAAATTGATTCATTACCTAAAATTCCAAACAAGTAGAATAGAAACACTTAATGTGAACGCTAATCTAGAAGGGGAAATAGGTAATGGGGCCTAGATTCAAAGTACCCTCTATTTCTCTCCCCTTGTATATTTATTTATTTCTCTCTCCTCTCTCATTTTCTCCCTATCTTTTTTCTCTCTTTCTCTTTCTCTCTACCCATCTCCACCTAGGAAAACTGTAAATATGGAAGGCAAATTTAATCACTATTCACTTTAAATGCTCTTTGGGGGAATTCTTTTATATTAAACATGTCTAATCTAAAAATTGGGATTTTAACTCTGTTTGCAGACATGAAACATGTTTATTCCTGTTTTAAGTCATTCTACTTGTCCAGCAACTTTGAAAAAATTTTAGTGTCTAGAAATGACCAGAAATAACTAAGGGATTGGACTTTACTCTGAAAGCTTATCAGTCAAGTACTCACACAGAATAAACAATTTGGAATCTTCCATGAGTTTTTTGTTCTAGTGCCCCCTAGAGGCCTTGCATACCTTATATATATATATATATATATATATATATATATATATATATAAATATATTATACCGGTATGTATGTGTGTGTGACCATAAGATAAATGATATCTTGTACAAAATTTACAATCACTTGTGTTTCTAGAGCGGCAATGTACGGCTGATCAAGCTCTCCAAGTTACAGTCACGGTGGATTTCATAATGCTGCTTTAATTTTGCTAAAATCCACGGCAAGAGAGCTACTTTGATGTACAGGTTCATTCACAATGTCTACCTCATACACTTTAATATTTTGAATGTTATGAATGATATTTGTGATGTGAGGAGATCTTCCTAATTTGGGTGATAGGTCATTGGTATAAAAATAGTGTCATTTATCTTTCAAAACCATCCCTCTTTAGTTTTTATCCCGTACGTATCTCCTCAGATATTTTTTTTTCTGTAACTATTTACTCACTGGGCGGTATAATAAATGGCGTGTATTTATTTATGTGGTTTCAGACAAGTTAATATGTCCAAAATGTCTTTAATCTTTTAAGCCACTTTGAATTGTAAACAAATTTAAACTAAAGTGCCCCGATACAAATTATTTCATTCTCCTGTTTTTAATAATTTGATTTCAATAGTCAGAATGTAAATTGCGTATATTATATGTTTTCACATGGGGCAAGCCATAGTGTTTGTCCTAACTAGCAACAGCTAATGTATGCAATTTGAATTCTGACCATTAAAATACATTTATTTGTAACAGGTGAATGAAATAATATGTATGAGGCGCTTCACAAAGGCATATATATGCATGAATTTTGATACATCATGATTATGAAAATAATGCATACAAGATAGGACTAAATCTTATCTGCTATACTGCATGACATATTACACGAGGAATGTACGTAAAAAAAAAGGGAATTTTACACATTGACACTTGACAGACAGGGAATGCTTTCATCCGTGCAACCAGAAGCTAATATGATGTTGGAAATATCATACATGTGTATGTGTGTGCTGTTTTCCATTTTGATTTTGTTATTTGTTTCGTAGTATTGAGAATTATACCAAACTTCATCTCCCTGAACTATGAAGTTGTTTTCTTTTGTCTTTCAGTTAACTAAAAAAGAGACATCTCCTAAACACGGTCTTGCCCCGGACAACGTCCCAGCATCCAAGCATACCAAGATGGCTGACAACGCAGACATTGATGACAGCCTTTATAGGTTTGGAAATCTTAACTTGTTTCTTACCTCCTCATTTAGATATATCTCCATGTTTTGGTTTACAATTTCAAAATAATTTCTAAGTAGAATTGTTCATCAACAGGGGAAGGATAATGGTGAAGTTATACTTTTACTTTGTCTAACGTGTTGTTCTTGCAAACACTAACTCTTTGCCTGCTTTGGTCAACCAATGGACCAATCAGGGGACTGCCACAGTCGACTTTTATCACAGGTACATCTATAATATATTCCTAACAAAGTGGCAGTCCTGCGTTTCAATTCCATTGTTATCATAATTTCTTGATTGCAACCAAAACTTGAGGTTTGATTTCAAATAAAAATAAAAATACAAACGGATAGATAACAATGGTAGAAATAATGTGCACAAAGTCACAGACACTGCAGGCTTTGATACATAAATAAATGAATAACAATCAAATTATTACACATCAAAAATATTAATCAAAGCTTATGAGTACAATATTTCATAATGATTGTATTTAAAGTCGGAGTTAATTCTTGTATGTGTGTCTACAAATTGAGCTGTTTATAATAAATATTGATAATGAGAATGGATAATAAGAAAACACGGGTCACAAACATTACATAAATTCAGACTCCATGTTGAATAAAGAGTTAACATATATGCACCTATTTCTTCAAAGCGAGGTGGTATTTTACCGTATGCTAACCCTTCTCTCCCTTTTTTCTTGCAGCCGTCAGCGCTATGTCCTTGGAGACCATGCTATGAAACAGATGGCTACCTCTAATGTCTTTCTCAGTGGACTCGGTGGAATAGGGGTAGAAATAGGTAACTCTTTTAATTATAACAGTGCTGCACATCATGTACCTCTACTAAAAGGGGCATCCTCTTTTTGGCAATTAAAAAAAAATACTTCAATGTCGTGTGGTATCTGTTATTATCATGTATTTGTTTTATTTCAAATCAGGTAAATTACTTTTTTTTACACAGTGTAAATCTGAGTACACTCTGCTGTTGCCATTATATCTGCATGTAGTATTTAGTCAGTCTAACTGAGGGTCATGCAAGATATACTTTTACATTAAGAAAGGAAATATTCAGGGTAAAGCTATACCAATATCTTTTGCATTGATCAAGTCTAGGGTCAAATGGTTTGCAAATTGTGTGACTTTATTTTGGCTGGATTTTCATAGAATGAATGCTTTACACCCTTAAATGATGTTGATTATATGAGAATTTTAAATATTTTTCTTGTATTTTCTACTCATACAGCCAAGAATATTGTACTTGCTGGAATAAAGGTAAGAAACATGTGATCACTTGATAAATCTCTTTATTGAGATACTATTGTGTACATCAATATAATTCAGTTTATTTGATTATCTGATAATAAAAAAGGTAATTAAAACTTAATCTACACTAACCCAAGCATATCAAAGCAATATAACATGAATGATTTCCACACTTCTTTTTTTTGTGTGTGTATGTCTTTTTTTGGGGGTATCCTATTCACATTCAAGCTCTTTGAAAACAGCGCCTTGTATTATTACCATCATAGATTTGCTGTTAGCATTTCTTAAGAGGAAATTAACTTTCACAAGGATTTTGTTTGCATTAAAAAAATGAGCATTTAATAGTCTCTACACCTAGGGATATATCAATTTGTCTGTTTGTAGCCACAAGGTTGTTAACTCATATAATGCAGAGTTTGTGGCTCCAAATAGACTACTTACTTTTTTCGTTTTACTTGCATTTTCTGATTTTTTAACTTGATCAGGTAGATGATGGGTAGATTTATCTATGGACATGGCCACAGTAGTATTTATTTTGAATATATATTTCATTTTGTATTTTATATATTATATGTATTTAGTGGTTAAGGATGTCCTACATCCTAGTGAATTTTCTGATTATGGACCTGTGTCATTTGTTTTCCTATCTTCATTTTCCTTTAATGATCACCTTCCTTTAATGATCACCTTTTTATATATCTTATTTATTTCTTGTGTCTGTTGCAGTCCTTGACGATCAATGATGGCAAGTCCTGCAGTGTGAAAGATCTGGGAACACAGTTCTTCCTCAGAGAACAGGATGCTAAAGCCAACAAGACCAGGTAAACACTTTATTTGTGTAATATAATAGCGTTTCATCCTACCGGGTACCCATTTAACACCTGGGTGGAGAGTAGCAAATGTACATTAATGTCTTGGGACTCCAACCGCGAACCATGTGATTTGTGTGCAATAATCTTGGGGCAAAAGAAGGTTGTGCTCCAATTTTTTGTCTTACGATTGAAGAGCAGTGAAAATTGCTCATTATAACAGGAATGATTAAAGTTAAACTTGAGTTCTGGTAATGCGATTGCATTGTGAAAGAAAAGGTGTGGAATGGATCAGAAAAGTTGATCATATAGCATGTAAGTAATGGTGTGTAATGCAAGGTTTTGGAGTCATCAAAATCATCATAAATTTGGCAGAGTCTTGGTAAAGTAACAATCACTTACACAGAAAGATGTATATGGGACAACACACATGGTGTCGGGGCTAGTACTACCCTGATTTCCTAATCTTTCTATGCTCATTACTCAGCCAGTATACATTTTCTTCCCAAATTGTTTGGCACATGACATTTATTTGTAATCTTGAACATTCAGTGTATATTTCGTTAGATTTTGTGAGAATTCATTTTCTTTTTTTACCAGAACTCAAGTTTATCTTTAACAATGTTTTTCTTTGTTTTAGCTCATAATAGCCGAAAAGTCGTCATAAGAGGTTCATGCCGCCATAGAATTACACATAAATTGATTTGGGCCTGTGACAATATCCTTGTTGTAAATGTTACCTCGCTATAGCAGATCTCGCTATGTCAAGTTTTCCCTGTATTCTAATGATTTGCTCCATTTTAATTGTTGTTGTAAGGGCTCAAGCAACTTATAGCCGACTGGCTGAGTTGAACCCCTATGTGAGCATCAAGCTGAGTCAACAGACGTTAGCTGACAACTCTGACCTGACCTTCCTCAAACAGTTCCAGTGTGTCGTCCTAACAGAAACACCGCTCGGTCTTCAGCTTAAGATCAATGAGTTCTGTAGGGCTCAGACCCCTCAAATCAAGGTACAGTCAAACTTGTTGTTATTATTATTATTATTATTATTATTATTATTATTATTATTATTTATTCGGCAAAAGCAAAGAAAATCATTGAATACAAAACAAGAGTACATGCATTTGGAAAAGAGTCACATGGATGCCGGGAAAAGAACTTAGTGTCTATGTATTTTGTCTCCTTGAAAACGAAATGTGTTTTGTACAACCCGTCTAGAAAGGCTACCTGTGTACAGTGGCCACTTTCTCTGTTTTAGTTGGATGGCCTTTGACTGTATATACCAATTTCCTTCAAATTTGTCAGTGTTTGATGAAGATTTGATATTTTAGACGGGAGTCTCTGACTGAGTACATTCTAATGATTGAAAGCGATCACTGGTAAATAAAATTTGATGTTTTTGGTGTTTTTTGTAACTCAAGAATGAAAGACAGGCTGTTTGAATTAGAGCCGTTGTTGAATACGTTAAGATGTGAGCTTTGATATGTGACATTCTCAAGAAACATAATGGAAACAATTTAAATTTGAAAATTATTTTATATGAAAATTGGGGAGGGCAAGGACAATAGCTATTAATACTTGTATCTCGTTTCATCATAAGATATTTTTTTTAATACATTGTGACTGAATCAGCAGGTACATGTATATGTTTTAGAAAAGATATAATTCACTGGTAAAGTAGAAACTTATATGATTAGATCAAATTAGTCTAATAGCTGAGCCAGAGTAATGTTTGTTTTGACATGATGAAAAAATAAACTGATTAGAATGAATAACATTATTTGTAAACAATTAAGAGATGATATTCTTAGGAGGAAGCATTGATGCATGTACACACATGGTGCTTCCTCATGAAGCCAGAGCCCTGTCTCATAAGACTTGTTATCAATAACTAGTTACAATCACTGTTATAAGCTACTGAAATCGCCGCATTTGATTGGCTGAGAGAAAATTTGTTATCTATTTATCATAGATATTTAGCATTTGTTATTGTAGAAACAGGGCCCAGTTATTTTAAATCCTGAGCTTATTTTATATCGATGAATGACTGTGTTGATTGACTTTAAAGGGGGTGTAGCCTAACGAGACTACGTGTCTTTCCCGTGGCCTGACTCGGGGCCATCGGGTATAATACGACTACGGACGACGCGACCGCAGTATTTATGTGCGTGCAACATACGCCAGACCGAAGCATAAGGAGAACTTTGGTCTGTTTCGTGAACACTAGCACGCTGACCGTCGATCAAGTCCATTCGTTTACGTGCAGAAGTCGTAGATGGCGTTAACCAGTATATGCAATGTTACACCCCCCTTCAACTTGTCCTTTGCTGTCTCTCTCAGTTCATAGCAGCTGATGTATATGGTCTGTACAGCTACTGCTTCTGTGACTTTGGTGATGAGTTCACCGTGCAGGATGTCAATGGAGAAGAGCCAATGCAAGTGTTCATTGCAGATGTCACTAAGGTGAGGCTTAATCTTGAATCTTGAATCTTTACCAGGGATGCCAATTTTCAGGCAATAGCTTGAATTCAGGCCCTGGCAAGTTATTTTCAGACCATAGTTTAGGCTTTTTTTGTGTAGAAAATAGCTCATTTTAGGTGATTTTCAGGCCCTCTGATCAATTCTAACTGGCATCCCTGCTTTACAAACTGTGCATCAATATGTCATTTCTAGAAAACCATAGTCTGTTTTTGTGCGTTTAACCCCTGTCGTGAAAACGCCAAAGTCTGCAGTATATCAGGTCATGTATTGTATATAGACCTAACTTTAGCATCTCTGAAAGGAGAGGAGTATTTTAGAAGAAGTAATCTAATTACAGACTTGGTTATGGAGAGAAATTTACCTGATACCAGGTTGTTAAAGGCAATTAATTCAGAACATTTCTTTCAAAATCCATTGAAATTTTTTAATAAGCATATTATTATAATTATCATCGGTTAGTTCTGCCTTTGAGATGTCATTGAGATATGTAGTACATAACATTTACAATTAAGATGTACATGTATAGTTCATTGTAAAATGTTAATGATTAATGAAAACAAGTTTGAAAAAGTTTGGTAAGAAGACATGACTAACATGTATGTCATGTTGATGATCTTGGTCTACATGCTTTATACAGTAGGCTCAAAGAGTTTCAGCCATTGTTAAATATTTGATTTGATTTGTTCTTATGATATATATAATATTATCCATGTTACCGTACTGATTTGTTTATAATCTATTCAACCAAGTTTGTTGTTTTATGAGAAGCTTTAGTTTTCAAATTGTTTATATATTCTTTTGGTAACACTTAGCTTTGGAATTCTCTTTCTGTTAAACTTAAATCTTGCCCATCACTTAACTTTAAAAAAAAAAAACATAGCTAATATATTATAAGATCCTACTGTCATGACTATTGAGCAACTTATTCCTTTTTATAATGTTTGTTGCGCTTAGAGTGTTCGTTCATATTCTGTTTACTTTGTTGGTTTGTTAAGTTATATTTTGTGCTTGTAGTACATATTGTTCAATTTCTATATTTGTTAGGGTTCTCCCTTCTACATTTTCGTTTTACTGTAATGTTTTGTTTATATATACATATGCAATTGTTCATATTATTCATGTTCTTAGTTTTAATGGTATGTTTTTTAATGGAATGTGATAAAAACTTTAACTAGAACCTGATATGAACCTGTAAACTCATTAACTACCTACCATAGATACAAGTATCAATACTAATCCTTGATTTTGTCCTGATCTGATATATAGGACAATCCTGGCGTAGTGACATGCTTGGATCAGCAATATCATGGTCTGGAGACAGGAGACTATGTGACTTTCAAAGAGGTCAAGGGAATGACTGCTCTCAATGATGCAAGGCACAAGGTCAAAAGTAGGTATTTCTATGTTTTTATTGAAATGTTTTGTACATGGTCAATTTATACATAATAATAATAATATGGCACTCCATTGTTATTACCCTGGATTTAGCTCGGCTGCCATTGCAGCGCTCAAGTATTTCAAGGAACTAATTCCTGCCAGGTACCCATTTACCTCACCTGGGTGGAGTGTGGCAATTGTAGATTAATGTCTTGCCAAAGACGTTAGTGCTGTGACAGGGATTCGAACCCTGTAGCTTGTGGTTCACAGTCGGGAGAATTATCCACTGGATCACAACATCTTTACATATTCAATCTGAATCAATATCTTTCTTTTGTTTGAGTTCCATATCAAGGGCAGTTAAGGATAATAACTAGATACAACAGGTATCTAATAGAATCCAACATATATTCACAACTTTGTTTGAGATGATGTGTATTTATCTACACGTTCAAGTTCATTAATGAGCATAAATCCAGTTATATGTGTATGTAGTGTAGATGGTTGTGTAGGGGATTCTAAAGGCTCATTCGCGGTATGCAGTCAACTAGTGTTTTTATCTATATGATGAGATAAGCATAATATACTTCACATGGACGTAAGCGCTCTAGCATTTCAAGGAACTAATTCCTGCCAGCAGGTATCCATTTACCTCAACTGGGCGGAGTGGGGCAATTGTAGATTAATGTCTTGCCAAACATACAAATAGTGAGAACTGGTATTCATGAAACCTTGTTGCACACTTATGCTTTTCATTCATCCCTACTGGCAATACATTTCCATGTTAAAAAACAACAAAAACAAAAACAACAATGCAGTTATTTGCCTCGTATGTTAATAAGCCATAATCCACTATTTTTTCTTGTTGATTTGTGCAGGGATCTCACCATACAAGTTCAGTATAGAGGATACATCAGGTGATGGGTTCCAGCCGTATGAGACCGGTGGTATAGCTATAGAAGTCAAGGTCCCTTCCATCGTCAAGTTTGTGAGTAACTTCAATGTTTTCAGTCTTCTTGCCACTGGAATGGCATATACTATGAACATGACAGACAAGAAAAGAAAGAGGACAAAATATACAGTTCCTTGGGTAGACAAAGGAACATCCCTTCACTGCTAATATGTAAAAAGGGGAATATGCATGTGACACCTGTTCTACACATTTTTACATAATAGCAGTGAAGGGACGTTCCTTTGTCTACCTGAGGAACTGTATATTTTGTCCGCTTTCTTTGTCAGTCATGCTCATAGTGATGTATTCACTCTGTGGTGTAAACATTTGTTGTTATGAAATTTGATACGGATGTGTTTTAAATAATAATAATAATAGTGGGTTCTTGTATAGCGCTCATGTCTGTCATATTTGACACTCCTGGCGCTCCCGATTATTACCCTGGCTTTAGCACAGCTGCCATACGGCACTCTAGCATTTCAAGGAATTAATTCCTGCCAGGTACCTACCCATATACATCACCTGGATTGAGTGTGGCATATGTAGATCAATGTCTTGCCAAAGGACATTAGTGCCGCGGCGAGACTTGAACCGCGGACCTTGTGATCGACAGTCCGGCGACGTATCGACTCGACCATGACGCCTCTACATGGTGTGTATGTTATTAATAAAGTACAGTGTAGATAATAAAGTAGCCAGCATCATCTCTTGAATCATGCACAAGAAAAGCACATGTGCTTCATTTAGTTTCTTGAGGTGGACAGGATTGAATGTAGTCTATGGTATATTTAGTCTTTGTCACGCTTCCTCGCTTTGAAAACCACCTATATCTTACATGGTTGACACTAGCTGTTCTCCAAGCTGGAGATTTACACTGTTTGGAAAATAAAATGTTGTGATGATACTTTAATTAGGACCTCTCATTTATGAAACATACATTAAGTTTATTTCTTGGGGCAATATCCAGTGTGACACAAGCAGCCATTAATGAATAGTAGAGGGGTACATATTAAAGTCACGCTCTTTCTTTGCTGTCTGTAGCTACCTCTCCGAGACCAACTGACCAACCCGTCTACTATCCTGGTAGACTTCACTAAAGACCTGATGGTGTCCCATCTGGCCATGTATGCTCTGCAGCAGTTCAGAGAGGAGAATGGGAGACTACCAAGCGTCAGGTATGTAGAATATCTTGCCATGTATGCTTCCTGAATCCTTTTTTTCTTGTATGCGAATTTGAATTACTTACGGCAATTTTTAATTATTTATTTATTTCTGCATGGTTCAACAGTTTACATAGTTTGATCATGACCATCACAGTAGTAAACACTAGATTACGATCATTATTCATTTGCAATTGTAAATGATACAGAAGCATACATAGGTATGACAATATAAGCTTAATGCTTGAGAGATTGCCACACCTTATCATCTAACAATATTTTTAAGGAGATGAATTTGTCAAGTAAATCTCATGGATGCTGTGCATATGTGTGATAGCTATAAGAATAATATAGTATAAGAATTCAGTTATTGTGAAGTAATTGAAATTCTTACATCTGGACTGATGGGTATTGAAACATTGCTCTGTAAGTGAGCCCTTCTCTATGTAAATGAGCCGTAACATTGTGCATTCTTAACACTTTAGTGCATGATAAGAAGGATTATCGTACGCCACATAAACAACCAAACACTTCTCAATTATATTTGATTACAGGAACGATGATGATAAAGATGCCTTTGTGAAGATTGCGATGCGTCTGAACGACACCCTTGCTGACCCTATCCCCTCCCCGTCTACCAAGCAGCTTGCATCCCTGGCCTACAGCGCTGAAGGCTGCTTTGCTCCTCTCTGTGCTGCCTTGGGAGGATTTGTAGCTCAAGAGGTCCTCAAGGCACTCACCGGCAAGTTCACTCCTCTAAAACAATGGGTGAGTGAGGTACAAACCCCTCTACATATGATAGGCTGTCTTATGAGATTGTATGTTTCATAGCTCACAACGTCCTTAAAGGGATCGTTTAACAATTTGATGATTTGATGATATAACCACCTATCGGTGACCATGCAGGGAGGTCTAATTCCTCCTGTGGGGTGTTTCATAAAGCCGTTCGTAAAGTTACGCATGACTTTACAAACTACTTATATATGAAAAGCCAAATGGGATGCTCAATCATTTTTTAACTGCATCAACTAAAGTTGAACTGTGCAGATATAGATTAACATTCTTATTATAACAAATATTTTTAATACAAAGTATATTTTTTGCCATAATTTAATTGAGGTTATTGGAAATATAGTTGCACTTTGTGAAAACATCCGGAAAAACTTTGGGCATCCTGTCTGGCACTTCATATTCAAGTCGATCATAAAGTCATGCGTTACTTTACGAACAGCTTTATGAAATACCCCCCTGGCCAAACTAGTGCAGATAGACTTTAAACAATGGGTGAGTGGTACAGCCTTCTTCCCCCAACTTCCCCAATCATTGGTTTCTCTTCTAAGCCTGTGATGGTATAAGAGGACCTTGATATTAATAGGAAACCCCACAGTGGTATACCGGTATGCTTCCTGAACGGTTTCTGTCCATTCCTCTCAAAGCATCTGGTATCCAGAACGGACTTCACTGAGCTAAGCAATAGATGAATAATTCTTAATCTTTATTTTTTCCACTCCATACACTGTACCTCCTATGAAGATATAGAGACCAAGAAACCATCTAGATAGAGAGTGGGATGTTCAATACCGGTACCTTCCAATGATGCATGAGAATGAAAGGCTTATATGCAAAAGTAAATTGTCTTTCAAAATCCTGAGTAACAAATTTCTAATTGAAAGAAATCACAATGGAATAGTTGCATAAGAGCTGGATGGTGCATGAGGGAGATAGCATTAGCACCATGTACAACAGTCAAACCTGTCTATAGCAACCGCCCAAGGGAAACACCAAAAGTGGTCTTTGTAGACAGGTTCCTTTAGTAAATGTTTTAATGAAAAAACTTTTCAAGGGAAACAAAAAATGTGGTCATTGTAGACAGGTTCCTTTAGTACATGTTACAATGAAAAACCATTTTCAAGGGAAACAAACAATGTGGTCTTTGTAGATAGATGGTCACTAAAGCAGGTTTGACTGTATTACTTATATCAAACATCCGTGGTAGTATTGTTTCAATCAATCCGTGCATGTCTGTATATCTCATTTCAGGTCCATCTTGATTCATCAGAAGTACTGAAGGGACTGGAAAATGAAAGTGCAGATAATTTCATGCCAAAGTGAGTATAAAAGCATGTTCTGATAGTGGTGGTTATTTTACCTGACTGCTAAGAAAGCATAAATGCTTGTAAGTAAGCAACCAGACGGCCGACGGCTTTAGGTCCTCTCCGAGACCACTGCTCTATCGACTGAGCTATCGCGCCTCCGCATGTACAAGCATTTGCAACACAGTTCTTCAGCTACCGGTACACATATTCGTTTGGAAGAATGCATTTACTGAATATTTAGCATCATAGTGTTGACATGAAAAGTTGAGTTCATGGTGCAATATGTTCTCTTATCGGCTTGGAAATGTAAATGGGCTAAACGATTTAAGGATTGAACCCACATGTGTGCTTTCTCTGATACTCTCTAGCACAATTTTCCTCCTCTAGCACTCCTTCTGTCTTCCTTTTTACATGTCTGAAATCTGTTCCAATCATCTTGCAAAAATATGATTTGTCAGGTTACTTCAAGAGCAAGTACAGATGTTTATTAGCACATTCCCTTTTATAATATCATGAGTAAACTAAGATGCTGCTCGTAAGTATCGGTTTGCATGGTGATGTAGATATACAGTAGGTTTACGGTTGTACCATGTGTGAGAGAGGGGGAGCTCCTGACGACGGATAGTCAACCTGTTCGAAACGTCGAGTCACTCCTACTACCCATCCTCTCCAACTGGCACTATAGTTCTCCTTAGAACTATAAGCTCAAGAAAAATTACCAACAGTCTTTTTCAAGACTACCAACAGTCCTTTAAAGGACTACACACACTCTCAAGAAAGAAAGATTACCGACAGTCCTTTTCAGGACTCCCCCAATCCTCCCCCCTCTCTCACACATGGTGCAACCGTAAACCTAATGTATATGAGTAAACTTGTAGACGAGATGGGAGTGTGTAATGTAATTGAAATCTTTATACAGTATTTTGATGATTGATGCTTGTCTGTCTTTGCTTTATAGGGGAGACCGATATGATGCTTTGAGGATTTGTATTGGTGACAACCTGGTGCAGAAGATCGCATCTCAGAATCTCTTCATGGTTGGATGCGGTGCTATCGGATGTGAGATGATGAAAAACTTTGCAATGCTCGGTGTGGGAGTTCAAGGAGGAAAGGTGCATAAATCAAAGCTTTGTTTTCGGGGGGGGGGGGAGATTATTGTCATATCATAACAGCTTTGAAGGTTGGTAACTTCTTTTGTTGTTGTTGAATTGATCAAGTCAATTGAATTTGATAAAAATTTCAATATAAAATGACTTATGGCAATTCATTTGATTTTGTAAGAGACTTTTATCTAAAAACAAATCAGCTGTCTGTGCAAGTCTAGTGCTACTTGTTTGTACTTAACCAGTGAAAATTGCATTTATTATTATTTTTTTATTATTACAGAACAAATACAATTAATGGGATCACTTTTTGCAATGTAAAGTGTTGTGGTACTCTACTGAAATTGAAACACAAAATTTATAATCACCAAAAGTGAATTATTAAGGAAATGATTAAAATTATACCTTGTAAAGTTTAATACCAACAAGTAAATTTTCAATTTCATTCATGGTTGCGAATTTGAGTGTACCCGTTCATTGGATTCCTGTTAAAATAGAGTTTGCTTGTGCAATTTTTACAGGGACATGTGTAGTTTTAGTTGCAGTTTAACCCTAATAAGGCCGGGCTATTTGAGGTCTTACTATGGCCGGGGGGGGGGGGCCATTATGGCCCCCCCTTAAGATCTCAGCCGCGAAGCGGCCAATCGCCGCGAAAATTTGCACGCATGTCAAGTGAAGTGTATAGAATAATAAGATAATTTCAATTTTTTGAAAAATTCACTCATTTGCATATTTATGGTAATTTATGCAAATAAAGTCATAAAAATCACATTTTTACCCATAAATCATATATTATTCATATTTAAGCATTCTTTTTCACTACATATATTCATTAGACCATTCTGAATAATAATACAACAAAAAATTTGGAAGAGCCAGCTTATTCCTTATGTTATCCCTTGTTTTGATAATTTCTTATGTATTTCATTGTTTTTTAACTTATGTATTTCATTGTTTTTGTTGTTTTATTTCATTTTTTACTACAATTTAACTATTTTAACTCCCAAAACAACCACCTAAACAAGACCCAATAACCCATGTTTGATCTGATTTTAGGAAAAATGACTTTTACATATGTTTTGTACACAAATCACGAAAATGAGCGATTTTCGGGCTGACATGCAAAGACAAAAGGTCACGTGACCTTGTAACCGTAGGTCCGATTTTCAAAAAAATTGTTTTAAAAGTTGCGCAAGACTCGAAAGAAAAAAGTCAGCAAGCGGCCGGGCGCCATCCATATGCGTTCCCGAGCAATCGGAAAAATCGTGGAGGGGGGGCCATAATGGCCCCCCCCCCCCCCCCCCCGCCGGCCTTATTAGGGTTAAACAGCATTGCTATGTGTGCAGTTCTTTCATGTTGTGCAATTATTTTTCAGATAACGGTGACTGACAATGACATCATTGAGAAGTCCAACCTGAATCGACAGTTCCTTTTCAGACCTCATCACATACAGGTAAACATTCATCAATCACTCAAACATTCATCTATGAAACACAGCCATGTGTTGAGAGACAAAATGCGGGGAATAGAGATTGTCCATTTTAGCTGTGATACACTTGGCCTGAGAGCCCCCACTTGGTAAAATCAAGTAGCACACAAAGCATGTATCTAGAATGGTGGTGGTGGTTATTTTACCTGACTGCTAAGAAAGCATAAATGCTTGTAAGTAAGCAACCAGATGGCCGACGGCTTTAGGTCCTCTCCGAGGGACCTGGTAATGAGGATTAATGCCTTACCAAAGGGCACTAGGGCATCGACTTGGTTTCGAACCCGGGTCACCGGATTACGAGCCACTGCTCTACCGACTTAGCTATCGCGCCTCCTCATTTATCCTATTTATGATACTTGAATTGTTTAGTATACATCAACTTGTATCCCTTCAAGTGTATGCCTGAAGTGATATAACACTTTACCATCATCCATAGTTGACATTCAAGATTCCAGAATATTCAAGGCTCATGTGCAACAGCATTTTCAATAGTCCTTTTTTTCAGGCTCACACTCAGTCCAACTCGTCTAGTTTTTAACCGTATTTCCTCAGATATAGATTAAGATTCAGAAGCCATAAAACATCTTGCCACCATACGTTGTATGTTATGTGTCATGGTCCTCAATATTGTGAACATCTGTATCGTTTACATTATGAGGTGCAGAAAATATATGACACGCTAAGAAGCCTATAACATCAATAATAATTAGATCAATGTATAAAGCGCAGCTACTATATAAATATAAACTACTGTGCTGTGATGAACACAAAACTCCTAACAGTGCCACTTTACAAACACACAATTAAAAAAAGTATTAAAAAATTAAACTATTAAAAATCTCCTGAAAACAAGTGCTTTCAAACAAAAGTTTGAAGACAGCAAACAGATGAGGCTTTTCTCATGCCTAGTGGTAAGTTATTCCAAAGTTTTAGAGCGGCGCAACTGAAAGCATAATCTCAAAGAGTTAGTCTATGTCATACTGTGGTCTGAACTCAGCACTGGCTATTCTTTATTCCCCTCTTCAAATGTGCTATTGTAGTATTCACTAAATGTTTTGATGATATCTCATATCATTATTGCAACTACAGAAGCCCAAATCAGAAACTGCAGCACAGAGCACTCGAGATATCAACCCAGATATGAAGATAGAAGCGCATCAGAATAAGAGTAAGTTTCAACAATAATTATAGTAATGTTTGTTTATATAGCGCTCTCACACATTTGGTTTCACAGCGCTTTACCTTATATAAAGGTGTATTAAAGGTGTCTAGCGTGGGTTATATATGGATGTTCTGGGGCAGTTGATTCCAGAGGTGGGGTGCATATAATTAAAAAGCATTGTCATCTGTTACTGTGGATGTTTTGGGGATGTGGAGAAGAGAGTTGTCTTCTAAAGTCTTCTAGAGAAACAACATTTTGTACTATTTACCTTCCTTTATAAGATATTTTCCCCTCACTGTAGGAGTTGGTGCGGAAAGGCAAAGGCCTATAAAGTAGTAAAACCAAGGTTTGGAGACCAAGTCAGATAAGGTTAAAGCCATTTTGTGCCTGAGGTAACCAAATATCGATGTCTTTTTTTGCAAGCCATGGGCATTTTAATGCAATTTTAAAGGCTCAATTTTACTATAAATTATATCTTTGTTTCTCATAAAATTGATAAATTGAATTAAAAAATGAAACACAAATTATCTGACTGATTTCTAAAAACTGCTAAGGCCAAAAAATAATAAATTCTGTAATTACACATTGTGTGATCTTGTATATTTTATTCAAAAAATGATATGATACCACTGACGTTTTGGACACCTTTGATTTAATCTATGGTTACTGTCGTTTTTCTGCTCAGTCTGTCCACAGACAGAGACGACCATCTACACCGATGCCTTCTTTGAAGGACTGGATGTCGTTGTCAATGCCCTGGACAATGTGGAGGCAAGGAGATATGTTGATAGGTGAGTGAAAGCATGGAATAGATATTATTTTAAAGACCCCATTCAATGAAAATACAAATTTATATTAATGGAAAGCTTAATGAATGCAGAATACAAATATAAAGTAGTAAAATATAGTTTCCCTTTCATTATTGCACAAAAGCAAATTAATATAACACTCAGTTTCCGCAGCCCTCTAAATTACGGGCAACAGGGTTCATATTTGCCACAGTTACGGTGAAGACAAAACATGTAGAACCGATCAGCTGTCCTATATAGCTGATGAGCATGATTAATTAATGCACAGTCATTGTAAATATGCTCAATCCACATCAGATGATGTCATCAAGTCGATAGCTAGTTTTTAATTCGACAACTTCCGATTTTCAAAGCTTTAGATTTTGAGTTTCCAGCTGTTTCTTCTCTGACAGACACTAAAATAGCATATCATTTATCTATTTCACTATTTTTATGCCTCCGTTACGAAGTATCCAGAGGCATTATGTTTTTGGGTTGTCCGTCCGTCCGTCCGTCCGTCCGTACGTACGTATGTACGTCTGTACGTCCCGTTCTCGTGATCGTGATATCTGAAGAACCGATCGATGAATTTCTGCCAAACTTTGGTCATGTATGTATCTTGCAGAGCCGATGAACTGATTAGATTTTGGGGTCACGAGGTCAAAGGTCAAAGGTCACAGTGCTCATTATGTATGCAAAAACAGCTCGTGATCGCGTTATCTGAAGAATCGATTGATGGATTCCAGCCAAACTTTGGTCATGTATGTATCTTGCAGAGCTGATGAACTGATTAGATTTGGGGCTCACGAGGTCAAAGGTCACAGGGCTCATTATGTATGCAAAAACAGCTCATGATCGCATTATCTCAAGAACTGATTGATGGATTCCTGCCAACCTTAGGTCATGTATGTTACTTGCAGAGCCGATAAACTGATTTGATTTTGGGGTCATGAGGTCAAGGTCAAAGGTCATGCGGCTCATTATATATGCAAAAATAGCTTGTGATCGCATTATTATTAGAACAGATTGATGGATTCCTACCAAACTTAGATCATGTATGTATCTTGCAGAGCCAACGAACTGAGTAGATTCTTGGGTCATGAGGTCAAAGGTCATGGGCTCATTATGTATGCAAAAATAGCTTGTGAACGCATTCTCATTGGAACTGACAGATGGATTACTATTTAACTCAGGACATCTTGCAGAGCCAATGAACTGAGTAGATTTTATGGTCATGAGGTCAAAGATCAAAGGGTCATATATGTATATGAGAAATTGCTTGTAATCACGATATTCTGAGAACCTGTTATTGGATTACAATTGAACTTGAATTTGAAAAATTTCTTCTGTTTTGGTTTGTAAAATTGCTCTATGACGGAGGCATCATTTTCGACTGCGCGCAGTCGAAGTTCAATCTAGTTCACTTCATAGAAGTACATTTATCATTTACTCAAGATAGCCATGCAGTTGTATTATTATTGTTTATAACTTTATAGAGGATAGCAAATAGATTGTGTGAAACAGTATTTATATAATGCTGTACCTTGTGTTATCCTCTTGTCATAGTCGCTGTGTGACTAACCAGAGCCTCTGATGAAGTCAGGAATGCTAGGGGCTAAAGGTCACGTCCAGGTCATCATTCCACAATAATAATTGTTTAAAGTTCAAAGAGGATGGCAAATTGATCATGTGAAACAGTTTATTTGATGCTGTACCTTGTGTTATCCTCTTCTCATAGTCGCTGTGTGACTAACCAGAAGCCTCTGATGGAGTCAGGAACGCTAGGGGCTAAAGGTCATGTCCAGGTCATCGTTCCACATTTGACCGAGTCGTACGGAAGCAAACAGGATCCTCCAGAGCAGTCTATACCTTACTGTACTCTCAAGTCCTTCCCTGCTCAGATTGAACACACCATACAGTGGGCTAGAGACAAGGTCAGATTTTTTTTGCTAACAGGACATACATTACCAGGGGTGGTGTTTCACAAAGATCCTAAGTTGAACTTAACTCTAAGTTGGACTTAAAATTATGGAGAGCCATTTGTAGCCTTTAAAAGATATATTCAAGTATTTTAGACTTTTTATTAATTCCACATCAAGAACATGAAATCTCCCATGATAATAGAAAATATGAATGATTTGAATCAACATTTTATGCCTTTTAAAATAACTTGTTCAAAATATTTTCATAAATGCTAAAGGCTTTCCATAATTGTTAAGTCTAACTTAGAGGTAACTTCAACTTAGGATCTTTGTGAAACACCCCCCTGAATTGTTAAAAGAAACATTTGTATGAGTGCGACTCTTGGGATAGTTTTGATTAGGACGATCATTGAAAGGCCAAGTGAAATGGCCCAAAAATGGCCAATTTCCAATCACTCTCCAATAAACTACAAGAATACCTTAAACCTATTAACAATTTTGTCTGTGCAGTTTTTTTGGTAAAAGCATACTTGTAGATTGTTAGTGATGTAGGTTCCTTTTCTGAGATGATGCTTAATATGAGCCTCCCCCATTGTGGAGGCATACCTTACAATTTGTCATTGCGGGAAAGGTGGGATGGGGCCGTCAAGATCTAACTGTTTAATAATTGGAACACATTTCAAAATGAGGGAGTAAGCTATTTCATGTTGACTAACCCCCTTAAATAAACAAATACTAAAATGACAATAATGTAAATCAGAAACAACATTCCTTATCGCTTGCTTATATGTTTTTTCTTTGTTTAGTTTGAGAGTTTGTTTGCCCAGAAGCCCAGTATGTATACCAAGTACTGGGAGGTGAGTGGAGCACCAGAAGATGTAGTAAAGGTAAGTTATCTTGTTTTATCAATATCCTACTTGTAAAAAAACAGTTATGTCCAATCTTGCTGTGCCAATGTCATACGTGTGAAAACCAGTCGTGTCCAATCTTGCTGCTCCAATGTTATATGTACTGGTATATGTTAGGACTAAGTTGAGTATAATTATAATTGGCTTCACCAAACGATCTATAAGTTTTTATTTATTAATGTAGAATGAAAGATGGTATATCATACACGTAGCAATTAATGATACAGGTTTATCCTGATGTGCTTCCAAATTCCTTTGGGAGTTATCAATCGATCATCATCAATACTTCATGCGTTAATCAAGTGTTCCAATGTCTCAGGAATCTGCAAGGGAAGTTTACCCCTTCTTGTATCGGAACAGTAGAGATTAAATTGAACACAGGTTAAAATTATAAGCCCATAGTATAGGACTTTAAAGGTAAACTCGTTTTCATTCTTCAACTTCCATACCCCTTAAATAAATTATCTCTTTTTGATCTTCAAGTCTGATATGTACCGGCATTCATGTACACTTTCTTTGTGTTTGTGTTTTTTTTTAAAAAATTTTTGTCAGAAACTTGAGAGTGGAGAGTCTCTAGAGAACACGCTACCTGTCACCAAGTACCTCAATAACCGAGGGACATCATGGCAGGATTGTGTGAGGATAGCAAGGATCAAGTTTGAGAAGTACTTCAATCACAAGGTATGTAATAATGATAATATTCTGCTTTTGTATGGCGCTTTTATGTCTCTAAGTCCTTTACAGATATTACATCAAAAGTTGTTTATAGCCTCACTGCACTACTTATAGCTTCTTGCTCCTGCCATACAGCAGTCTATGCCTGATCGGTGACCGTTGGTCCCACACGATCCCCTTTTTTGTATGTCAATTGAGAGCTGATTTGATGAGATAACCACCTGTCAGTGACCATGCAGGGAGGTCTAATCCCTCCTGGCCAACAAGTACAGAGGGACTTTAAACCACCTGAAAACAGGTTTACAAATCTATGATGCCATTCATTGGGGATTTTATCTATGATGAAGAGTGGTTTTTGGAAGGTATGTAGCTGGATTGCCTTAACTTTAATGTGCCAAAATCCCTTCAAGTTTTGTAAATGTTATTTACAGCATAACTAGTGACTTTTTACAATTGATTAGAAATCAAATTAATTGCCAACGATTGTACCTGTAAATGTATACAAACAGACTAAAAATTGTATTTATACCATTGGTGGCATAATTTTTAGTGTATAAGCCTTAAAGTTTTAGTGTATCAGCTTTTAGTGTGGAAATAACTCATATAACTTGTGTATTGGAAGTGTTGCCCACTCTGTTGATCTGTATTCAAGACTTAAATGCAGGAACACTCTAAACTTGGCTAAGGTGGAGGTATACAAGCAATAGAGTATCATTTCTGTGTACTTCATGTGAGGTTGAATCTGACGCATGGCATATGGTAATGAATATTGTCTGTCTATTTACATGGAATATTTTATCTTTTGATCTTTTTTCGTAGGCCAACCAGCTGCTTCACGCTTTCCCTCTCGATGCAAAAACATCCGATGGAGGTATGAATGTCATCGTATAGTGGCAGTCCAACCCGGGCCCTGTTTCATAAAACTGGTTATCAATAGCAAGTTACAATCATTGTTATAAGCTAGTGAAATCATGAAATATGATTGGCTGACAGCTACTTGTCTTAGAATTTTAGCATTTGTTATTGATAGCAAGTTTTATGAATCAGGAACCTGATCATATTTTAGTTTTAATGAAAGCAGAAAATTGAGAGAGATGTGTATTTATAACTTCGAGGCAAGTCTGATCTGAAGCATTTAGTTATGAATGTTGCAAGTTTTAATATGTAATTGATTTCACGCAGAAGTCACACAAAATTGGCAACTCCGGGATTTCCTATGTGGGCAGCTCAACACATGTGTTGGAATGAAACTTGCTTTTTTAGGTTGCCGATGAAGGAGTAGAGCTTTGAAATATTTGTGTGATGATGATTGTTATACCTGCCTGCTAAGAAAGCATGTATATGCTCGTAAGTAAGCAACCAGGGGAACAACGGCTTGAAGTCCTATCCAAGGGACTTGATAAAGAAGTTTAATGCCTTACCAAAGGGGACGAGTGCATAGACTTGGTTTCGAATTTGGGACCTTGCAGTTACGAGACCGTTGCTCTAACACTGAGCCACTGTGCCTCCTAATACAAAAAGGTGTATCCAAAACATGTGTAATAATATGTACAAGAGTAAAAATGAATTTGTTGGAAACAAATGAGTGCTTCTAAAGATGGAAATCACACAGTATAAGAAAGCATCTTATTTGGACTGATTTTTAAAAAAATTGTAAATGGATGCAATTCAAAAGTATTTTTGAGTACCATAAATTATCACTAAAAGTAATTCTATTTGTCATTTTCCAGGTATGTTTTGGCAGTCACCTAAAAGACCACCCACTCCACAGGAGTTCAGTCCAAAGACAGAATTGTGAGTCTTTGACGATGTATGTCTGTTTGTCTGTGTCTGTCTCTCTCTCTCTACCTCTGTTTGTCTCTCTCTCTCTACCTCTGTTTGTCTCTCTCTCTCTCTCTCTCCCTCTTCATCTCTCTCTCTCATCCATGGAGAGATATTTCTTGTTTATAATATAACTTTGTGTCTTGCATCCCTCCATGATGGTTTGAAATACTTACAGTAAGAGAGGGTAGTACAATCTGATTTGTACATAGGTAGTGATCTCTTCTGCCAGAAGTGAAGAAAGGAAGTCTTGGAAATCATAATAATAATTGACAGGAATTGTATCAGGAAATCACAAATTTAAAGCAGCATAGTGGTGTTATAATTTGGTTTTAGGCACCAGTGTATTCAGTCCTTTTGCCTAACATTGTCATTTATTTGTTCTTGTCACAAAGGCACATGTCCTTTTTAGTAAGCTGTGCACGTCTGCTAGCTGCTGTGTATAACATTCCAGTGAGTGAGGATGATCTGAGTAAGGAGAGACTAGATGCCATCTTAGCCGGTGTAGCCGTGCCTCCATTTGTACCATCCTCTAAGGTAGGTCAAGGGTCACGCCGGGTAGTATTTCACAAAGACTAAGATTGACTTTAAGTTGGACTTAACTATGGCAGGCCGTTCATGCCACTGTTTGCTCTCACCATTTACTGGCATTTGGTGATAGCAAATAGTGGCATATGAACAGCCTGCCATAGTTAAGTCCAACTTAAAGTCAATCTTAGTCTTTGTGAAACACCCCCCTGGTCTGGGAAATCTAGAGTCTGGGTTATTTGTCTCTCCATAATTGGATGTCTAATATAGTTTACCCATACATGTATGTGGTGGTGGTGGTGGTGTTGGTGGGGGTGTTTTGGGGGCTTTTATTTTGACAGTTGCTCAGCTGTAGGGATGGGGTGCACCTCTGTTCCCTCACATCATCCCCCCCCCCCCCCCACAAAAAAAATTGACATTTTTAAAAAGTTGTCAGGTCATGTATCAAGAATATGCCCACAGAATTCTTGTTTATCAAACATCCATGTAAACAAATCTTACCTTATGCATGATATGATTGTAGAATTTCTCATTCTTAGTGCATTCATTCAACTTTGATCTTTGATACTGTATTTTAACCCTCAGATTAAAGTTTAATGAATTATCAAAGAATGTATATGTTCTCTTTCATCTGTTCTGAATAATAATAATAATTGCATTTGTATAGTGCTTTAATAATACTACGTTTCTAATTGCTTTACATTGTAATTATTATTGCCCCAGTCATTGAATTTAATTGCTAATCTGCACATGATAGTGCACCCGCTCCGCTTCCTGGGTAGCATTCTAGCCAGGCGCCATTTTAGAAGCACACACATTCCAATCCAACAACATTAATGATCGCATCCTATCGGGTACCCCTTTAACACTTGGGTGGAGAGTGGCAAATGTAGATTAATGTCTTGCTAAAAGGCGTTAGTGCCGCGGTGGGACTCGAACTAAACATGTGAAACACACATGACGTTAGAAAGCTGATGACCTTTGGAATGTTTTGATTTTCACAGAGGATCGTAACTGATGAATCAGAAGGCAAGGAAGGTGAAGAGGATGAATCGACCGATATGAGCTCAGCATCTAAAGAGATTACCGCTGCCATCCGATCAGGAAAAGCTGTGCCAGGTAAGATGTTTTACCTTTATATCTATTTGTGTTAAGATACATCTTTTCTTGTCCTATCACGAAGCAGCGGTCTGTTTTGAGGCAGTTTATTGTGCTTCATGGGGAATGTAAAAAGAAAAATAATGCCATTTCAGTGATGTAGCTGGATTTAAATGCCCATTTTCTAATATTACCTTTTTTATTTTTGGATAAAAAAGCTGGCGTTCATTTCAAAAATTAGGGTTCAACTCATTCAATCATTTAACCTATAGGACATTATTGGTAACAAGATTTGCAATTGAAAAAAAAATGAACTAGAATAAATTTTTGATGAAATCTTAGTCTTTATACTATCGTTGAATTGGTAGCATTTTAAAGGTTCAAAGGTTAAATAGTTCAGTAGGTTTATATGTCTTTAGGTAACATGGCTCGATCAGTTGTCCTCGGTTTCAAAACGATAACTGTACATTAAATGCTGTGAAATCTTTTGTAATTCCAGGCCTGCTACGACTAACACCAGCAGAGTTTGAGAAGGACGATGATTCCAACGGTCACATAGACTTCATCACAGCGGCATCGAATCTTAGAGCCAACATGTACAGCATTGAGAACGCTGATCGATTCAAGACCAAGCTTATCGCCGGCAAGATTGTTCCTGCCATTGCCACGACTACAGCAGCTGTAGCAGGATTGGTAAGTTAAAACAAAATGGAACGGAAATGAAACATGCTGCATTACGTATTTCTGTGTGTTTATAAATTTTAAAAGTATTTGAACAAAGACAACGGATGACGGATAGTCAATCTGTTCGAAACGTTGAGCCCCTCCTTCTACCCATCCTCTCCAACCGGCGCTATAGTTCTCTTTAGAACTATTTGGATACCAAATATCCATTCAATATTGTTTAAATATTTCCTTCAGAGGTTTAAATGGCAATACTTCAACCTAAATTCACAAAAAAGTAGAAATATATGCCCACATGTTTAATGTTGAAGTGCATTCACGATATCTATCCAGGCCGGATCGATATGATAATTTACAAAACATATCAATTGGTAGGCGGTTTCCCAGCCAAATTGTACCATCACGGATTAGTCAAAACACATTCTTTCACATGATTGGTAATAAGAGCTTCCATTTCATTTTCTTTACCTTTAAGTGCAGTGGAGTTTATTTATATAGTACCTGTGTGATATAAATGCACCTATTATTGATATTATTATTATTATTATTTCTTATATTTTGACCGTTGTAGTCTACCATTGAGATGGTGAAGTACATCAAGGGAACGACAAAGATGGAGGATTATCACAACTGCTTCCTCAACCTTGCTCTCCCCATGGTGATGTTCTCTGAGCCTGCTAGGACCGTAACCACCAAACTCAAGCAAGGTTTAACCTATACTGAGTGGGACAGATGGACGGTGCAGGGTAGCAAGGATTTCAAACTGCAGGACTTCAATCAATACTTCAAGGTAAGGGATGGAAATGCATGTTGAATGATCTTGATAGAGTTTATAGACAAATAGTTCTTTCTGTGAAATAACCTTTTAAACAAGAATAGAAATCCTTCGTTTAGTAGTAATGGTAGTAGAAGTACTAGTTGTTGTAGTAGTAGTAGTAGTAGTAGTGGTAGTGGTAGTGGTAGTGGTAGTGGTACTGGTGGTGGTGGTGTGGTAGGGGGTGGTGGTGGTGGTGGTGGTGGTGGTGGTGGTGGTGGTGGTGGTGGTGGTGGTGGTGATGGTGATGGTGATGGTGATGGTGATGGTGATGGTGATGGTGATGGTGATGGTGGTGGTAGTAGTAGCAGTAGTGGTGATGGTGGCAGTGGTGGTGGTGGTGGTGGGGATGGTGATGATGATCGTGGTGGTAGTAGTAGCAGTAGTGGTGGTGGTGGTGGTAGTGGTAGTAGTAGCAGTAGACTTTATTGGATAACTCGTTTAGCACAAGGCTAATCCACCACAAGGACAAGGTAATTATGTTTGATTTGTTTTAATGCTGACAAAAGATAATTTAATACCTTTCAAGGGATCTTCTGAAGAATTGTAGAAGTATTTGTATCAATCTGAAAATGATATTTTGCCTTCATCCCAAGACAGAGGAATACATGTATATACTGACTATATTGCTTTGATCAATATGACCTTTGACCTTTGACCTTGTGTTGTATCTCCTCAGGATACGTATCAATTGGATGTAAGCATGGTCGCTATAGGAGCTAAGTTGATCTACCTTCCTGTGTTACCTGGTCATCCTAAGAGGCTCAAACAGAAGTAAGTTTACGACCAATAATTGTGATGATAATAATAATAACTATTGTTATATTGGACAATGTAGTAATCACATTTCATTTGCCATTCCGTGGCAGTCCTGGCAGACAGGGTAATAATTTGCTCGACAGCATAAGTTGGTCTACAATCATCTTTCACACAGTTCTCATTTTATAAATCCGAGCTGACTGGGTATACGTTGTTTCCTTATATAAAGCAAAAGTCGATCATTCTTATTGCCTTCATACCATTGTTCAGTATTCACAAGATAGGAATAAATCTGTCAGAATTCTCTGTCAATGTAATCAAGTGAATACACCAGGTTACGGTTATGGCGCCATTTTAATTTACGGGTAAACAAACCATTGACCTCTGGAGGTCAGTGGTGTACGCCTAAATTAAGATAGCGCCCATGCAAATATGATGTGAGGGCACAGCGCAGGCAGTGTCATCAATGTTTTCAGATGCGCATGTATTGTTACGTCACTACCTGCGCTGTGCGCTCACAGTCATATTTACATGGGCGCCGTCTAAATTTACGCGTAAACCACTGACCTCTAGAGGTCAGTGGTTTGTTTACCGATACGTTAAAATGGCGCCCATGTCTGCCCATGCGCACTGTTGTAACCGTAAACTGGTGTATTACATGTACACACAACAAATTGGAATTTCATATTAATTCCAACAATAGGCAATAACCTTTAATTTGCAATTTGCAAATTATTTTAATTTTATCCTTCTCATATGATTTTTAATTCATGAACATCAGTGATTCTAATTCTGGTGTAAAATCAAACAGGATCTCCTTCATGTGATTATCCAATGTCCTAATGACCTTTGACCTATGTATTGCTCTTTCTCCCCCACCCCCTCTCTCTCTCTCTCCCTCTCTCTCTCTCTCTCTCTTTCTCTCTCTCTCTCTCTCTCTCTCCCTCTATCTCTCTCTCTCCCTCTCTTTCTCTCTCTCTCCCTATCTCTCTTCCTCTCTCTCTTCCTCTCTCTCACTCTCTCTCTCCCTTGGTCCCTCTCTCTCAGGATGGTGGAGCTTATCAAGCCAGGGGATGATATAAAGTACTCTGACCTTACAGTCAGCTTTGAGCAGGTGGAGGAGGAAGAGGATGAAGAGGATGTTACCAAGGCAGTCCCTCCTATCAGATACTTCTTTGGAGTTTAAAGGTCAACTTGAGGTCTGGTAATTAGATATAGATATATTGAAAGTGTGTATGAGGTAATAGATAATAATAATAATAATAATAATAAAACCGTTGCTAGAGCGCTTACCACCAAAGTCTCTAAGCGCTATAACAAACAAAATAGACTGATGAAAAATTACATATTAAATAAAACAAAAAAGTGCAAATAAACCTACAAATTACAATACATTTGAAATACACATCAATGTGAACAGGGTAAGTTAATTAACAAAAGCAATTTTGAATAAATGTGTCTTAAGACAAGTTTTGAATTGGTTAACAGTTTGACAGTTTTTGACACAGTGATGGTCAAAATTAAAGAGGTCAAAATGTAATTTTTTTTTGTTTTTGTTTGTTATGGGTACATATATGAGGATAGAGCTTAATGCTTCAAGGGTCTGTCTGAAAAATTTGCATTTTCCAGAAAGCACTTGTATATTTCCCCTTAGGCTTTTTCCATCATGAATGGATTCCATGTGTCGAGGTGGAATCACTTGGTTGTAAAATGTCTTGCAGATGATAAACTAAACCTGGAATTTATAGATAAATCTCAAGATAACGAAAATTGAGGGGGAAAATGAGAATTCTCAAGAAAAGTTTACATGTATATTAATAAGAAATCAGAATTCAGATCTTAACAGGTAACCTCAACCTACATGTTCTCTTCAAGAAGATAATGGAAGTAGCCTAAATATTTACTATGGTCATAACCTATAACATGGACCAAGAACACCTAATTATCACCAAATCACTGATCCTTGACCAGCACTGACTAAATTAACTTTAAATATATTGAAATAGTCAATCATGTAGGAAATGAGTTCAGGGCTCTGTTCCATAAAACTTTCCATCAACAAGAAGTACAATGGTTGTAAGCTACTTACATACTTGCAATCGATTGGTTGTGAGCAATTAAAAAAACTAATAATATTTATGGATATTGTATTATGAAGGGATGCCCTCATATACCATGGGGTTAACAGATTCAGCACATGTAGACTGGTTGTGTCTGGAGCTTTTATTAAATTTCCATTTAATTTGTTTAGTAAACATTTACATGTATTGTCATTTACTGGTTTACATGTGATGTGTAAATTTGATTGGATGTCTGATGATATTATTGTCATTTATATCTGAACTTGATAATGTCTTTAATTGCGGATAATCGTATTTAACTGAATGTCAATGCCAAAGGCTAATGTGTATCAATGTTGCTTTAGTGAGTAACTCTAAATATAGTATGAAGATTATTGTTAGGGACCAATGGAAAATTATTTGAGTGAGAATCTCTAAATGTAGCTTATGAAACAGTCATTAATACTTTAAATGAGATGCTGCTAAATCATTTTACAGTGTTATATAAATCAAACAAAGCAGACACAGTGTGAAATATATGAGAATTGGAGCATATATAAGATTTTCGCAACTTACCCAAATTTGGTATACCCATTCACCAAACACTGACTAAAAACGAAAGAATTTCATATTTTCTTTGCATTTTTATTTTAAATGTGTTTAAAGTGATGTAATGTTAAACATGATAAAAGCATTTAAATAGTTTCTTACAGGTGTAATTTTCTGTTGATAAAGTGTGCATTTGTGGATGAAATGTCTTAAAACACCAATTGAATCAAATCCTTATCTCATTGTTTATGGCATAGAAAGTTGAAGAAAATTGGTAGAGAAGCACTGTGTCTTAATAAGCATATTTAGATTTAATGGTGAATGCGATATGCACTGTTCAAAAAATAAATGTCATAAATGGCAAGCTAACTTTCTCTTATTCTGATCATCTTTTAAAAATGAAGCAAAGGGTTGGTTGATTATTGTTTTACCTGACTGCTAAGAAAGCATGTGTATGCTCGTAAGTAAGCAACCTGGGGACCGACAAGCTTAAGTCCTCTCCAAGGGACTCCATCGTTCGTTCGTGTCTCCTTAGATCAAGATTAATGTAATCTTGATCTTCGGAGTAGTTGCTACAACCGGCTGTGTCAGACACGTTGCCCCGGGGTGCGAGATAGGACTCTTGTAGTGTGCCCCCATTTAAAACAATTATACAATAACAGTTAACATTACATTTAATTAATAGTATGAAACTATTAAAATTACTCTCATGTTACGGGAAAAAATATTGCATATATATATTATGAATCAATTAATTTGGTCGATCCAGTTCGATGGCACAAACACGGCACTACTGGACAGAGATCCTAATAATTACAGAGCTTGGTCTTGTTGCTCTGTTCGCCAGAGGGACTCCATAATTAGGAGTAATGCTTTACCAAAGGGCACGAGAGCATTGACATGGTTTCGAACCTGGGACCTCTCGGTTATGAGACCACTTCTCTACCACTGAGCCATCGCATCTCCTGCACAAAATAATTCCAAATTTCTTTTTTTTTATCCATGTACATGAAAGGCTGCATGGTTAAAATGATGCACATTGTATAGTTGATATGTAAGTGGTTTCAATGATTGGTGTCTTTAGAAATAATTACTACTCATAAATTCTGTGGATGTCTCTTTGAAATGCATTGATGAAGCTAGAAATGACACGATCGTAAATCCTATGTTATATATATATATAATTCTTCAGTTAGAAAAAATGTGATTTCTTGCTACTGACTTAGCTTTAAAATTGTAAAGAAATTATGTTCATTTATGTAATGGACTTTGTCTCATGTATGTTGTTTTGTATGAATAACTTAAGAATATACATCTTATTTTTAAAATTATATTTCAACAATTTCTTTTTTGCTACTTAATCTACTTTGTTTTGATATTGAAAGTCGTGGCATTTCCATGTGTGTGAATTGACAACATGTTTGTGTTTGCAACAATCATGGATAAGTACTTATATCATTATGAAATAAAGAAATAGAAATAAAGAGAGAAAAGATCAGGCAATTAGTAATCAAATCACCTTTAAAAGAAGTGCTTGTAGACCATTCTTTTTGTTGAAAAATTCTACCCAAGACATATGTTGAATCTTTGTGATATTACAGTGTTTGTGACCAATCCTAACTTTGTATTAAAGGTATTACAAAGTTTTGGTATGAAGTCATGAATTTGGTTCAAATGAACATATTGGAAGCATATGCGATCCTACAATATGCAGTAATCGTTGACGCGGTTGAAATAGAGTGTAAAGTTATGAAAATAACATAATAAACTCTTTATGTTGTATAGCTCCCTCTCAAGGTCAAGATATTAATTAAGCTATAAAACAATGTTTCTCGACTAAAATCGACCGATTAGCTATTCCCGTTTGGAAATTATATATCACAACTACATATTCTGAGATTTTCATGGTCGCAGCTACCATTTGTACAGCTGTAGGCGTTTTTGCTCCCGGTAAATTTTTATATTCAATTTATCTCGAAAGCAGAAGTGTTTTGGGGGCTAAATTTTCTAGTGCTTATAAAACATCCTAAGGGGCATCCAAATATATCAAATTGTATAGAATGACTATCTACCCAATTTTCAAAATTTCCCAAAACTTTGTATTACCTTTAAACTTGGTGATGTAATGCCTTCATTTCTTCCAGTCCATCATGGTTCTCTGTCATGTTGCCATAGTGATAGTTCCCCATTTTTTGAGAGATTTGTTTATGTACTTGCCAAAGGTGATCTGGGTCATGACAAAAATTGAGGAGCTCATAGATGCCTTTTGATTTTATTGATGATTCTACTTACCTCATTTCATTTTTGTCTCTCTTCTAATGTAAATATATGATAAATGTAAAACTATGAAATTTGTGTCATATGTTTTAGGGTAAAGGCTTATTTTTGTTAGAGGTATTAATTTTGTATGTATCGAGTGATGTAATTACACCCATCTTGTTTGTGATATGAGACTGTCGGCTGTTAAATACATTCGTCATCCAGGAAAAATATTGTATATTCCTTATGAAGGGCAGTGATCTAAGAAATGGTAGGTTTAGTGTTCAAAATCAAGTTACTCCTCTAGTGCACTTTGGTAAGGCATAAATTATCATCAATCAAGTTGTGATTTTCTCCTAAGAAAATACTCTCTCTCTCTCTCTCTCTCTCTCTCTCTCTCTCTCTGTCTCTCTCTCTCTCTCTCTCTCTCTCTCTCTCTCTCTGTACTATTTACAGATTAATGCAAGACACATTCTAGTCATATGAAGGGGCATGATTGTGAAATAATACATCAAATGTATTGATTAGTTTCACCTGCTGTAATACTGTGTGTCTGCGGTGAAGCGAGCTTGTTGTAATTATGATTTAAAATTCTCAGTCAAGAATAAAGCCTGCTCATGCAATAAACCAGAGACTAGTGACATTGTTTCATTTTCAGATGTTTTCTGTAAGGTATCCATTATTATTAAAGAATAATATCTTGGGATGTTATCTTTGGCATTTAATGAAATTCGCTCTTAAAATTGTGTGTCAAAAAGTTGAGAGAAGCATGCAAAAAGAAACCAATCTACAATGATTATGAAGTGGTTTTTGTGATGGGGAAAGGTGAAGAAAATTGGGATTTTGTTTTTTCAAACTTTCACTGATCCTTTTCTTCTTTATTTCTAATACATCAGGTTAAACCTCTTAATTTCCCACACTTGTGCATAGCATAATGCATTACAAAGTTCTATCACGATATGTGAATTATCCGCATAAAATCTAGTTTAGTCAATTGTAGCAAGTAATAGGGTGGTGCAATTAGACAGATTCTCTATTCCTCTCTCTCCCTCTTTCTTTGTCTCTTCCTCTCCCTGTCTCTCTATCCCTCTTTCTTTCTGCCTATCTCTCTCTCTCTCTCTCTCCCTCCCTCTCTTTCTCTTTATTCCACTTTCTCTCCCTCTTTTTTTTCTTCATCTCTCTCTCTCTTTCTCTCTCTCTCTTCCTAGCTCACTCTCTCTCCCCCCTCTGTCTCTCTCTCTCTCTCAAATTGTTAATTTATTCATTTTTCTGATTTAGAAGCCTATCTATGAAGCGTATAATACCATGTAAGAAAGGTGTATTTACAATCAGAATATCTACGTTTGGTTTTAACCTATACATTTTCGTCGATGTAACAAGATAATTTGATTCAAATTTGCTTCATATTCCTGAAAATGAGATAAACACATGTAGATCTATAAATCCAACAGACATCCACTAATGACACGTGCAATGCAAATGTTGATATGGGTTCATTTGAATTCTTTTTATTTGATCCATTATGCATACAAACTTGTGAATTTAAAGTACATGTATTGCTAAGCGAATGAATATTGATTTATTATTGTGCATGGCCAATGTAATACATTAGCCTCCATTAGTCTATCGTCAAAGATACTTTATCCTACAATCATAGAACTGACATAAAGTATTCATGTAGACAATCAAACTATAATAGATAGTAAATTAGGGTTGACAAAAAAAATCCTGTTTTCTTCCATATAAACAAAATAGTTTACGACAACCTAAAGAGAAATATTAAAACCATTTAAAAGCCTAGTTCTGTTTTTATATTTTCATTTATATGTGAATTAAAAAGGGATATGAAGGCTGAAACGGGAAGTTTAAAGGTGTACTGGGTGAGCGGAAACTAGGCAGAGATAGATATATATAAAAACAAAAAACATATCCCAACGGATGATTAAATAAGTACCCAAAATAGGACTGCTAAAGAAATAGTTCCGTTGGGTCAAAATGGGTGATCATCTACTGTTTCTTCTTATCCTTCTTCTTTTCTTGAGATGGCTCAGCGTCTGGGTTTGCTATAAGGTATGGCGTGGGGACAGGGATGATTCCACAGTCAACGATTCTGATTGGTTCGAGAGGAAAACCATTATCATCAGCATCTACCTCAGCCATCTTATCAACGATGTCCTATTCATGAGAGAGAGGGAGAGGGGAAGAAAGAGAGAGAGAGAGGGAGGGGTAGAGAGGAAGGGAGAGAGAGAGAGAGAGTTGGAGGAGGGGTGAAATAAAGGGTTAATAAACAGATATGAATATCAAACTCGTCAGGATGTTCTACCACTGTTAAACTTTGTAAAATGTTACTATTACATAACTAGGTTGTGTATGTATAATCATTATCGCATTTGTCTTTGTGTTATTATGTCATACATCTTGAAATAAACCTAACTGCAATGAGGTAGCAGCTGACGAATATTGGTTACTTCAAAATAAGACGCCTCCCGCCATCTGTTGCCAACGTAAACATTACTTTTTAAGGCGCTTGTGTGTATAGACAAACGAATCGCATTATTTATCACGTGAGGAACGGACTGATGTTTGGCAACTTTTAAAAAAGATAAAAATGAGATCAAAGTGGCATGGTAACAGGTAATAGATATTAAACATTACATACGAATTCGATCAAATTGTACAAGATTTAAAACATAATAAATAATCAGTACCAATATTGATACGGGAAAAAAGATGAGCAATATATATATATATATATCACTTGCTGCTTTGACATTATTAATCTTCCACCTCAAGATTAAGTGGAACTACGTCCATGAAGCAATGAGGGCTTCGGACCCTATTTGGGGAGGACAGCTTCCACGAGATCATGTGAAGAACAAAAAAAGTATTGCAATGACCAGCAAGTCTTGCTCCAGGCAGGTTATTTTTCAAATTTTAGTGAAGAGGAGCGGGGCCGCATCAATTTTATATGCATTTTATCAAAAATACCATCTTCGGCACACAGGTATAAATGAACAGAAACAAATATGGAAAATGTGTCTACTAACTTACCATTCCTTCGATAACCTTTCCAAAGACCACGTGTTTGCCGTCCAACCATCTAGCTCGAGTCAATAAGATGAAGAACTGAGAATTGTTGGTATCAGGACCAGAGTTTGCCATAGCAACCCATCCGGGTCCCCAGTGACGTAGGTAGAAATTCTCATCGGCGAAGAAGTTACCATAAATGCTCTTACCTTGTAGAGTGTAAGAGTAAAACATGATGGAAATCATTATAATCAATGTGTTTGAAAAACAGAGATTAAATAATAAAATATAAAAATAAAATTAAGTAAATAAAATAATTTAGAAACTCGTAATGGCGACGGTTATGTAAGGTACGAGTCTCAACTCTCCCCGGTTTTTGACAAGCGTCATTGATTTCTAACCTAACGATCTCAAATGAGCTCACGAAAGGCATCGTCACATCAACCACTACAGATTATTGTGGTTGATATGACGATGCCTTTCATGATGTATATTCTAAAGAACCACCTGTAAATTGTCATGATTCCAGTGGCGGATCCAGGGGGGGGGGGGCCCGGGGGGCCCGGGCCCCCCCCCCCCCCCCCCTTGAGAAAAAAATCATGTAAAATCACGTGATTTCTACCTTTTTTGGGGGTTGGGCCCCCCCCCCCCCCCCTGGCGCTCAAGGGGGGGGGGGGTGCAAATTGAATTTTTTTTGAGGATCAAAAAAAAAATTGTGCTCTGTACCCCCCCCCCCCCCCCCCCCCCCCCCCCCCCCCCCCCCCACTGAGCGACTTTCAAATTTTCGGGAGCAAAAAAAAAGAAAAAAGTTGAGCCCCCTCCCCTAAGAAATCCTGGATCCGCGCCTGCATGATTCCGTCTTCTATAATACATTTGAGGACAAAAACAACAAATCATCACATTTCAAATAACATCTTATGAATATTTTCAGAGCAACCTACAATAAGTTGCGTTTGAGCAATAATGTAATATAATGCTCTCTATCTTCTTTGATACGAGGAGCAACGGAGAAGATTCAAGGCTAACTATTTCAGGTAGGGAAATTAGGATAAAACAACACAAGTATTGGTAATCAAACAATAGACATACATTTTCCCTAAATATGTTATTTGATTGAAACTTGTATCATTTACTAATGCCAATATTTGGTTTTATCTTGTTTCGAAAACAGACTATACTAGGAAAAAAAAGAAATCATATAAATTTATCAAGATTATTGATTTGTTACCTCCAGTTCCATCTCCTTCCGTGACGTCACCCATCTGAATGACGAAATCAGGTACGATGCGATGAACCTGGGTGTTGTTATAACTCAATCGTTTCTAGTAAAAACAAACAGAACAACACGAGAGAATGTTAGAATGACATAATATATGGAAAATTGGTGTTCTCAAGATATGTATAGGGTGGTGCCACGCCCCCTTTTAAAAATTCCTTTATTTGTTTATTTATTTATTTATTTATTTTAGTCTTCTTTAAAAAGTGTAGCCCTTGCAGTAACGAATATTGCTCTTCCAAGGAGCACTGTCTGTACAATAATATTAAAACAACATAATTTAACGAAACATTAAAACATTAGATAATCCCCCCCCCCCCTCCCCCGAAAAAGAAAAAACATTAAGCAAAAATACAAAATATACAAGGTTAGGATTTATTTCCCAAAAAATAAGCAAAATATAACTCCTAAAACATGTATACTTAATGACATCGACATTTGATAGAATAGATACGAATTGCTTCTGAAGATGTATTTAAAATGGTAAGGTGTTAAAATCGTCTCTTAAAATGAAAGTAAAGATAAAATGGCACGTAAATCAGGCGGTAAGGCGTTCCGAATGATGTAGTGCACGGATCTTTTGAAATGGTCGGTTTAACAATAATTGTCTATTTATTAAGAGTGGGGAGTGAGCAGCGTCGCGAGAAAAACATTGATAGAAATCCATCCAAATGACAGCAGTTCTAATGCAAAACCAAGATTAATTTTATATGATGGTCAGGAATGATTTCAGCCGCTCTTTGTTTGCCTTTTTCAATATCAAACGATACAACAAATTTAGAGGGTTTTAAAAGGAATTTCACTTACATCTTGTCTCCAGTTTCCTCTGACAATGGCAGCAAAGTTTTGAACAGTCACGGGGCATGTGTCACCAAACAGAGCTATAACAACACGACCAGCTGGTTCGTCATCAATCTCCATTTCGAAGAAAACTTTCTTCGTTACTAGGAGATCATTCTCGCTATCTCTATCCGAATCTTCCCAGGGTTTGTTTTTCTTTTTGCCGAATCGCTTAGCGGCGTCGACATCGTTAGCCGAGAGAGCGATGAGAAGGACGACGACGGATGTGAACCAGAACATCGTTGGATCAGATGATTGGATACGGTTCAGAAGAAAGGAAGACGATGGTGGTGGTGCTGCTGCTGATGATGCTGATGCTGTATGGGCATATAAATTGAATTAATCAACATTCCATTAGATCAGATTGAATCAATTTGACAACATCTATATATTTCAACAAATTAATTGACTGTATGCGCGAGTATATAAACAGGATTCTATAAAATAACTTGCTCCTTAGACATAAAGCAAGAACATTATTTGCTGTAGAAAGTTTAATGTTTTTATTTCAGATTATCACATTTTCAGATTACATTTTTTGTTTAAGGCTTGTGCAAGGGTTTAAGAACATAATTTTTCGAGCGCATATTTATCATCATTATGTGTGAACTTTAAACATTTTTAGGTTGTGCTAATTTGCACATGTGACCCCCCCCCCCCCCCCCCCTCCGTCTTGAGTATGCGCTACTGGGGGCTCTCATGTATATTTTGAAAGAATATATAATATACATGTATATACATGTACTTTCATCAGATTTAGATGTGAATACCTGCAATAAAAGCGGCAATTCATATCAATTGGATACATGATTATTATGAAACAAGATTGATAAAATCACAGAGTTTCAACATATAGATAAAAAGAATAAGAATGACACTTACCTTGAATCCGAAAAGCTGAAATCGTTTATGAGAGACTCGATGAAACTCATCAACCGCAAAATGAATTGCCTGATAGAATAGAGGGGTTATATACAGTTTTATGACCAATGGCCATGTATCCAGCTGTTGACTGCAATGGTCAATGCGATGTTAAGGCGACGTGGTTTCTTGAACGCTACCCAAGCTGTCGCGCCAATATACTTTCTATTGTATTCATTAAGTGTCTTTTTATTACTGTTTGCTCTAAATAATGCATTCAAAGTTAACTGTGGTGAAATAATGAAACTGCATATTCAACGTTAAAAACAAAGCTAGAATTTAAAAAGAAATGTGTAGCCGAACAATGGGTCTTTAATTACTGTAAGTAGGAACAATGGCGTACCCAGGCCTTCGCATCACCATGGCTTAGCCATAATATTACAATATAGGGGGGGGGGGTCACGAGGTGCACAAGTTGGACACCATATCTCACTCTCAGTCTCAATTTTACTCAAAGATCACTTTTTATAATTTGTTAAAATCCTACAAAAAGTCTTTATTATTTTTGTTCATGAAATGTCTTTTTTATGTAGATTCAATAATTTCTTCCTTTTTTTACGACTTTTTCCGGACAAGAACTCTTCCAACATATTCTTAAATAGGGATATAAACTTATTTATATATTATGAGCATTGCATGAAAACATGTCATGTTTATATCTAAAGGCTTTTTTTCCAACTGAACTATTCAATTCAATTCGATTATTTAAATTCCAGCAAATCAAACTGATTATACGCGTTTATTTCCGCATTGTCATTTAAAAAGATACATTTTTCAAGTAAGGTCATTACATATTTAACAAAACTAACAAACCTAAAGACAATTTAAGTATTAAAAAAAATAAGAAGGGGAAGAAAAATGTTAAATAGGGCTTTTAAAAACAAGGAGTGGGACATGGAAAACACTAATGATTAGACCGTTTTAAAGTGTGACGGGACAAAGACTTTAAACACTTGTAATATTTATCCCCTTGGAAAGACTGAACCCCCACCCCTTCCCCTCCCTCTCAACAAATCATTACACTGTAAACAAGGGAAACACGTATAGATCACAGCAATTATGTAAAAGCCTATAAGGTCGTGGAAATTTGTATCATTTCGAAAAATAATTGATTCATAGCCGTTAGTAGGTACAGCGCTTACATCATCTTAAAATCTCTGATTTCTGACGGTAAACTAGTCAAATGTTATGTCCTATAATCTCTTCAGACACTTAAAAGTGACAATTATTTTTTATTGTGTCTATAAGTGGACTAAAAATGTCAATATTTGTATGAAAAACATCCAAATATCTTGTAAAATGTTTCTACAAAATTCAATGTGAAAATGTAATAGTTTAAAACATGTGTTAGCGTTTAGAAGGCTTAGATTGTGTCATTTTAAGATTGAACACAACTTCCATAGCATCGTATTTAATTTTATTAAGAAAAATACGAGGGTGCGCATTATCAAATGAAAATATCCGGGGATGCCCATCTCAAAAACAATACTGATTCACAGGTCATGAAATGAATTACTCACAACTGTAATTTTACAAGTAATTCAAGGTGTAATCTATATAATTTTGGATGTATTTTGCATCTCGTGTCCCCCCCCCCCCCCCCTTTTTTTTTGTTGTCTTTGTTTTAGTAATGAGGTGGAATTGCGACTAAAAAGGTTGTGTTTCGGCTCCTCTCATCTTCTCGCAGATAGTTTGATAATCTAACTATTATAATATTAGTAAGCTAGCTAGCTCTTCATAAAATTTGATTTGATTTGATTTGATTTGATTTATTTATTTCTGTTTGATTTTCTTTTTCTTTTGCATTTTTACAAATATATAACAAACAAATATTGCAAATTTACACATGACAAAAGAATATATGTAGAAATTATGCAGTAAGATCAGAGACTAGACGTATACGTAGTTAATTTAAGTTAGTTAATTGGTGGATAACGATTTGACTTAGGTTCAGGGGCGGTAGAGCATCTTCCAAAGTGGAGGGGGCACTAACAAAAAGGTCACTTTAGGAGGGGAAAAAAAGGGTACCCAGAAAGGGAAACCTCAAAGTGAACATACACCAGGCATTTTTAGACGTTGGTATATCCACTTACATCTGATTGTGATTACACTACCAGGGATGACATCAATATTTGTTTCTCTCTATATGTGGTACCCCGGCGTGGTGCAAAATACTGCTTAAGCTACATACTTTGCAGTTGGGTGTGATGGTGTGAATATTAATTTTCGAGGGAGCGAAGTGAGTTAGGAAAAAATTGAAGATTTGTGAGATTGCAGTGCAAACAAAATTAAATCTTATAAAGAGGACAAAAATAAAAAGGTGCACGTGTCAAAGTAAAATGGGCAAAAATATTATAGGTGAAAATGGGGCACTTCACGCACCTCAACAGAGATGAAAAAGGCACTTGTGAGAATGGAAATGGGGCATCTGTTGAAGTTAATAGGGGCATTTATCAGATGTAAAAAGGGACATTTTGAAAATTGAAAAGGGGAAGGGGCTCATATAAAAAGGGGGTACTTATCCGAAGGAAATATGGTACTTATAAGAAAGGAAAAGGGTCACGTGTCAAAATAAAAGGGGCACTTATCAGAATGGCACACCCCCGCATGCCCTTATATGTGACTACCCCCCCCCCCCTAAAAAAAGAAGGAAAAAAAAGTGGCACTTAAGAGGAAAAGGAGGGGTTCGTATTACAAAGAGAAAGTGACAGTATTAGAAGGAAACAAGTGCGCTTATTAAAAAGGACAAGGAGCACGACGAGTCAAAGCAAAATCGGGTAAAAATTAAATATCAAAGGGGAAAAGGGAATTTCTCGCACCTGATAAGAGGCACTCACCAAAGATGAAAAGGACTCGTTGGGGAACCGGTTCCCAGGCGAGTCCCTGATTGGCCTAAGTCGAAGTCACGCGCGCGCTGATACGCTGTATTTCTGTCTAGATCGGAGACTGCTGGAGAAAGTAAACATGGAGGATATGATTTGCAATTATCGAAAGTGCAGACAAGGTCTTAATTCGAATGCATGGGTGACATCTTGTTCTCGTATCCTTTCTTGAAATATTGCCTCTACCTTTATTTATTGTTTAGAAACTAAAATCTCAATAAAGTTTGCTTGCAATGCATGTTGTCGTTCGTTCACTTCATCTGATTTGTGCCCGGGTAGGCCTACAGGTCGATGGGCAATAAATTGACGGCCTGAGCCCAGGGCCAGGCCGGTGGTTTGCGGTCTTGTGAGCGCCGAAATCGATAGTCTAGCGGGTAATATTGGAGCGCTTTGAGCACCTAATTGTATGGTGGATATGTGCGCTAGATCTAGACTCTATATAAATATCCAAAATATGTATTTGTCCTTTGGCTTTGCATTACAATATTGTTCAACATAGCAATGACTACAGTACAGACTAGACTCTTTAAAGTCTTAGAACTAGGTCTAGACCTCTAGAAGAGTTATGTAAACATTGCTTGTATAAATTTTGTTGTAAACTTCTTCAATCAAAACACTGTTTAAAACCTGGCAACTGTCCAGCCCACTCCAGGTAACCAACCTGCATTAATTTTTTAACAGTTCAGCAGTAGGGTCTAGTTTTAGACGTCTAGATCTACACCAGAAACCAAGCTTCAGAGCAAATTCCAACTAACACGACAAGAAAAATATGGTAGCCTATTTAGGGAGACCAAACTTTTAATTTTATACTACAGTTTCAGGTTAATGTACAAACTGCAATCAAGAATAGGATCTTTAGACTCTACAAAATTATTGTCAAATTGATAATGCTGACAATTAACACTCACAATTAACACTCAACAGTAAACACTTTATCTTTCTCTGCCTTTGCTAGGTTGCTCATATACAATTTTGCACAAAACAATAGGCTCCAAGTGACAGGAAGATTGCTTTATTGAACACAATGGCGTTGAAAATTACCCATTTCTGGTCTTGATAAGCTCCATGACGACCCTTTTAACACCTGTCTGTATCAATTAATCTCGTACTCAAAACAGTTAGTGTGACACAGCGAGATTGTTTGTGTGGCATATAAAGAGTAAAATCCAAAAAAATTATAGTTTCTTTGACAAAAAATGTTAGATATTTTTTGTGATGAGCATGGAGCCAAAGAATTCAACAAGAAATCTGTTTGCCCTGCATGTAAGTATGCTGTTATAATTCATGTTATAAAATAGACTTCAACATATTGCCCATATTCTGCGATCAACTCAACGCTAGGTTTAAGATTCGTCTGTAGTCGAATGTAACAAAGGAAACTAGACCAATGTCCAAGTTTTCCTCTTGTTAAAAGTGATTTGAACCCAGCTTGTATAGTTTCAATTGAATTAACTAGTGAAATATAGATTGGCCTTTGAGTACACCAACATGTATGGTAAGCACTGTTACTTTTTTAGTGCCATGTTGATGTACATTGTTTGCTTCCATTAGCAAAAGCTAACAACACCGAATTATGAAGCAAGTGTGTAAACTGTAACTGTTGGTAGCTGGATTGTTTTTTAACTCTTTGCCCGCCACGTACACAATCCCCCCAGTGCCACATTGTTTTTAGGGTGCCACCTTAGGAGGGGTTCTGCATGGACTATGCTTATTTAACTCGCAATAACTTTTGATTGGTGTACTGTAATGAAAAACTTTGTGTAGCAATATTGTATAGAAATTAATAGTCTTGCCAATGGTATCATTTTTGTAATGTATATTATCATAAATTTTGAGATTATCAACTATACATTTTGTATCCAAGTTTTCGTTTAGAAGGGTATTCTATACCTCTTATATCTAATACTTTGTTATGGAGGTTTATGTCCTGAGTTAGTTCATTGAAAAGATGTATTCATGAGCTTTCACTACATACCAAATTCATGTGCTGAAGGTCACAATGAGCATGGTAATTTAGGATTGAATAAAGAGTAAGCCGACAATGAACTAATCTCCTATTGAAATTGACCCTGGGTACTTTTGAATAGACTTCCTGTCTCTTGATTGTACTTTGATGACCTTTATTGTGTCTGTAGGTAAGATGGTAAGATTCTATTATTACTTGCAAGGCTGTGCAAGCTATTAGAATTGAAAGAATTTTTCTCGGAAAATGTCAATGTAAACAATGTCTGCGAAAGCGGTGCAATGAAGTGTGATGTGTATACAATGCGAAGCACGCGTTACTATTGTGTGTGTGTGCGTACAATAGAATTAAATGCGTTCCGTGTGTATTGTGAATGAAATGTGACTTGAGTCGAAGTTGGCAGCCCGCTGTATGTTCCGCTAGCCGAACGTGGCGGGCAAAGAGTTAAGCACCCATTTACAACAATGTCCACTTTTACTTCTTCTTGTATTGTTGTTGGTATGATAGATTTTTATTCTGAGTCTTAAAAAATATACCAAATGCATTTTCAAAACAGAAACAGAAAAATGTTTCTACACAGGCTGTGTCCAATTCATTGTGTTATAATTCGCGATTTGATGGCAATTGGCAGGGTGTTTTAAGAGGACTTTTTTTTAAAGCATACAAATCTGTATATTGCCAACATAAGTAATTCATTTTTTAAAGCAAATTGGCAACACTTTTACTTAGTATTTGTCGGTGCGAATTCTGTTCAGATGAAGGACTATTCATAAGAAAAACATGGCAAAGAATAATCCCATTGTTGCCAATTTTGAATAAAAACAGCTGATCAATTTAGTTCTGAACAATTTCTCCATGACTGTACTCTATTTCAGGTGATACCCACCTACCCAGCAAGTTTGATGTAATAAGGATTGATCTGTCTCCCAGTGAACAGTATAAATCGATGGTGCTGGCTGGACAAAGACCGGAAATCATCTTAGAGGCTTGCTCAAGGGCACTCACATTTTGGACCTACCAGGTATTTAACACTATCCCTTTTAAAGTGGGACTGCACTACTTGTAGCTACTTGCGCTCTCTATATAGCAAACAATACCTAAGCGGTACTCGTTGGTCCCCCGTGATCCCCTTTTTCTAATGTTAGTTAAGAGCTGATTTGATGAAATAACCACCTGTCAGTGACCACGCAGGGAGGTCTAATCCCTCCTGACCAAACTAGTGCAGACAGGCTTTAAACAATTATTTAACAGATATTAACAAAATAAATGGACTGAAGATTTGAGAATTGTCCACAGCGTTGTGATGTCCATTGAGGATGATACTGATAGATAGATACATTCAAATACCTATTTCATTAGACTAGATTCCATAATGGTGATCAAATAAAATGGATTTTGAAGGAAATTTAATCTACTGAAGATATAAATGTAGAATGAGCAAAGCTTAAGCGGGTGAATAAAATAAATGGACTGAAAATTTCCTGAGTGTTGCCGTGTTTCATTTAGGATGATAGATGTATTCAAATACCCATTTCTTTAGGCTTTGCCGTAATAATGATCAAATTAAATGGATATGAAGAAAATCAAATCTACTGAAGATATGAACGTAGAAATGACCAAAGCTAATTCTGTGCTTTTTGTTGAATTAATTTAGTTTTGGAATTGTGCTACCTTCATCCCATTCAAATGAGAGAACATGTGATTTTCGATATATTATAGATATCCTTTTAATAATCTGTTGGATGTGAATTGAGAAGTTGTGTAAATTGCATTAAATTGTTGTTATTGTAAAGGTACATTTACATGATTTGATCATACATGGTACGTGAAAGAGTAAGGTTCGTAAGCTTGTATTAAATAAGGAATTATGGTTGACTATTATAAGATCATACTCAAGTATGTTTAGCTCACTGCAGTTAAAATGCAATTAGGACACATTAGCTTAACATACATTAATGTCATTGTAATGTATATCTCAATATTAGATGGTCCAATTATTGTAATGAATATTTCCAGTTTTCCACAGCAAAGAATATTATATCAAAGGCACATTTGCGATTCACATGAATAAGAATGAAAAAGAAATATCCATTGCAGCTTTTGACCATCAGATAAAAGTCTGACTCAATGTCGATCTACTTTAGATATGAAAGTAGGAATCAGTCATCGAAAAAGAAATATATGCAAAACATAAATGAATAATTAAGTATGATGTATTAAAGTTGTTATCTGAAGTCATTTCATACTCTGTAGGGCAGCCATGTTGAAGCCTAAAATAAGAATGAACGTTTCTCTTTTTCAGATAGATCAGGAGAGAATGTATCAGGATTATGTGGCTAAGAAAGCAAAGGAGAGGAATACACAGATGGAACAGTATTGTGAACAGCTACTCAACAGGACACAGACTGAAGTCACTAGTATCCTTCGCACATATACACTGATACAGTTTACAAATAAATTATTCATATTTTGTGTTTTTCGTAACTCGAGAATGAAAGGTAGACTGGTTGAATTAGGGCCTTTGTTTAAAACTTTTAGATGTAAGCTTTAATATGTCACATTCTCAAGAAAAATAAAATAAAGACAAATTAATTTTTCCCAGACTTTATATATTATTATTCATCATAGGAATAAAATGATAAGGTCACAGCAGATCTCTTTCCTTTATCACAATAAATCAGGTCTATAATGATATAAACTCATATATCCTACTAGAATAATGAGTTGTGTAACTGCTCATACATTATACTTTTATCAAATTATTTTATTCCCTTTAATCTATTTAAATTTTATTGGAGTACATACATTAAAAGCTAACAGATTACAAAAACATTGGTTAATTATTTATGATTTCTTTTTTAAAAATTACATATTCATCCATCCACATCAATGAAATTAACAAAGGGTACACAATCAGTGTTAAGATTAGCGCAATTATGTTGTTATGTTTTCCTTCATTGATATTATGTCAGGTTTGAAGTCCCAAATTTCAGGTAAGTACATGATGTCATAGTAATGGAAATAAATAGCCCAACTCATTTCTTTAAAAAATGATTTAGCTACATTTATAATGAACGTTTTCTTTTCCTTTCCTTGATATTGGCAAGTTAGTATACATAATAGTGTGATACTTTCCAATTTTATTTTCATTTAGCTCAGCACAAAATTTACTTTTTTATAGTTTGCTGTTAATTTGTTGTGAAATTTTTGAAGTTATTCTCAGATTAATTTAATGGTCAACATTTAGTTTGTTTGATTTCACTATTCTATATTAATTTGATTAATTAATAAATAACAGCTCTGTGGAGAGAAATTGAAACATCAAATAAGAGATACAATAATGATTATGAGAAATTTGTGGAGAGAGTTTGTTTTGAAGAATTTGAATTTGTTATCATAAATATTCTTGGGGTCAGCATTTATTTGCATGATTTTACTACAGTAGTTTATGTTGATTTGATTAATACACAGCTTTGCGGAGAGAAGTTGAAACAACAAAGAAGCGATACAACGATGTCTATGAGAAACTTGTGGAGAGGAATCGGCAACACCAGAAGCTCCAGGTAGAGATTAAATATTGCATTCATGAATAGTCAAAAGTAACATGTTCGAGTCAAACCATTCATTTTGTCAAGCAAGTCTTTTTTCAACTAATCATGATATACAATTTCTTTACTAAAATTAGCTTCAAAGAGCTGATTTAAGGATTTATGTTTCATGAAGATTTTCAATGTATAATATTGTGCAGAAGCTAAAGTGGAATGCACAGCAAAATCAGATTTGCAAATTCATACTGGTCAGAAAAATATTCACTTACCAATAACTTAAGAATTCATAAAGAATGTATTTACCAGCAGACCTTAGGCATTAGGGGTCTTATACTCAAGTTATAAAATAAATTGACAAATAAAATTGTTTGTGATTTTAAGTCAATGTATCACTATACAATTTCATGAAAAAAGAATGTTAAAATTAGACATTCATTTTAACATGTACATTGTTTATGTCCCACATAAACGTATTTCAATAGTCAGAATGGAAATTGCATATATTACGTGTTGTTAGGTAGGACAAGCCTTAATTTTTGTCCTACCTAGCAACAACTATATGCAAATTGAATTGTGACGATTGAGATACATTTATTAATAACGGGTAAATGAAATCATATATGCATAAATTTGGTTAAATTATGAAAATGGCCTATTGACAAATCGGATCTACATTTAACACTTTCTATCTATATCATATCTTTACCAACAGTTGATGTACGATTCACTAAGGAGGTAAGTAAATTTCATATTGTTGAAAATTGTCATTAGTAAGTCAAGAACAGAATCAGTTCATTAGGTTTAGTGATTGTTTATATAGTTTGTGTTGCAAGGATGTAGCCTACAGGCTGGGTAAATTCTTGCATCATAGTGCGCATCCATTGGAAGATATGGCCAACTGAACTGACTATACATGTAGATCTCCACTCCTGGACCAATTTAATAAATCAATTTCCAATTAAGTTCTTTACTAAAATTGTTATATCATATATTGTAATGTTCTTGCAAATACTAATTCAGATTTTGACATCGAGTAAGGACTACCGTACTCAGAAAAAACATAATTATCATTATTTTAGATAAGTTTCATTTCCCAGTTGGAAAGAAGATGTTTGTATACAGAGTTGAACACTTACGGATTCAAGGGCCTGCATATTACCCTATAACATTCAGAAGAACCATATTTGGATAAACAATTCTGATGAAAATAATACTTGTCGTAATATGATAGGACACTCTCCTGATTTTTTTATTCTTCAAGTACTTTAAGGAGATTGTGCACACAGTGTGTGCGGGCAAGTATTGAATCCAATGACCAGGTATAATAGCTCTGTAAAGCAGTTAGAGACACCGTAGATGTATTAAGCTCTATATAAAAGCAGAATATTATATTACCCCCTTTTAAATAAAGAATGTTATTATTATTGCATTGCCCTGGTTATCATCTTTGATTTGATAGGAAATCTATATCAGTGGCAAACATGGAAGATGGAAGTGCATCTGTAGGACCAGCAGGATCAGGCGGTGCAGGGGACTTTGAGATGCCTATCTCATTTGTAGAAAGTAAGCATTTAACCCTTAGCGTATGCGAACCAGCATAGCCCTGTACTAATGCTGTTGGGAGTGACTGAATTCAGTAGTCAAAGGGTTAACAAAAGATTAATTTTTATTGATAAAATTAATAATACTATTAATACTCAGCTTTTATAGCGTGAATTACAATTATTTCTCTAAGCGCTTCCAAACTTGGAGATCATTACCCCGACTTTAGCTGTGCTGCCATTATATGGCGCTCTGGCATTTCAAGGAATTAAGTCCTGCCAGGTATACCTATTTACATCACCTGGGTTGAGTGTGGCAAATGTAAATTAATGTCTTGCCAATGGACATTAGTGCTGCGGCGGGACTCAAACAGCAGACCTTGTGATCGAAAGTCTGGCGAGGTGACCACTCGACCATGACACCTCTACAAATAGTGGGTTCTTTTATAGGGCTCATAATTGTCTGTCACACGTGACAATGACACTCCCGATTATTACCCTGGCTTAGCTTGATGACACGAGAGGGGTATATCCTGGATGTGCTTTTGTGGAGTGAGTTGAAAAAGTAGAGTTTGTAAATTCTTGTGTTGTATCCAAATGATCAAATTCATGCACTAATTGGCAACTAATAATTTTCTTGTGAAACCAGGCATTGGATAGTCCATAAGGATGTGCTTTTGTGGAGTGAGTTGAAAAAGTAGAGTTTGTAAATTCTTGTGTTGTATCCAAATGATCAAATTCATGCACTTGGCAACTAATAATTTTCTTGTGAAACCAGGCATTGGATAGTCCATAAGGATGTGCTTTTGTGGAGTGAGTTGAAAAAGTAGAGTTTGTAAATTCTTGTGTTGTATCCAAATGATCAAATTCATGCACTTGGCAACTAATAATTTTCTTGTGAAACCAGGCATTGGATAGTCCATAAGGATGTGCTTTTGTGGAGTGAGTTGAAAAAGTAGAGTTTGTAAATTCTTGTGTTGTATCCAAATGATCAAATTCATGCACTAATTGGCAACTAATAATTTTCTTGTGAAACCAGGCATTGGATAGTCCATAAGGATGTGCTTTTGTGGAGTGAGTTGAAAAAGTAGAGTTTGTAAATTCTTGTGTTGTATCCAAATGATCAAATTCATGCACTTGGCAACTAATAATTTTCTTGTGAAACCAGGCATTGGATAGTCCATAAGGATGTGCTTTTGTGGAGTGAGTTGAAAAAGTAGAGTTTGTAAATTCTTGTGTTGTATCCAAATGATCAAATTCATGCACTTGGCAACTAATAATTTTCTTGTGAAACCAGGCATTGGATAGTCCATAAGGATGTGCTTTTGTGGAGTGAGTTGAAAAAGTAGAGTTTGTAAATTCTTGTGTTGTATCCAAATGATCAAATTCATGCACTTGGCAACTAATAATTTTCTTGTGAAACCAGGCATTGGATAGTCCATAAGGACTAAACTGGTATAGCGCCATCTTCAGGATAACCAGTGTAATGAAGTGTGACCTGAGATTTCAACGTTAAACATATCTTGGTCCTGAAACTTCTTATAACTTTTAATTTGCTATCACCTGAAACGATATGAAAATAAAATAAATCAGTTCACTTTGATAAGTAGGGTTGGAAATAAATTCAAACAATAATTCATTATATTGCTGTTCTGCTATCTCTGATATAGGCCCTATAGTTCTGCAGAATTTGTGTCGTATCATTCCATGATTTTCAAAATTGACTCTTCTTTCAAAATGATTATACAAACATGTCTGAAAGCATCATAGACAGTTGCATTTAAAAGATAGAATAAAATATTATGACCCTATTCCTAAAGAGAAAGTTTAATAAAATTCTTTGAAATTTGTATTCATGTATTGCCTGATATTCAAGCTCAACTTTTCAAAAAAACTGAAATATTTTCAGGTCTATAGGATAGTTTGGAATGACTATATGAGATACAAAATATTTTCAGATGTTTCATATTACATTTCCAACTATTAATTAACAAAGTAATTAATATCAACCTTACAAATACTTCTTTTACTACAGGTCATAAGAGAACATTTTCAACAGAAGAGAAGAGAATGAAATCAACACCAGCTGAGCGTAAGAAATATACTACCCTCCTTGACTTGTAACATACTTTAATTTTAAAGGGGAAGTCCACCCTGATATCAAGTTGGTTCTAATTTTTCTGCTTCTATGAAAAACCAACTTAATATCAGGGTGGACTTTCCTTTTAATATATTACTTTCAAGGGTTACTACTACATTTATATACCCAGGGAATAATTTTACATAATTTTTTGATTAGCAATTTCAGCCGATGGATAAATATTTCAAATGAAATTCTGTACATTTCTATGGAAGAAAACTGCTACACAAAAGATATTTTGTATAGCAGTCATGCAAAAATGCATAGCAAATTGCGATGCGATACCAGGAAAATTATTCCCTGATACCCTTTCTGTAACATTAAACTTGATGTTATGAGAAGGCTTACTGGACTTGGGCAACCAAGACTGCTCTAAATGCAAGCAATTGGAAGTGGCTTTTGATTTCAAACAGAGAATCGTACATTTAAAAGTAAGATCAATAAACAAATGACTGTGAATCTTTACTGATCATTAGTCATGAAATGTGATGAGTTTTGGTTGTAGCATGGTATTCCATGTGGTATTTTGAAGAAGAAAAAAAAATAAGAAGTTAGTTATAGAAATAATTATATGCCGTAGATATAGAATTGACTTTTTTTCTTTTTTCAAAGAGTGGAGAATTATTTTTTAGTTCCCAAATTGGTTCCTGTGTAAAGTCTACAAGAATCGTGCAATCGTGTCAAAAAATCTTTAAATCTATTTGCAAAGGTGATGAGCTCAGTGCTTTATTTGCATTAATACATGAGTTACCTGTATTGTTTTTGTTTTTTGTTGTTGTATTTCTTAACAACATCAGGGGAGCTTAACACAAAATGCAAAGCCACGATTATATAACTTATAAAACCTATATCACTTAACAATCAGGATTATATAATGGCTTATAATTGCTTACAAACTCACTCTGCAGTGTTCAAATAGAATTAAAGATAAATTTTTGATTGCATCAGTAAATTATGCAAGAATTGATTCCTTTGTTTTGTGGGTGGATTGTTCTCGAAACCCATGAAGAAACTCTTTATTATAATTGTTCTCATTATTTTTCAGGTGAATTTGTTCTGAATCCAACCAACACTCCTCAACATGGTCAGCTAGATGGTGATTCATTCTATAGCCGATTTAACTTCGAACTTGGAACCCCTAATGAAATCTCTCGAAGGTTGGGCCAACGTAAAATGTAATCCTGCAAGTTTGAAGGCCATAAAGTTCAGTTTTGTTTGTATATTGGAGTTCAAGATTAAATTATTACATATCTTTCGAACGTTAGGCAATAGTGTTCTAAAGTTCATATTTTATCATTGTGCAGGTTCAATACACTTAGTGAGTGTAGCATGCATCATCACAAACTTCCAAAGCTGCCAAATGCTGCCAAATATTAAGAGTTCATGATTAAATCATTACATCTCATTCAAACTTTGAGCCATGGTGTTCTAAAGTTCATATTTTATCAATGTGTAGTTCAATACACTTAGTGAGTGTAGCATGCATCATTATAAACTTCCAAAGCCACTAAGTGCCACTGATTTTTAAAGTACATTTGTATTTCAATGTAGAATTGGAGAATGCAGAAGATTTCATGCCAATTAAGTAATGATTTTTTTTTCTCCATTTTCTAATACATGTATACAAGACTTATCATTAAGTAAGTAACTTAAAGGTCTTTTATGTATCTTCTCACCATGAATATGTACAAAGAACACTTTATATGTTCTGTTTTTTGTATTTGAGAATTGGTGAATCCCTCAACTAAAATTATGATGTCTGCAATTAGAATACTCTAATGTTCAGTAAAATGGGAAGCTCTAGATTTATACTGCATACATCTGTTTTATCCAAGGGATATGTTCATGTTTTGTTGGTATCATCATCTGTATATTAACTTTAGGAGTGAAGGGGGTTAAAGACAGATTCAAGTTAAGAACACTTTACACTTACATGTGTACCTAGGTTATGCTGAGAAGATATGACCAAATGTTCAAAACATAAAATGCACCCAGTGATTTATTTATATTTTGGGCTTTTCAGGTAATTGCACCTCTATGTTGATTTCAGACACGATGGCATGCTCATCTTATATATATATTGAAAAGTAGAGCAGTGGTCTCGTAATCCGGTGACCCGGGTTTGAAACCAAGGCGATGCGCTAGTGCCCTTTGGTAAGGCATTAATCCTCAATACCAGGTCCCTCAGAGAGGACCTAAAGCTGTCGGCCGTCTGGTTGCTTATACTTACAAGCATTTATGCTTTCTTAATAACAGTCAGGTAAAATAACCACCACCACCAAGTTTATATAAAATTGATTCCGAAATGTAAATGCCCTCATTCTTAAAAGATTTATATGTTCTTATTGCTAGTCTATAGGATTTCCCATAAAATATACAATATATGATGGGAATAAACCTCTCTATTATTTTCAAGACATATGATGAAGACTTTTTTTTGATAGATCAGTTTACAAACATTTACATTCATCGCTCATTCTTTGAGTGTATTTTGCATTATTCAAAATGCAGTTTATTTATATTAGTCTTTGTATGGCAAAACTACTGTATATTCCCTCCAAAAGAGGTTGGTATATATTTCTTATTAGAATGCACATATATGTACGTTGTATTTATTTGGGGGTTGATTCCCCTTTAATCAAACTATTGGAGTTTGCATCGCTTGTTTAACAATCTCTTTCATTTAGCCAGTATTTCAATCTAATTTATGCGATGTGAACTACAACATCTGTATGCTCTAAGGTAAATAGAGATAAGATATACTGATAAGTATGTACGGTACATGTATATTCTCATATCAGTAACCATTATGTTAACTTATAAAAATGCAAACACCACTATGCAAGCACATACATTGATCTCAAGAGCAGGCGCGGATCCACGGGCTCAATTCTACGGGCCCGGCTATGGCAAGCCCATTGTGTAAAAACTAGATAAACTCAGTTTATCAGAAAAACTGTGTTTATCAATGATAAACTCAGTTTATCAACTGATAAACTGAGTTTTTCTGATAAACTGAGTTTATCAACTGATAAACTCTGTTTATCTGATAAACTCTGTTTATCTGTTGATAAACTGAGTTTATCATTGATAAACTGAGTTTTTCTTGATAAACTGAGTTTATTAACTGATAAACTGAGTTTATTAAGTGATAAACTGAGTTTTTCTGATAAACTGTGTTTATCTGTTGATAAACTGAGTTTATCTGAGAAAAACAGAGTTTATCTAGTTTTTACACAATGGGCTTGCCATAGCCGGCCCGTAGAATTGAGCCCGTGGATCCGCGCCTGCTCAAGAGCTAGTCCAGGCCGAACAGTAACAACTGAGATATTGACACTTTTAATATACCATTTTCATAATGTAATCAAATATAATGCACAAATCTTTGCTAAGTGACTAGTTATAAATTAAATGTACCAGTGTATTTCATTCACCTGTTAAAGTTTTAAAAAATGTATATGTATTTTTGATCTAATATGTATTTTGATATAATGTTTGTCCTACTTAGCAACAATAAAATGTATGTAAGTCACATTCAGACTATTGAAATTAAAATACAATTATTTATAACGGGTGAATGACATAATTTGTCACCTGGCACTTAAAGATTTATTCATTGAATTCGATTACATTACCAAAATGTCTATAGGAATGATAGAATCTAATTAAGGTACTCTTGTGGGAATGTTGAGTTTACGGTCCGACAAGCAGTGCTTTTTCAACTGAAACTTCTGATGTACCAGTATACATTAAATTATTAATCATAAGCATAGAACTAGTCATCAAAATGGTTGAAATGTGACCAGGTTTTACACAAAACCAATGCACAAAAATGAATTTTGTGGGAAGACATGTATCTCTATACTTGGGCATATATTTGTAAAATAGTAGGTAGTCTAGTGGGAATGGGCTTTCAGCTCAGTTAGGCACCGATTCAGTTTATGTACATGTTTATATATTGTAATTGTATAGTCATTGAAAAGTATTTATGCTTTACTTGCCAAAGAAGTTTGTATTAATTTATTTAATCTATTGTATTTGTAAAGATTTGTATGTACTGTATATATGAATATATAAAGATTGAAGTAAACTTCTTCCCTGAAAAACTGACAAACTCGTGTCCAATTACATCTTTGTCATAGCCCGTCTCTATTTTTAGAGTATTATTCCACCAATTTTTTAAATAATTAGCTTGTTCACTGCAGGCTCATTAGGTGGACTATACAAGTTACCTCTTTTTTTTTGGTACAGTTTTTGTGTACTTAAAAAATTACTAAACTTGGCAAGGGTAAGAATAATTAGGTTGTTAACTGTTCATGTAAGTGTGCAAAAGCACATTGTTGCCTTCCAAGTGGACATGTGGGTGCTTTTTTTTATTGAAGTTTAATCCATTGATTCCAAGGGTCAAGGCAAACATCTTTCATGATTTCAGGCCTTGAGCTTTCCAAACATTGTAAACCATTTGATTTAAAATAAAAGCTCTTAAGAAGAACACAAGACATGATTTTGATACATTCAATTTTGTTTTTAATTCTCATTGGAACATGGTCATAACATCATTGAGATGGACAAGCGAGTTCTTGTCCAATCAAAATACAGATAAATTTGCTTTGAGCCTTGACAAAATTCAACAGAATAACAAACCAAGCATAAAAAATACCTGAACATTAAAACCCTTTTAGCATGATTACCTGGTATGTAATGACAATCAAATTGACATGTTTAAAATGACAATGTTAAAACAGTAAATTTGCATATATGTAAATAATCAGTTTTATGGAAAAATAACACCTGGAAGACCCTCAAGTCTTATTTTGAATATCAACCTAGGTAATTACACCAAACAAAAAACCTGTAATAAAAAGTACATAAAAATAGACAATTCTTTGTCTTTGGTATATACCTTTGAAAGAGATGTATCTAAGTGGACAGTTTTCATCTCAGCTGCTGACAGTATGGATTGTCAAATACATGATCAAGACAGATATTGGTCTTGAGAAGCACTAGCACGTTCTAAGAAATGAACATGATTTCCAAGCAAGGCAGAAAAAGTACTACAAAGAGTTAAATTTTCATGAGAAAGTAGTAAAACAAGGAAAGAAATGTTCTCAAATTCTTTCATTCTTGAAGTCTAAAAACAAAGTTAGCTCGTTGAACTGAAACATAGTCACATGACTACATGTATAAGCCAGTCATAATAAACAAGGCACAACAATGCGGTCATCTGGTATCTACATGTATGGGAATGTTTGCTACATGTGGTTAGGTTGGTTCATAAAAAGGACATTCCGACGAACTGTTCTTGAATCCATGCAAGTAATACACACTGATCCTAAGCCTTCTCATGCTGGTACAACTTCTTCAGTTCTGCGTCGTCTGTTGCAGAAACGTGCTGAACAAGGTTGGCATCACCACGTGTCACACCCCAAGCATCAGGTTTGGACATAGAGGCACAGTCGGGTCGACCACTTGATGGTTTCAAGTTCTCCCAGTAATCACGGCGAGCCCTAAAATCATTAAAACAGAAAGTAAGGTGTAATTAAATCATTTCATACTGACACATCATCATCATCCTCATCATCATTGTCGTAATTGTCATTGTTTAGCATCTGTTCTTCCCATGATGTGGGGTTGTACATTTAATTTCCCTTATGGGCCCCTCTCCAAGCCTGCAGGGGCCTGTTTCACAAAACTTTTCATCAGTGACAAATGACGGTCTTTGTTATAAGCTACTGAAATCCTTGCTCCTTGCAGCAGATTTGTCAATGATTTTAGTCATTTGTCATTGAAAAAAGGCTTTGTAAAACGGGTCTCAGCATCCTCCTGGGTGAGGCCATATGCTCATGTCTTCTAAGAGCGTCTCCTTAAACCGACATAAATAAACCCCCAAAAAAAACTTTTATCCTATAATACTAATATACTTCATATTTCTAAAGGATAATTGGTGCTAAAATTTTAATGTCAGAAATCTTGAATTCTTCATTGCTAGATTAATTAGTTCAGATAGAGAATAAGATAAAGACATAGAGATGATGGAAAGATAGACAAGTTGAAATATATGCTGACAAAGAAAAAAGAGATAGAAAGTAACATAGATGAATGAGAAGACAAAGATGTAGAAAATGCAAAGAATGAGATAATGGAACAAAATTCCAAGAGATCTTATCGAGGGTTCAGTGACACAAAGACGTAACTCCATATTCTGCCAAAATGAGGATTTGATATCAAAATGTTCAGAAAAATGTGGGCTTTCCAGGAAACACAAAGACTTAAATCCACCCAACACCCCATTAAAGTCGATAGTAAGTGCTCAGTGACACATAAACCACTTTTTCTCAAAATGGCCAAAATGGAGTTACATCTTTGTGTCATCGACCCCTTGATATGGAAAAACCTGAAGAAGTGATTTACCTAGCCCTGACCCATGGCTTTGTGTGTTGGCGAAGGCCATCACCCCAGAGAGCGTGCTTCTCTGTTCCCTCAGGGAAGAATCCTCTCTCCTTGTTCAGCTCTTCACAGACCGCCCTGATGTGGTAGGCCTCGAATCCACAGCAGCCTCCAATGTAACGGATACCCATGTCGTAGGCTTCACGGGCGTAGCGGTGGCACTCCCAACGTGTCAAGATACGTGGCTCCAAACCTGCGAAAGATAAACAATCAAAAATTTAGAATGAACCAAATTTTTCAGGTTACATCAAGACTTAAGTTTTATTTATTATATTTTTGTTCTCATATCATGGACTACATTTCTCCCTATCCTACTGATGAAATGCAAACTATAGATCTTTGTAGACCTCTTGGAATTCCTTGAAGGTTGTTGTTTGATGAGAAGATGGTTGAGTCTTTGAACAGATCATGATGATGATAGTGATGAGGCCACAAAAATAAAGCAATATTTCCATGATCTTTCCTACTTACTTTAAGTAAATTCAGAGTTCCATATTTACCAAAAATCAATTTGTAAGATGTGGAAAGATAAGATAAGTTTTGGCAAGTCCACACAATACCTCCAACATATTTTTCCATGTTTAGTTCCATATTCAGCAAAATAGGCTAATGCAATATTTTAGACATAAAAGGATAAGACCGACACTCACCGAATGGGAACTCTGGAAGATCGATGAATCCTTGCTTGCCACAGTCTGGTGTAGCGAAGCCGAGGGGTTGGATCATAAGAGGCACCTTGATTCCAGCCTTCTCTAGACCTGCCTTCATGAGAGCTACAGCTTCCAGACTCATCCAGGGGTCAAAGTGACAGTTCACACCTACAACATCGGCACCTAAACAAAGAGATCATACCATGACAAGTTTAATTAGTTACAATTATTAAATGGTTACGTTATCAAATGTTATCAACTTAAAAAGTATTTCTTTCTCTGATTACCATTCCTTAGAAATCTGACCAATGTTTCTTAAAAATCTGTTTTCATTTTATCAGGAAAGGGCTTTAAACAAGAAATGTCTGCTTCTAGTATTAAGCATTGGGTTTAATGATGATTAACTTACTCTGTTCACATTGATGTATAATTCATATGTATTGTAATTTTCAGGTTCATTTGCATTTTCTTTTTGTTTTGCTTAATATGTAATTGTTTGTTTTAGCCCTTTAAGACTTCGGTGGTAAGCACCTTTTTTTATTCTATTTTTTAAAATTAAATTTAGCTGTTTATATTTACCAGCTTTGGCCATCTTGACGGCACAGTCCGCGGCAGAGACACCATGCATGTCACCTTCGGGTCCGATACATAGCGAGCAAGCTACAGGGATACCAGTCTTCTTCAGTTCTTCAACAGCCCATTCAGCCTCTTCTACATGCTCAAAGTACTGAAAGCAGATAACATTCTCATGATAAATCAATGATGACAAATTAACGAGTGGGAAAGAAGCTACATGGATCTGAACAAGATCTGGATCTCTGCATATTGTTGAGATCCATTAGGCCAAAACTATGATATACTTTGTATATTTGATAATTCATAATGAGTAACCAGAAAACATATTTCCAGAATGACGAAAGAACAATTATTATTCATTTTGTTGCAAAAGCAGTTAGAGCTTTATCTCTAAAAATTGAAATTAGTTCGCACCTATAAACATCAAAAATTTGGCAGCATCAAAATCATTAACTGTTCTTCTGTATGTCATGGTAACAATTATTGGAAGATATCCTCTATTTCACTGATAGGCTCCAAAATTGAAAACAATACAAATCCTTTTTGATTGCACAATCTTATGAGCTAAACAAAGCATGAGATAATTATGTTCTAATACCCAATATTGCACACATCCAAAGGTACTTAGGAATAGATTCAAGTGGTTCTTTCCTGCTTTTACTGTTGTTGGACTTTGAACGTTCATGCTCATTACTAGGCAATTGGTTTTTCAGATTTTGTACTCTCTATAATCAAAACAAAGGCATCGATTGAACACATTAATCCTCTTCCTCGAACAGTATGCATGGCTCAGCTATATCAGCTCTTAATTCCTTTGATGAAAGAAAACCTAGATTTCATTTGGGCTACTATGTAATTTTAAAGCCCCACTGCACTACTTATAGCTACTTGCGCCCTCTATATACCAAACAATGCCTAATCGGTGACCGTTGGTCCCCCATGGTCCCCTTTTTTGTATGTTAATTGAGAGCCGATTTGATGAGATAACCACCTGTCAGTGACCATGCAGGGAGGTCTAATCCCTCCTGGCCAAACTAGTTCAGATAAGCTTTAAATGACAAACGCATTATTAAGACTTAATAAAAATAGTAACAAAACGAGTGAAAGCTAGAATAGAAAGAAATAGTTAAGTACTAGTAATTATATAAGAATAAGTAAATGAGAAGGTAATTTCTTCGGTCACTGCTAATTCCTTTTGTTAATTACCTCAGCGATAATGAAGTCCACCTTATTCTTGACAAAGACCTCGATCTGCTTGCGGAAGATGGCTTGGACGGATTCCTTGGTGCCACCGGATAGGTATCCGGGTGTCTGGCACACACCACCAGCAAACAGACCAGGTCCGTTACCATTGCCGATGGCAGCTACTTCACTGGCAATGTCACATGCCCTCTGGTTGATCATGGCACCCTTCAAACAAAAACAAATATAAATATAAAACCATTAGCACAGTTTTTATTATTATTATTATATTATAAGTTGTACATAACCCTTCACTGCCATTACAATGTTATGTCCAAATCAAAATCATCAAATGGTTTGTGTTCCACAGTGAATTTTTTTTTTCTTCTTCATTTCTGGGGCTCCTTTTTCCATTTCGGGGGCTTCTTTTTTCAGGGGCTACTTTTTCATTAATTTTCCAAATCAAAATCAACAACTGGTATGTGTTCCACAGTCATTTCAGGGGCTCCATATCCAATTTTTTGGAAATTTTCGAGAGCTACTTTTTGAAATTTTCGAGAGCTACTTTTTCAATTTCCGGGGCTCCTTTTTCCATTTCAGGGGCTACTTTTTCGTTAATTCATAAAAGAATTCAATTTTTTAAGTTCATCTCCACTTTGTGATGTGTTTTGAGTTCCTTCCTTTTCCTCAAATGGTTTTCTATCCCTGTAAAGACACTTCACAGTCTGCGAGACCCGACGATATTTTGACACTCGAACCTATAGAATGTAGCCTTATATTTACAGTCTTTGGCTGTGTTGGCATAGGGCTTTAAGAGGTGCATCTACATCGGTATGGAAGAGGTGTATGTCTTCATAATAGACATTGCTGTGGTACAGAATGATGCAGGTTTGGAATTTTTTACTTACGGTGTGTTTGTTGAGGGATTCGTTTGCGCGGTTCTCCAATTTGTCGTCACTGGCGTAGAATGTGAAAGCCTGGATGATATCAGCTCCAGCACGGAGGAACTCCTTGGAGATCTGTCGTACTATGATAAAAAAGGAGATTCCAAAATCATTATGCAGTTGCAGTGAATTTCATGGAAAAACTAGACTGTGCGCAGTCGAAAATGATGCCTCCCCCATAGAGCATTTTACAAACCAAGACAGAAGCAATTTTTAAAATTCCAAGTTTGATTGTAATCCTTAGCAGCTAGTTCTCAGAATATCCTGATTACAAGCTTTTTTTATATGACCTTCTTTGATCTGAGCATTTGACTGACTAGCTATTAGACTAAATGAGCAATGAGATAAATGGAAATCAGACCAAATGACTATAATAGCCTAAATGGTCATTAGACGAAATGACATGTAGACAAAAATGACTATTTGACCATGTGGATAGTAGACAGACTGGGTGTAGACCATATAGGATTTATAGACCGATTGGGTAGTAGGGTAGTAGACCAAACGGCAATAAACCTACTCACCAGCATCTGGGTATTCTACGGTTGCCTCTGGAGTCCATGGTCCTGCCTTGACGTAACCACGCTTCTCCAAAGCAAACACGTAGCCTCCATCACCAATTACCATCTCGCCTGCATTCAGACGCTCCATAAACCCCTTCTTGTCCTATTCACAAACAGAAAAAAGAAACTAATTAATGCTCTATATTCCTTTCTCACACTCAAGCCACACTCAATGAACATTTCAATTTGACTTCAGTTCATTCATCATAGATTTAACAAACATATTGCACATTCAGTGAATAACTATAGAAATGTGAATGTTTATTTGTTCATACAAAATCTATAAAAATTAATGAAATGATTGATTTAAACTACCAAGTGAATGGGGACAGCTGTGAAGAACAAATGCTACCTAAAAGTCTCGAACTATATCTTCATTTTTTTAATGGGGGGGGGGGGGGGGACAAATATAGGGAATTAATGTGTTCTTAAATTTGGGGGCTGATGATTTTAACATCTGAAGAAAAACAAGAAGTTCACAAGTTTGATTTGTCCCTGTCACTGAAGATAAGAATTTAAAGTCAATAGATTTCAAGGAAAAGGAAAAGGATATGATAAAACCTCCGAACACATTACTTTTCAAAACCATGATTCCTGAATGTCTAAATATAACATATTGTCTCATCTAGCATATCTCTGGTCCTATCTAAGGGTGCGTTTAATCGACACTTTTTCACCCTAGAATCACGGTTTCTAAAGACGTTTAGTTTAAAACGCAATGCGTTCAAGCGATTTTTTCGTCGGTCGTAAAAATAAACGTGTTTAAAAACACAAACATGAAACGCCAAAAAAGATGCGTTTTGTATCATGATTCTGCAGAATCACGGTCGCTAAAATTCGATTAAACGGACGGAGTTCTCAATCATGATTGTATGACAAAGCCTGTTCCGGTTTGGGAAGAACCGCGCGCCCGCTTTGCATGCAATTTGCGTTCACTATACCATCGTGGCCTGTTCCGTTATGTTATTCCTCGTTTTCCTTCTATCATTTTCTCTTTCTGTCTTTCCTTACGTTATTCTTTGTTTCTTCCTTCTATTCTTGTGTTGTTGTTTTTTCTTCTATCACCTTTTCTTATGTTATTCTTTGTTTTTATAATTCTATCACTTTCTCTTTTGTTATTCTTTGTTTCTTCCTTCTATTCTTATGTTATTCTTTGTTTTTTCCTTCTATCACCTTTTCTTATGTAAATTCTTTGTTTTAAGCATTCTATCAATTTCTCTTTCTGTCTTTCCTTATGTTATTCTTTGTTTCTTCCTTCTATCATCTTCTCTTATGTTATTATTTGTTTTTATAATTCTATCACTTTCTCTTTTGTTATTCTTTGTTTCTTCCTTCTATTCTTATGTTATTCTTTGTTTTTTCCTTCTATCACCTTTTCTTATGTAATTCTTTGTTTTAAGCATTCTATCAAACTCTCTTTCTGTCTTTCCTTATGTTATTCTTTGTTTCTTCCTTCTATCATCTTCTCTTATGTTATTCTTTGTTTTTATAATTCACTTTCTCTTATGTTATTCTTTGTTTTAATCATTCTGTCACTTTCTCTTTCTGTTCTTCCTTATTTTATTCTTTGTTCCTTCCTTTTTGCACATTCTCTTTCTGTCTTTCCTTATGTTATTCTTTGTTTCTTCCTTCTATTCTCATGTTATTCTTTGTATTTTTCTCCTTCTTTTAAGGTAATATTTTTTTTATATTTATGTTTCTATTAAGGTAATAATTACCTTCTCTTATGTTATTCTTTGTTTTTATATATCATTTTCTCTATTGTTATTCTTTGTTTCTTCCTTCTATTCTTATGTTAATCTTTGCTTTTCCTTCTATCAACTTCTGTTATGTTTTTCTTTGTTTTAATCTTCTTTCACTTTCTCTTTCTGTCCTTCCTTATGTTATTCTTATTTCCTTCCTTTTTTCACATTCTTTTTCTGTCTTTCCTTACGTTATTCTTTGTTTCTTCCTTCTATTCTTATGTTATTCTTTTTTTTTTCCTTCTATCACCTTCTCTTTTGTTATTCTTTGTTCCTTCTTTTTTCCACATTCTTTTTCTGTCTTTCCTCATATTATTCCTTGTTTCTTCCTTCTATTCTTATGTTATTCTTTGTTTTTTTCCTTCTATTACCTTCTCTTTTGTTATTCTTTGTTTCTTCCTTCTGTTCTTATGTTCTGCTTTGTTTTTCCTTCTATCACCTTTTATGTAATTCTTTGTTTTAAGCATTCTATCACTTTCTCTTTCTGTCTTTCCTTATGTTATTCTCTGATTCTTCTTTCTTTTACCTTCTCTTATGTTATTCTTTGTTTTAATCATTCTATCGACTTTCTCTTTCTGTCTTTACTTATGTTATTCTTTGTTTCTTCCTTCTATCACCTTCTCATTTTTTGTTTTATTATTGCGATCTATGCTCAAAACAGCAGTCGACAGTCGCGCCGAAGTTCCTGGATCAAACTGCGCAGTGAGATGCGCAGTGGCTGGGCTCAAAATGAGCTAGAATCAGCGTTGATGAAAAATCGCTTGAACGCTAACCGCAGTGACCTTGTTTTTTGTAACAGCGTTTTGGTTTGTGATTGATGTTTGTGATTCTAGCTTCGAAAATTCGATTGAACGCACCCTAAATGTACTTTACCCCAAAATGAACCTGCACATTTAACCCTTTATCCAGGCCTCACACTCTCTGGACATGTTTTTATTTCCTGGCTGTTGAAAGATCAGATGAACGGATAAATACGAGATCACTGTAGACAATGTTCATGTATAAGTGGCCATCTTGAAAGTGCTTTATTCCAATATCCTTCCGCCAATCGCGGCCTCATTACGCACATCAATGAACTATTGGTGTTGTTCATATAGTACCACAACATCCCCCTTCTTTCAATGACAAGTTGATAGTGCTCTCATTAACCAGTTGTATCTTCCCTGCTCAATATGCACTGTGCATGACGGAAATTATCCACTAAAACAGTAACACAATTTAGAAATTTCAACAGGAGGAAACATTCCAAACATATTCTTCTTTTTTTTCTTTTTTTTTCGAGAAGCACAGTACTAAAAACTGTTCAACTAAAACTTACAAGTACCTTTCAACAAGAAAAGCAAATTTTAGAATGGTAAAATAGTGTCCTCCACTATAACAGGCATATTTTGTTGCTGAATCGACATATTTGTATAATGTAATTCAACTTTTTATACTTTACATAACTTTTGCTGGAATAAACTAAAGTGATTCCATATTGCTTTCTGGCAAACAGTTATAAACAACATTTTCCTTCGAAAAAACGTTTTTCATCCCATTTTAATTAGGACTTAGCAATACGACAAATCTGCGTAACAAAACTATAATTCCTGGTATTTGTGTGGAGAGTTGAAATATCATGCACGAGCACGGCATACAATTGCTAAATTCGGTTCTGTATACAAAAGAGATTTTCTGTTGAAAGATAACCAATATTAAGCGTGGCAGTTATATAAAACACTTTGGTTATACATGTATACTGATTAAGAAATTGAATCACCTTATGTCAAATATGAGGTTTTACTATCATCAATGTAAATCTACCGGATATGCTAAATCATTAAACAAATAAAGTATAGTTGTTGTTTATCAATCTATTAATCGATGAAGTTTTTATTCTTGATAACGAGATGGGGGATTAACCTTGCGACCATATCGTGTGACATAGGCAAAAGAATCAGAACGAGGGATTGAACCATCGAAATCCTGTGTTCCTGCGGGTGTTGTGCAGTTGTCACCATCCTCTCTTGGAAGATGCTCTGTCCCTGGTGTGGGTGCTGTTGCCGTCTCTATTTGTATCGGCATCTCTCTAAGATTGTAAGCACATGCGGGACTCCAACGTAGTCTAATTATCTAAGTTTCGATTCACTTTATAGTGCTTACAAGGTGTGTACCAATCACACAGACCACAGCAATAAAACCTCTGTTCCTGTTGCTATGGCATCACGGAAGGCAAACGAACCATACTGGCCTCTGAGACTCTGGGACAGTCTACCGTATACTGCATGGGCAAACAAGGTGGGGGAGAATAGCTATATAGGGTCCAAGATATGCAACAGATGAAGCGACAACACTTGCTTGCGCAACGCTTCATGTGTCCTGTGTAAACAGGTCTGTGTTTGCAGACTACTCTAATATATTTAATACCCAGGGGTGACCTTTCCTTTGAACCTGACAGGGCAAAGTGCCAGGATGCTGAAACTGGTTTAACCCAGTTTCTGTTTGAACTGTTGATGTGGAAATCTAGCAAGACCACATATTTCAGAACATAGTGAAGTAAATTCACCCTACTTTAGCTTAGTGAATTAATGATTCCAAACCATTGCAAAACCAATGCAAAACCGATAACCATGGAAAGGAGATGTCAAGTGTTTATGCAAATACAATTCCCTCCATTCCAGTTCTAAGAATATTGGTCAAGCCCTATTGGCAAGAAACACACACCCTTTAAAATACACACTACATGTACCTTCACACACTGGAAATAAATGCAAACAAATTGTATGCCAGCTTGGCAGCTTGCGATAATTTGCATTGCAAACAGTAGGTTGGGCAAAGAGCATCGATTGAAGTCCCCCCCCCCTCCCCCCTCCCCCCTCCCCACTCCCCCTCCCCCCCCCCCCCCCAAGGGTTAAAAACCTCATAAAAATTCATGTTTCTTAATCATGCACATGAGCATAAGACTTGCTTGTAAAAGGGGTGATTTTGATCAAAACTCATGACCGTGTTTTTGTCACAGGTATTTTATTATTTTATTTTGTATCGAATTACTGTTGCTTACATTGTACGTATTGTTGTGATGTGCAGGAAGATATTAAAGATTGTATATACAGTGTGAGTCAAACAAAAGTTTACACCTAGAAAATTGCTAATTATTAAAAAAATCATCTATCAACAGTAAATTATTATACATCTTATGAAAGAGTGTTTTATCCCCAATCATTTGGTACCATTTCGAGTGGTATGTGTTCACACTTGGATGAACAGGAGGCATTGTTTGCAAGAGTGCAAAAATCGACTTGCGCCAAAGTTGCTTATGTGATGTTTGAATACAACAATTTGGGATTTGGGTATTAATTCGGTCTTTGCAGATCCAAATAACATCCCTAACAAAATTAATCATATCACACATATCAAATAGCATCGAACATTTGTGCGCGTGTGTGTGGGTGTGTGTTACTTTGCTTCTGCAAAAAGCATATGCAATGCATTTCATTTGATACATTCAATTCATTCTCTCACTCCGCTAATCCCAACATAATACACTCTGTAGGCATCACTTTGGCGCAAGTCGATTTTTGCACTCTCCTGTTCATCCAAGCGTGAACACATATCACAAAAAAATGATACCAAATGATTTGGGATAAAACACTCTTTCATAAGATGTATAATAATATACTGTTTATAGATGATTTTAAAAATAATTAGCAATTTTCTAGGTGTAAACTTTTTTTTGACTCACACGGAATATGTCACCTCCTTGTGACAAAAGAAAGAGACAGACAGGCAGACAGAGAGAGAGAGAGAGAGAGAGAAAGGGTCCCAAGATAAAGTTTGTAACTAGCTTATCAGAAATCAATCTATATTGTGCGTAAATATGATTGAAAAGTTGCAACATTTGATAAAATGCTCACATTCTGGGCTATATATTCCAGTGAAAATTCCACACCCACCTGTTCACAAACACAGTGGTATGTCCTCACCCATCGAGTACCTTATTGCATTAGCATAGCATGTTTTCATATAATAGCCCATTTGAAACTCTTCTTTTCATGGTGTTGCTTGGGGATTTCTGGTATAGTAAAGTTCTGCTTAAAATGTCATTGAATTTTGTGAGTGGGCCCTGGGCATTGTATAAAAAAATAGAAATAACAAAGCTATTGTGAACATGATGTTGTCAGTTGATGGAAGGGACATATACCAATGTCTTTTGTTCATCGATCTAGCTGACTGATTAACAACATGTCACAAAAGTCATATGCTTTTGGAGGAGTTTTTTAGGGGTGGAGCTTAGCATGTAGAACAATACTTCTATAGACTCTAGTACTAGAAAAAAACGGGGAAAAATATACGACGTAAATGTACGCAAAAAGTCAGACATGTGATGTATTACAGATCAACAAAAGTCAACATGAATTGGTAATTAGTCACCCTTTAACAGGCTATGATGACACCCAGTAGGCCAGTACTATTAGTCTATTACTTGTCGAGGGCCATTCAACAGGTCTATTCCTGATCATAAGCTTAAATCAAATTGATCTTCACACATAGATCTAGACATACATTTGTTTCCACTGGTTATTGAGTTTAAGCTTTTACAAAATGACTGCATGATGATGCTTCAACAATGTCAGCAGAAGGGTAATTCCAAAAATGTACTACCCTTCAACTGAAAGAATGTAACCTTTTGCTGGTGCAACATTTCAGTTAACTAGAACTTTAACTTGTGTCCCTGAGTGACTTAATAATATTAAGAAGAGTGCAGCTGCATCAAAGTCTTCTCATTCAACAACTTAAAAACCTGAATCATTTCTTTCCGTTCACACCTACATTCATAGGGATGGAATTCCTAGATGCTCGAGTCTTTCAGAATATGGCAATTAATGCATGATCTCAGACTCAAGTCAAGAGTCGGAGTATCAGAGACCAACTGGTACTATCTTCTCTGAAGAGCCTCAACTCTCAACTCGATCCAACTCCACGAAGCTCCGACGCGCGTTTCACGAAACCGTCATAAGTACAAGTTCACCGACATCCCATTGAAACGCGTGTTAAAGTTAATACACGCATTTCATACACGTGCGCTATATAAGAATCCAATATTATTATTATTATTTATTTCAATGGGATGGCAGTGAACTTGTACTGATGACGGTTTCGTGAGACGCTGCCCTGGAGTTAAACTCGATCTACCTTACTCGATCGCATCTCTCTTTGTACAGTTTATTGAATGTAAAATAATGAAACAAAACTCACTGTTCTTGGTTTCTTGGCTCCCGACATCTTGAATCTGTGTCTCTAAAAGTTAAAGATGAAAATAATTGGAATCTCCGAAATTCGATGCCGCGAGATGAGCCTGGCTGTGATGGAGGTGCTCTTGCAAGTGCAATTATTTGAGAAAGAGGCAGTAACACAAAATCACTGCACTTATATAACGTACATGCATCCATACTATCTCCCGGCCTAGCTTATATGCACAAGGCACAGCGATATCAGGCAATCTTCGCAAATTAAAATCTGCGGTTCGTGTGCAAAATCGAGAAGATACTATAGTAACAGTTGGATGACTGCTGAGGCCCTGAAATCTAGAACGGGGACGACCAAGCCACAAAACGGCTTTTTATCAAATTTCAACAATGATTTATCATCAAGTTTTAAAACAATTCATGTTATAGATCTATTCATGTTGTTATTGTTCAGAAACAATAATCGGAAGAAACAAAACCCACCGAAGAGTCATTCGTGTCAGGGGCGGATATCTAGAAGGGGGGGGGGGGGGGGGGGGGGGTAGGAGGTTTAAATTCCCCCTTGGGCTGGCTAGTGGTGAAGTGTGACGTCATCAAAAATCTATTTTTTGAATTTCTCAATTTTTTCTTCATTTTCCGAAAGAGCATAAAAAATAATGTCCAAATATTGAAAGCCAATAGAATATGTTAAGTATTGTCTGAGATATGACCATCTGAATAAATATACTCTCCACTAGGAGCCAGGGCATATAACACTGAGTTCCCATAGGACATATATTTATTCAGATGGTCGAGCCAATACTTAACTTATTCAAATGGTTTTCGACATTTGGACATTATTTTTGATGCTCTTTCGGAAAATGAATAAAAAATTGAGAAATTCTAAAAATAGATTTTTATGACGTCACAGCTTCTGTACTCTATACCCCCCCCCCCAAATTGAAAACAAATTTTAGCGCTCCCTACCCCCCCCCCCCCCCCCCCCCCTAAGCGAAATATTGGTCGGCGGCGATTTTTCAAATGTCACCCCCCCCCCCCCCCCCAAATTTCAACAAGAATTTATCATCAAGTTTTAAAACAATTCAATATAGATCTATCCATATTCATGTTGTTATTGTTCAGAAACAATAATCGGAAGAAACAAAACTCACCGAAGAGTCATTCGTGTCATCAGGGGCGGATATCTAGGGGGGGCGGGTAGGAGGTTTAAATCCCCCCTTGGGCTGGCCAAGGTGCTTTAAACCCCCCCCCCCCCCCAAAAAAAAAAAACAACAACAAACAAACAAACAAACAAACAAAACAAAAAACAAAACAAAACAAATCAAAACAAAACAAAAACAAAAACAAAAACAAAAACAAATTGAAAACAAATTTTAGCGCTCCCTACCCCCCCCCCCCCCCCCCCTCTAAGCGAAATATTGGTCGGCGGAGATTTTTCAAATGTCACCCCCCCCCCCCCCCAACCCACGCCATAGAAAAGAAGCTAGATCCGCCCGTTAAAATTCGTCATCCTTCGTCATTAGACGACGAAATTCTCATAACCATCTTTGGTACAAGCTCGCTGATTGGCAGTTTATTCACTTGAGAACGCCCCTCAGCGATCACCCTGCTCGATTTTGCACACGAACCGCAGCTTGCGAAATACCCCTAATGTTTAAATACTATTATCCTTATCAGGTGAAAGAAATATTTTGTATCGAGGCACTTCACAAAAACGTATGCATTAATTTTGGTTACATTACGAAAATTGCATAATGGCATTGCAAATGCAACACCTCCGTAGAGATATGTACGCATTCACCGAAAAGCGAAACCACGTATTGTATCGAGGGCGGTCTGGTGTGCGACAGTCGTAAACCTGAGTGCTCTGCGTCCGCGAAGGTCTGTATGTTGCTGAGCGAAAACTCGCTATCGTCAGCGGCACCGCCCACATAAGTTACACATTAAATCCTAAGTCCTTGATTAAATTATGCAAATCTAAACAATCAAGAAGTTCATTCACTCAGCGTGGGGTGCAAATCACGATTCTGATTGGACAGTTTCCTACCATCCCTCGCCTCGCCCCTTAGATCTAGCGAAACTATCTGAGGTGCCATAAGTGCCCAGGGACCGCTATAGTAGTCTAGATTTACAGACCCCAATACACCTTCACAAAAAGCGATTCATTGCGTTTTTACTGTTTTCCCCCTTCAAATACAATGCCTACAAACAGTCATTGATTGGAAAAAAGAAAAAAAGATAGAAAGAGAGAACTTAAGGTAGAGAGACACAAAGATAAAAAGATATAGAAATATAGAAATAGAAACAGAAAGACAGAAAGACAGAAAGATCGAAAGTAACTTAGAAAGAAAGAAATACATTTAAAACAAGAGAAATATTACCTGAATGAGCCTGGTCTTAAAAATTAAAACTCATTGATTGGAAAAAAGAAAGAAAGAAAAAAGAAAAAAGAGAGAAAGATAGAAAAATAACAATATAGAAAGGTAAAGAGATATAAAGATAAAAAGATAGAAGTATAGAAATACTGAAAAATAAATTTTATTTATTTATTTCTAAGTTACTCCCTATTTAGGAGTAACTTAGAAATAAATAAATAACTTTTTAAAAAGAGAAATATTACTTGAATGAGCGGGTGGGGGGAGTGGTCTTGAAAATTTAAACTGATTAAATCATGATTAAAACAACTATACAAATTTAAAAAAATAACTCAAAAAATGATATAAAAATCAAAAAGTATATATGAAAAGATTATTACGACATTATGCTCAAGTGACAAAAGCCTGCATATGGTTATTTAGATTCAGATTAATTTTATTCAGGTCCATTTGGAAATTCAGTTGTTGGCATTACATAAGCACATGAACAATATACAACAGAAAATAATATACACAAATAGATAATACACAGTAGCAAGTAAACAATGAAATGTGGAAACACAGATATAAATCGTTTTTACATATAGTATGGATGTTGCTTTCCTTGGGGGACCTACTGACGAGTTGTTTCATCAACCTGTTTTTAATGAATGAACTACAATACTTGGAATCCATGGTAAGCATACATTACTGGCTGCTTTGTCGAGCGAGCCTCGTGCAAGCTTTGTTAAGAACAACCTTTGTTTAAAGGGTATAATAATATAATGCATGAACTTAACTAAACCGGTCTATTTGTATTCCCGGACCCGAGCACTCAGTGCTAGTATCATCATCATTATCATTGATCTGGATGATGACACGGGTTCAGTGACCTTATTATTTTTGTTTACAACAAAATGTCTTTCCAAGTGCATGGGTACTGCGAGACTTTTATATAGGGCTGCTGCGACAGAAAGTGAGTTAGACATAACAACAAAATATTGTAATAACGTCGATTTCGTAAGAAATTTAGAAACTATATTTAATATAGAGTATGCAATTTCTTGAGTAAATAGCACTATAAAGGTCTTTCTTCTTCGGCGCTCACTCGCAACTTTAAGGAGTATGATGATTTCAGGCAGCAAATTACCTCCATATTTGAAAATATTAGTGCCCGAATACTCTTATATTTGACAGCGAGATGCCGAAGTGATATCTTGTAAATCGAAATAACATTACTTCACTCCGTCGCGTCACCCTTTCGCAACATTAAAACTTTGTTGATTCTAGGCAACGAGCTGCCCGAATATCGTGATTATCGCATATAACATTTTGTCTTCAGCATGACAGCAGCGAGGTGCCCCAATCCCGCCCCCCCCCCCCCCTCCCCACTCCGAGAACGGACGGATGCGTGTTACCAAAATGTCTGGTACTAAGGGGTATTTTTCGTGCGACAAAGTCCGGCCCGAGAATTGTAAAAAAAAAAGGGGTGTATTAACTTTTCACCCGGAGATTTCTTTAAAAAGGGGGTGTTTTTTCTTTTTTTCTCTCATCTCTTTGGACTCCTGAGAAATTATTCCGAATTTAGGGGTGGGGGGTACATTGAGCATTTTTCATTATTTAGGGGGGTCTCCAAGGCAGGAAAGGCCCGCGAAAAGCCCGCGAAAGTGGGGTTCGGAAATGTTGGCAGTCCTCAGATAGGGGGTGCTTTCAAAAAGAGGGAACAAGCATTATGCGTACCCTAAATAACACTGAGTGGGGGGGGGGGCCGGGGCCCCAATACGTTGATCACAACATAAAATCATACCATATCAAACATTTCTTTTTTACCAACAGATGTACCTCGCACCGTATGGCACTTGATGCAGAGCGACGCAAAACGAACCTTCTGAGATTACGTTTAGATTCGGGTGGTCCAAAGCGATTTTTTGTATTTCTTAAAAGGGTTTCGTGACAGAAAAAAGGTTGAAAAACACTGTTCTAAAAATCCTTTGCGAGATGTCGTTCTCATCTTCTTTCCATCGTAGGCGACCTTCCACCGTTATGTTGCCCAAAAAGTTGGAAAAAATTACGTCTTTTCATGAAATCATGTCTTGAGAGCTACTATTAAATAATTCTTAGAACCTTAAAGAGTAACGCTTTATATAAATTAAAGTTCTGAGAAGATACAATTATTTGTTCAAGCATAATAATATTTCCACCTCTCTTACACAATTTTCACGCATATCCACAAAAATAATTAGGACCTATAAAGTAACGCATATATTCGTCCTTTCCTTTCCATGTCCCAAAATGACCCCGAATATCCACAGATCTTCAAAACACGAAGAGGTCCAATTTTGTTCATTTTGAAATAATCACTCCTACAGCGATAACTTCTTGGATAGAGGTGCTACAAAAAATCATATGTTTCCCCTTTTCAAAGAATATTTACACCTGTGTATCATGGAGTGCACTGCTTGTGCATAAATGAATAATGATTACATAACTTTCATGAGCACGTATCCAGTATTTGATCTGCAATGACCTTTATCTGCTCACTGGCGTATTGGTCAAAATATGGTGTGCGCGATATAAATGGATATAATATTATACAATTAGTACAAAACTTTACCTTATCGATCAAAAGGTAAACAGTGATGATAATGATGATTTGATAGTAATAATAATGATGATGATGAATTGATGATGATAATAATAGTAATAACAACAGAGCAACGTCGATCTGGCGATGCTCAGTGGCAGTGCCGGGCTCACGATCAATTGGGCTATAATTTCCATTTTCGGTTTAACTTAAAGATAAACTTGAGTTCTGGTAAACAAAAAGAAAACGAATTCTCACAGAATCTAACGAAACTTATACTGAATGTTCAAGATCAGTACAAATAAATGTCATGTGCCAAACAATTTTGGAAGAAAATCATACTGGCTGAGTAATGAGCATAGAAAGATAAGGAAATCAGGGTAGTACTAGCCCCGACACCATGTGTTGTCCCATATACATCTTTCTGTGTAAGTGATTGTAAATTTACCAAGAATCTGCCAAATTTATGATGATTTTGATGACTCCAGAACCTTGCATTACACACCATTACTTACATGCTATATGATCAACTTTTCTGATCCATTCCACACCCTTTCTTTCACAATGCAATCGCATTACCAGAACTCAAGTTTATCTTTAATAACATTTGGAGTGGACTTTAAAATTATTATTAAAACAAATGTGCATGTATATCTACTTATGACTTTCAAGAGATTTTTCATTTCAGTTGGGTGAAATAAATTTGCAGACAGAAAGAAAGAAAGAAAAACAAAATAAACCATGGTACCACGACCGTCTAATAGTGCAAACTTCGGTCTCATAAAGTGAGACTATCTTCAAAACAAATGGGCGGGGCCTCAATGTCCAAGGATGGACCCTAGTCTGCAAGCACAAACCCTGGTCAGTCGTAAAAGTGAGTCTGCACTATAAGACTACCATAGGCCAAGTACTGTAGCTGCTCCTGACACAGGCTATATTGACACAGCCAGTAGGTAGCTGGGCTAGACTTCTCTCAAGGCACAATGATTTTTGTTTAAAGTGTCAAATTAGGGTATGTGCCTGCAGACTAGATGGACCCTAGGGTCCATGGTCCAAGCATGCAAGTCAAAGCCACCATATACATCTCTTGTAAGCGCTAGGCCTATACAATGTTCATGGTGCACGCTTGCATGTAGTACTAGTAGATCTACATAGACCTACATCAAACAGTGTACCAATAGTCGACCTATGATCTCTTAATTCTCTTTTACGTACGAAAAACAACAACAACATGCAGACTTTGTGATAGGGCGTATGGTGATTGGGTTATAGGGCACACCGTTTATCAAAAATAAATCAGTTAAACCGAAAAGAAAAATGGCTTCCCGACTGTTGCAGCTCGGTAAATTGAACCAAACTCCGCGAGGTTTCTCCGCCAATACTTCACTGGCTCGATGTATCTCGTGTAGCAGGGGAACATGGAACACCAAAGAACCGTAAGTAGGCCAGGTCCATGGGCATGGTAGATTTAAATCTAATCGACTAGATTCTAGATATCACATTATCAGTATCAAACTTCAAAGAGTAGATATAGATCTAGGCTATGCAGAACTTTATAAATGTCAAGTTATTTCTGTCAGTTTTGCTTGTACTTGTAGCTGTCACTTTAGTTTAGATCTCTACCAAAAATAAAAAAAAAAAAAAAAAAAAGATGCCATAACAATGTCATGATTTTGTTGAAGTCAGTTCAAGAAAAAGTTGCATTTTGATATTAAATTGCCATGTTTGTATTTAAATGCTGGGTTTATGGTTAAACATATTTTATTTGTAGGTGCCATGCATACCCATGGAGTTATAGTCTTCATTATTCTAACGTTGAGTTTGTATTTATAAAAGTTAAAGGCTTTTTAGGGCATATTTTAGGGGCAATTATTTGTAATTCAAATTCATCAATAAACTGTGTTAATAATCACAGTGTTTTTATAATGCAGTTTCATGAAAGTTGCGCACATGCGCATGAACAAACAAGTGAAAAGAGTCTTCACTCTACAAGACTACAGACTACAGTGTATGTTTTCATTAAAATGAATGCTTGAGCGCCTTGCTATGGTAAGTATTATGATTGATGGGCCCTCAGTATCAATACTGATGAGGCTACCCTGGTTGAACTAGGGGTGATATTATACTTTTTTATAATCTGAATATTATTAATGTTGTATTATGTGTGTCCCTTATATTCTTTGTTATTGTGATTTGCTTAATTGATAATGAATGCCCTCCCTATAGATTTTTTCTCTTATTAATATAGACGTCCGACTTTATAATCTCTCTCTCTCTCTCTCTCTCTCTCTCTCTCTTTCTCTCTCTCTCTCTCTTTCTCTCTCTCTCTTTCTCTCTCTTTCTCTCTCTCTCTCCCTCTCTCTCTCTCTCTCTCTCCCTCTCTCCCTCTCTACCTGCAGAGAAACATCAGGTGATATCAAGAAAAGATGGAAGGACAAAGCAGAGACAGTCATCATCGGGGGCGGGGCCGTTGGCGTAGGGACAGCGTACAACCTGGCCAAGGCTGGTATGAAGGATGTCGTGCTCCTAGAAAAGAGTGAGCTTACTGCTGGTTCAACATGGCATGCTGTAAGTAAAGATGGATGCCAACAGTAGATATTTGTATGACTAGCTTCAAATATTTATTCTACAAAGAAATGTTGCAGTTTAAATACACTTGCAGTGAGCTGTGAAATGTCTTGTTGAGTAGACCATGTAATTAATGCCACACATACATGTATGCACTCACATAGAATAGGGCCCGCATGGAACCCAAGTCCAACTTCAGTGCAGTGCACATCCTTTACACAGGGTTTTATGTTTTCCTTTATTTTCTTTTTACTCCTTAACCATTTACCTATAGAAAAGCAAGGTGAAGATTTCTTAAGGTTAATTCTATACATTCTACGTATACAGAAATGATTTTGTACAGGTGATTGGCACACTTTAAACTCTTGTCTAGTAATCTTGGTAGGTTTTGTGGTGTAGGATCACAAATGACCATTTACTATGAGAATAGTCCCTACTTTCTTTCAATCATATCATTTAAAGCCATTTGTTTTTCATCATATATTTAAATTTCTTTTTTTTAATAAATATTATTTCTTTGAAATAAATATTTCTTTTGTGATTCTATTATTGATTTATTCCCCCTTTTTTCAGGCTGGTTTGACGACGTATTTCCATCCTGGTATCAATGTGAAGAATGTCCATTACAGGAGTCTCAAGATGTTTGACCAGTTAGAAGAGGAGACTGGACAGGTCAGTCTAAGATTTCATCCAATTATTAATATAGACATGAATAAGAAATGTTAAGAAAACAAGATAAAGACAGACAGAGAGTAGGAAGAGAGAGAGAGAGAGAGAGAGAGTAAGTGATAGAGAGAAAGAAAGAGAAAAAGAAAGAGAAAGAGAAAGAGAGAAAGAAAGAGAAAGGAGAGAAAGAGGAAGAAGGAGAGAGAGAGAGAGAGAAGGAGAGAAAAGGGAAAGGAGGGGTGGGGGAACAAGAAAAAGAGAGGATACAAAAACTTTCATGTTTCATCACAAACCCATAATGATGCTGGATGGATAAAGATTGAGGGAAGGAGAAAAATGGTAAGGACTCGGGAATTTGAAGTTATAATATTGCATACAAATTAAAGCTATGTGTGCGGACGTGAAGTACACATTATCAGATTGATTTCCTATTGTGAGCTATTTAATCCAACATTTTAAACTTTATTTTCTCAATTCTTCTGGCAGGCTGTTGGATTCCACAAACCAGGAAGTATTAGGTTGCTGTCGACCCCAACAAGAATGGATGAGGCTAAATACCAAATGGCTAGACAAGGATGGAACAAAGCTTATCAGAAACTTCTTACTCCAGAAGAGGTTCAAGAGTTGTGCCCAATCATTAACTTGGATGGTGTAAGTACTTGACGATGTGTGTCTTCTCCAAGAAGGAAATGTTTATATAATTGGAATTTTCATTCAATTTTTGTGAATAATTACCGATGTACTCAATAATCATTGAAGGTGGTGTAAGTACTTGATAATGTGCATCGTCAGCATCAAATGAGTATTACCTTCATGCTAATTAATGTGTCCCATCTTTAACGTTGATGGAAATAAGAACTTGTGGTGATATTTGTCTCTGAAATAGAGTTTGTATTTCAGTGGGTTTCCCTTCATATACATGTATGTACTTGATCGTACGTCAGATATAATTAACAGTGAGAAATTCCAGTCTAGCTATTTTTAGCTCATCTGGCCCGAAGGGCCCGATGAGCTTATGCCATGGCGTGGCGTCCGTCCGTCGTACTGTCCGTCCGTCCACAGTTTTCAAAATGCTTCTTCTTCATTATTTTTCAACCGATTTCGATTCTGATTGCTTCATATGATAGGGCTAGGTATTTAAAACTTCTACACAGAATCGTGAAATTCATTATCTATGCTAATTTATGCAAATTTAATCGAAATAACAAAAATTGCTTCTTTTCCCTCATTTCTTGACCGATTTTGATTTGGTTTGCCTTATCTGGTAGAGCTAAATTTGGAATATTAAACTTCTACACAGAATTTTGAGATTTTGCTCTATTGATTAATTATGGTAATTTATGCAAATTAATTCCAAAAATAATTTAAAAATCACAAAAAATGCTTCTTCTCCTTCATATTTCGACCGATTTTGATTTGGTTTGCTTTATATTGTAGCGCTAACTTTGGTACATTAAACTTCTACACAGAATCGTGAAATTCATTATCTATGCTAATTTATGCAAATTTATTTGAAATCACAAAAAATGCTTCTACTCCTTCATTTGTCGACCGATTTCGGTTTGCTTTATCTGGTAGAACTTACTTTGGTACACTAAACTTCTTCACAGAATTTTGAAATTGTTCTCCATTAATTAATTATGGTAATTTATGCAAATTATTCCAAAAATAACAAAAATTGCTTCTTCTCCCTCATTTCTTGACCGATTTTGATTTGGTTTGCCTTATCTGGTAGAGCTAAATTTGGAATACTAAACTTCTACACAGAATATTGAGATTTTGCTCCATTGATTAATTATGGTAATTTATGCAAATTAATTCAAAAAATAATTTAAAAATCACAAAAAATGCTTCTTCTCCTTCATATTTCGACCGATTTTGATTTGGTTTGCTTTATATTGTAGAGCTAACTTTGGTAAACTAAACTTCTATATAGAATTTTGAAATTGTTCTCGATTAATTAATTATGGTAATTTATGCAAATTTATTCCAAAAATAACAAAAATTGCTTCTTCTCCCTCATTTCTTGACCGATTTTGATTTGGTTTGCCTTATCTGGTAGAGCTAAATTTGGAACACTAAACTTCTACACAGAATTTTGAGATTTTGCTCCATTGATTATTTATGATACTTTATGAAAATTTATACCAAAAATAAATAAAAAATCACAAAAAATGCTTCTTCTCCTTCATATTTCGACCTATTTTGGTTTAAATTTCTTTATATCATAGAGCTATTTTTGGTACACTATACCTCTACACAGAATTTTGAAATTTTTCTCCATTAATTAATTATGGTAATTTATGCAAATTTAATCCCAGAAAAAACAAAAATTGCTTCTTCTCCCTCATTTCTTGACCGATTTTGATTTGGTTTGCTTTATCTGGTAGAGCTAAATTTGCTTTACAAAAATTCTACACAGAATTTTGAGATTTTGCTCCGTTGATATAATTTGAGCACCGCTTGTCATAAAACTATATATTTTTCAACCAATTTTCATTCCATTTCCTTTAGTTTCTATTTAATCTTGTACAGCTAAATGAAATTATGTCCCTTCCAGGGCATCAAATTTTTATTTTTTGACCAGTTCAAAAGTGTACCACATAAAATTTACGCTATTTGTTGTTGCGAGATGCGGATGAGCGCTACGTCGCTACGTCATTGACGTTCTGGTTTACTTCGGTATTCATACTCTTTGAATGCATACATTGTATTTGATGTCCATTATAAATGATGGACTTGAATGTAACAACCATTGCAAAGAAGATCCTGCATTCATTCTGTCACTAAAGTCAATGTGACTGTCAACATCTGACATCTTCCTTCTCTCTGTTCAGGTTCTCGGTGGTATCCACACAACAGGGGACGGTCACATTGACCCGTACTCCTTGACCCAAGCCTTGGCTATAGGAGCTCGTAAGTACGGAGCTGACATCTACATGCCTGCACCTGTGATTGGTATGAAGCAACGTAATGATGGCACGTGGGATGTCGTTACCAACGAAGGAACGATCCATGCTCAGAGAGTCGTCAATGCCACAGGTATATATACCCTCAATACTGATATTGCTTCGTCTTAGATTTCATACCATCTTGTCATGAATGTACAATTACGGACAGTGGAACTTGTTCTTCAGTCATCGTTAATTTGAATATTGGAATGGTAATATTTTGTGTAGACTGTTACAATTTTGAAGATTACTTATTGTGTATGCTCCATAAATTTACTCAAATTTTTACAAGGACTTATTTTAGCAGTTCTCTACAGATTTGTTGCATTTCTAAATGAAAAGTAGGGTCAAGTACAGGAGTCTGGTGGTTTCTATATGAATCAAATTGGTAGCTTAGAAAAGCATTGTCGCACGAAAAGACATGTTGGGAAGTCGTAACGCCACAGGCATAATCGTTGAAAATCATACCTTTATCACACAGAGGTATATGTAGAACCATATTGTTAGGATCTTTTCTCTGCTCTTTTCCATGAAGCTTAATGTTAGCTAAACTATCATTCAGATATATGTCAAAAAAAGAACTTTTGATTAAAAAACATCACTATAGAGTGGTTAAGTGTGACGTCATCAAAATCTATTTTTAGAATTTCTCAATTTTTTCTTCATTTTCTGAAAGAGCCTAAAAAATGATGTCCAAATGTCGAAAACCAATTGAATATGTTAAGTATTGGCTGAGATATGACCATCTGAATAAATAGATTTCCTATAGGAACTCAGTGTTATTTTGCTCTGGTTCATAACATTACGAACCAGAGCAAAATATCACTGAGTTCATATATGATGTCACAGCTTCGGTACTCTATTGTGCATTTTCTGTCATGTACACATATTTGTGCCACTGCACTTAGCTAAGCTACCTTAATGATAGGCAATGAAAGGGGTTAAAGAAAGCCATCAATTAAATGAAAATCTCTCAAGTAAGAGTAAAACTATAAAGGCACTGGTATCATCTTATATTCTACCTCGTCTTTCACCTTTCTTTTTTAGGCTTCTGGGCCAAGGAGGTGTTCCAGATGATCGGTAGGGATATCCCCATGATCTCGGCTCACCATCAATACATGGTGACCTCTACCATCCCAGAGGTCAAAGCTCTCAAGACTGAGTTCCCAGTAATGAGAGACCTGGAGGGATCCTACTACCTCCGTATGGAGCGGGACGGGCTCCTGTGTGGACCCTACGAGAAACAGCACAAGATGAAGCTCCAAAACGAGTGGGCAGAAAATGGAGTGCCTCCAGGTAAATTGTTTGTTTATCGTTTCATGTGTGATTTTTTGATTTTATATGTGGGTGATTCCATAAATTAGGGCCCCACTTTGTGACATTTTTGGTGTCCTACCCACACGTATTTGTGACTCTGAGTAAAGACTTAAATAGTGGAGTATGATTGTTAAGTGATTCTAGGTATGAGGATGCAATATTATGCTTGGAAATCACTTTACAATCTCACTCCACTATTTAAGTCTTTACTCATGTACATGCATAGTTCTAGATGTTTGTGTTTGTAATAGTGTTGTGTATGTATTGTTTGTTTTATGTACTTATGGTATTTATATTTTGCTTTGTATTCTGCACAGGGTTGGCGCGATTTAATCACAATTTTTAAACTGGCTCAATTTATCAAAACAATTCAGTGATTTGAAATTGTCATACAATCAATTTCTGTCTAAGTTTGTGAATATCCAATTGAAATATGTGTTAATTCTACTTCATGCATTCCGATTGGATGCCCACAAACTTTAGAGTTAAGATGGTTTTGAGGTGCTCCATTATTATTACCCTGTCTTTAGCACAGCTGCAGTTACAGAGCTCAAGCATTTCAAGGAATCAATTCCTACCAGGTACCCCTTTACCTCACCTGGGTGGAGTGTGGCAATTTTAGATTAATGTCTTGCCAAAAGACATCAGTGCTGCGACAGGGATTCGAACCCCATACCTTGTGGTTCACAGTCCGGGGACTTGACCACTGGACCACAACACCTCTACCCCTTTTCTCAGGTTTTGGTGATATGAACAAATGTAAAACTAGTCTTTATACATTCATATACCATTTCCATATGGTAGATGTAACCATCTATTTTGTCTGTATCCTTACTTACAAACTTACTAACTATGGTGGATGGACCTGCATGTATAGAGCAACACTTGAATAATATGCTTTCAATTAGCAAGATTTCTTGCTAATTCACTTGGACATGTTTCCAATCTTGGTATTCTGTTCATTATAGATTCAACATTTGTTACAAGTGAAAATTGAAGTGTACGCCTACATGTAGCTATTTTATAGGCTACCTGTAACTACATGTGCATACAATCATCACAGTCATGATAAATTTATGTCAATATTTGCTGAGCCAAACAAATATAGAATTGACAACTTTTATTAAACTGATAGGCTCCGAAGTCTAAATGGTTACCATATAATGGCAATATGTCTTATAAATGCGCTATGACAAAGTGGTTTTTTTATGAGGTCATTCAAATTTGTTTTGAAATTTTTCCATATTTTGCAAATCATCAGTTTTTTCAAATGTACTTTGTCTCTGGAATCACATCTACATCAGTTGTCATTTCCATCTCCTTTCAAACATCTACAGTACCTTCATAAAAAACAGTCCAGATTCCCAGGCACCATGAATGGCATGAACAAGGGTTGGCATGATTCATATCACCATGATTTAAATTGCGATTGAAATCGCCTCAATTTTATATTTCCAAATCGGTCTTTTAAATCACTTTCACAGACTTGGGTGTACATGTAGTATCATGATAGACTTTCATAGACTTGTGTATAGCACCATGATATAAAATGATTTTATTTAACTTTTGCAAATATTGTATTTCAATGATCAGAATGCAAATGGCATATATTAGAAGTTGCTAGGTATGGCAACCATCATTGCTTGCCATACCTAGCAATACGGAATGTATGCCATTCACATTCTGACTAGTTAAATACAATTATTTGAGACAGGTAAATTAAATCTGTATCCAGGTACTACACAAAGATGTGTGCATTCAAAATTTGATTACATTAAGAAAATGGCCTACTGTTGGAAACATCTTTACAAAACCAAATATTTTGTTACCATACTTTATTAGAGAACATCCATTCATTTCAATGCACTACGATTAGTACAAAACAATTTATTATTTAACTAAATTTGTCCTGCATTTTACAAGCAAGTGTCCTTCATTGTACTAAAATACAGGTCAGTGGGTATCTCATAAGTAATTGTTTTGAAATTCCTGGCTTAGTACTCAAATAGGAGTAATTTCTAGATTTTTTAACTGGCTCACAATTTTTGATAAGGCTGTCAGCTAAAGTTTGTTGGGTTTCATTTTCCTTTAATCTTCTTTTTTTAAAGTTCCATATACCGTAGATTCCTTGATATTGATGTGGAACATATGCTGTAGTAAAGTATCTCTATTATATTGAAACTGCATGAGTATTACTAAAACATGAATTTAATCTTGAGTGCATACATTGTAAATTACATTAAATGTTTCAAATCAGCAAGAAAGCTCCAATATATGTGCAATTTGTTTTCCAAAATTGAGCGTTTCATTTTCCAATGGATGCCTTTATAATTCCTCAACTAAAGAATACTTATTTTGGGTTACAGAACATGACCTACATGTACATGTATAGCCATGCATATCATGTGCATATAGACCCACTTGTTTTTTAGAAATATTGAAAACGTCAGCAGTTTTGACATCATTGAACCTTGCACTTCTTTCACAGCTTATTGACGTTTACCATGTACAAACATTATGCACTATAAGTGACATCCAGGTCAGTTACTTATCATACCATATAAGCTCGGGTAGGTTTGTATTGCATTACGTCAATTTATACAGATGAGATACAGTTTGTCATGTCCTTGCACGGGCATTCTTAATCTTCTTTCTTTTACCTAATTGCAAACAGATAAAAACCCTACAGTGCATTGACTTTAATCTATCCATAGTTTAGTTTGCACTAGTTTGTATGCTTAATGAGCTCTGAAACCAGAATAATCCGGTTTCCTTGGTTTACCATTAAAACTCTGCACTGAGATGCTAAACTTGATAAGATTCCTATCCCGAAGTGTTTTCCAGTATTCTGTATTAACAAGACCCTTAAATGGTTACCATGGTAATTGGGATAGGATAGCTATATTGTCCTGAGCAAGGTCTTCTTAATGTAACTAACAATGCTTATGACATGTTGCTTTGTAAAATCAAGTAGTTCAGGTTCTGGTGTAGTAATCCCAGACACAGTAAAACACAGTTCTGTTAGCTACAATGTAGGAGCTGGAGAGTATTTATATGTATGACACAGCATGAGTAGAAATATCTAGTTTAATCTTGGTAAAGTTTGTGTAGTTTTTGAATGTTTTTTTTTGTAATGATAGGGGACTTGTTGATTCCTCATCAGGCATTTAAACGTATTAAGACCAAAATAGCCCTAATTGGGCTACATGACATGTAGAACAGTAAAGAGTATGAAAATACTGTAAGTTGGAGTTTCCTCTATTCAATTGAGATTAAATTTTGTTTCTTCACTATCCCTTTCATCAGAGTTACATTTCAATTTAGCTAAGGAAGTCCTTACAACATTTTAAAAATAAATGCCACCTTATCTCAAATGGATGGATGTTGTACATCTTCAAAGACCCCATTCTCACTCATTTCCTTGCCCGTTCTACGTTAGAGCCGTCTAACGGTGAGTGTGAAGGCAGCATGCATGCCAGGAAGCGTACATACCTTGATCCAGAAGACCACATTGTGATGTGGTCTTCTGGACCGGTTTGCTTCTTAGACTCCTTGCCTACTAACTAAATGCTAGACCGATCTATGCTAGACTAATCCATTGGACGGCTCCACAGGTGCGGTTCGTTTGATTTCTCACTCATCACAACTTTTACCTTGATGAGAGTCGTGATGCCATAGCAACAGGAGGTTCATGTTGATATCTAAATGGCACCAACCCTAATTGTTCATGCCATTCTTGGTGCCTGGGAATTTCGGACTGTTTTTATGAAGGGAGATGTTTACATGTATATTTTGTGCTCTATTGAAAGTGTTCCAAGTTACCTCTGTAGACCCAACATTTATGAAAGTCTAAAACTACATGAGGGTTTCTCCATCTTACATGAAAAGTGTACAACCTATAGTTGTACTGAGCGAGGCGGGAAGATTCGCCGGCAATTCGCTCAAAGATGTCGTTGACGAAGCTGTTCATGATGACCATGGCCCGACTGGAGATGCCGGTATCTGGATGAACCTGCTTGAGGACTTTGTAGATGTAGATTCCATAATTCTCCTTCCTTTTCCTGTTCCTCCCTTGCAGGGCTCCAGTTTCCAGTGGGACGTGTTCATCGGTTTCCGATAAACACGATAAACACATAAACACATGCCAATTTTTTGTTTTAGCTAACAGTATTTTATCTAATTTTTGTTTAATCAGTTTGTAGGATTACTGAGCTAGGTTATCATATGGGTTGACATTCCAAGTTAAGGCTTAACATCTTACGTAATGGGAAGAGAGATTACTTCCATGAAAGGATTACCGGTAATACAAATATGATGTCTGCAGTTAGTTCACTTTAACTTTAATAGACATGTTACAAATAAAGTACTGTTTGTTGACAGGATGGCAAGATGTTCAGGAAAGGAATTTCTTATCTAAGATGCTCAGACTAGCTGTTATATCAATAGGAAAATGTCATGAACTTTCTAGAGTGTTCATTATTGTTTAAATTGTACAGAAGGAACCTATTGAAAACATTTATATATTGCAATAGGTTTTAGACACAATATGGACTTGGTACAATAACAAGTAAAAGGGAGATTATTTTTGTACTATTCAATGAGGTTACGCAACAGGTACAGGTGTATATTATCATAAGATTAAGAATTGATTGTTTTATCTTATTGAACTGACAAGACAAGAACTGCAGTGAATAAAAACTATTATTCAAAATGTTGGTAGATTTGCTAAACAACAAATCGAATATCTGCAGTACCTTTTTTGAATAAAATAAACAACTTTTGCAACCAATGCAATGCCAAAGGGAATTCTTATCATCACATTTTAGAATTGATACTTGAATTTAATAAACCGGTTTACTAACATATTCAAGTTTATAGATTTTTCTTTCCTGGGAACCTAGTGGCAAGTTATTCCAATAACCTGTTATCAATGAATAAATTACAATAATTGGAATCCAGTGTTGAAATATCAGGCAAGCCCCAGTCAAGCTTTCAGCCTTTGTTGAAAAAGTATGCATATAATTTTAATATGTAAGTAAACCGGTCTATACATATGTACATGCAAGAAAGCGTACACCGTTCCCATTTCATTATTTTTGGTAGGAGCACATGTACGTGGCGGAGCATATAGATGTGTATTTCAAATGTTGAATTGCATCCTACTATAATCTGCTATGCATATTTTGTGCTATTTATAGTGAAACTTAAATAAATATTTGTGCAAACGGCTAATCTTGTTTGGTAAGTGGGAGCCATGCAGTTGTAATATAAACTGCTATTGTACATGTAGGTGATTTTGCTGTTGTAGGCGACTTCGCAGTAAGACAAATACTATATATATATAATTGTTTGCCAAGTTGATAAGAAGGTTCAGTGAATAATTGCTGACTTTACATTTTGTAATGTAGTCTTGTGATGAGTGGATATGACTGTAGGGGATAGTCTCTCAGGTGACTCGTCAGATCAAAGAGATTAAATTTCTTTTGAAAATTTGAACCCTGCTAATCTGCCATAAAAAGACAGAGGAAAAGAATATTTGGAAAGACAGAGTAGGCATGATTAAAAGTAGGAAATAATGATTTCTTTATGAGGAAAAAAATATATATACAACAAAAAAACATGGGGGTGGGATGGTTGATTATTAGCCAGGTCATTTAAGTTGATTTAAACTAAGTCGTGTGTAACAAGAAACTTCGATCTGCATGCAAGAAGTCATACAACACATGCCCCTGTGATAATTGCCCTGTACGGTCATCAATTTCCTACCCCAACTGGATTTCTAACTTCTTCAACCCTGGTCCGAATACCAGTACCCAATTATCCTGAATCCTAAACTAATCCCAAAACCCAATTGCAATCCTACTCATATACATCTCTGATGAAAGAAGGAAGCCAGGAGCCATTTTTCGCTCGAGCAAATGTTGGATCACCTCAAGAAACTGTTTTCTAATTGTAAGAGGTCGAGATAAACAAAAGCTTCATGTCACAGCATGATCAAGATTAAATGTTAGCAGTTCCCGAAAAGTTTGTTGCCACCAAAAGTTTGACCTTAAATATCAAAGTAATGCTAAAAGAAAAAGATATTCATTTAGAAACACGTAAACAAATTTTCACTCCTGGCTACTGACAATTTATGACATTGTTTAGTGTTTACATTGTTAAGTGTGTCAGATTTGAAATTTCGATTGTGATAATAAATTTTTGATCATTTGAAAGTGACCTTGCTCCCTTGTGCACAATAAGTTCTTGAAGTTTGTTCACATGTTTAGACCTACATAAATATAGTCACCGTGAGGGCATGTACATAGCAAGTATTAAACACAATTGTTTTTGTCATCCTACCAGGTCCCCATTTCTCTCTTGGGTATGGAGTGGCAAATGTAGATAAATGCCTTGCCAAGGGACGTTAGATGACATCATTATCATTATCATCATCAACGTCATCACCGTCATCACCATCATCACCATCATCGTCATCATCGTCATCATCATCGTCATGATTATCATCACCATTGATCATCATCATCATCATCATCATCATCATCATCATCACCACTATCATCTTAATCATCATTACTACTGATTATTATCATTGTTTTCATTCTTTCAGGTTTGGTAAGGAGTTGTTTGAGAGTGATTTTGATAGAACCATTATCATCGTCATCATCATCATCTTGATTACTATTGCTTATTATCAATGTTTTCATAATTCTTTCAGGTTTTGGTAAGGAGTTGTTTGAGAGTGACCTGGATAGAACCATCAATATCATTGTTTATTATCACGGTTTTGATTCTTTCAGGTTTTGGTAAGGAGTTGTTTGAGAGTGATCTGGATAGGATTCAGGATCATCTTGAGATCGCTATGGCTCGGTTCCCCTGCCTTGCTGAGGGTAACATCCAGAGTGTGGTGAGTGGACCTATAACATACACCCCGGATCTAATGCCCATGGTAGGTCCAGTACGAGGTCTGCATAACTACTGGTCCGCTTGTGGCTTCAGGTAAGATGTTGATAAGTACTTGATTGCAAATCCCCAAAATCAAGCGTAAGTCTTGCGATTAATTACAAATTTGAAATTGATCGCAACTCAACCTTCTTGCAACACCCTATCGCACTATAGTCTTCTAAATTTCCTAGGATTTTGTTGGGATTACAGTTTTAACAATTAAATTAAGTTAACTAGATCTAGCTTTTATTCCCCCCCCCCTCTCTCTCTCTCTCTCTCTCTCTCTTACTAGTGGGGCATTGCAAGAAAGTTGAGTTGCGATCAATTTTAAATTTGTAATTAATCGCAAGACTTATTACGCTTTGCAATTGATTACAACTTTTCTTGCAACGCCCCATTAGAGTCTTTGACCCCTACATGCATGTACATGCGAGATAGTCTGTTTGCACTTTTGGGTCTCATCAGAGTAGACAAACACCTGATAGTTTGACCTTTTTAGGGGTGGGGGACAGTCATAAAAAGGGGATTATTTTAGGATTCCTAGAAGCTAGGAACAGTGCAAGGTGTGGTTAAATATTGGTCTATTGTGGCGTCCTGTTAATGTTTGATTATGTCTTGGGACCATCAGTGTTGAACAATTAATGTAAGGTCTTTTCGGCCTATAGGTCTGCTGTGTTAAAGGAAACCTCACCCAAAGAAAAAAAAAAGTATTTGCAACTAGAGCTTGGTGCATGATACATGAACAATTTTCCTGGTAAAATTATCAAGAAAATAGCTGCACCGTGACCCATGTCATGTTATACAAATATTGCATGGCCCAGCGTGCGTTAGTGGTAAATGCAGTGCAAGTGAGGTTTCTTTAGAGAGGTGCCGCTTCTGTGCACGAGCCGCTTGCGGCGAGTTCACAGTGTGCACCATCTGAAGAGACAAGCAGTACATTATTCCAAGAATAACTTGTACATTTTTGTGAGGACTATTGTACATCGATCAGAAGGCGGGAATAAATCTTATATTTCAGCATACCTACACTTATTCTGTAGGGTGGGGTTCCCTTTAAGATGTTTTTTAACTATTGGTCTATAGATCATGTTAAGATGTTTCTCAAATATTGCTCTATTGTGTAATATGATGTTTGATTAGGTCCTGGGACCCTAGCTCAGTGTATAGATGGGAACAAAGAATCCAAGTCTCTTTTTATAACTATCGGTCTGTTGTTGCATCTGCTATAAAGATGTTTGATTAGGTCTTTGGACCTTTGAACTCTTTAAGTAGATAGGAACAATGCAATTCCCTTTTAGCCAATTTTCACATCCAATTGGCTGTATATTTGTGTGTCTGAATTGTTTGAGTAACAATGATTCAATGCAAGGCCATCAATTATTGATCTGCCCTCTTTTGTTGTCAATATTATATTTCTCTCATCCTTATAATGATTTATGAATGCTCAGTAGAACTTATTTAGGTTTGTCACATCAGACCTAATGTACTTAAATGCATCTAAGAGATCAGTCCGATGAGAGGCTCATGTAGGCCTAACCTTTTCAGTGCAAAAAAGTTTACAAACCACTATTACAAATATTATTTCAGTAGATGATTTTTATCCTCATTTCTTACTTCAAGCTGCACTGTAGATTAAGAATGGAAAGCTTTTTTTTGTTTTGAAACAGGAGCCAGTACATTTTATTTGAAAATTTGTCCATTACCCATATAACGATTAAAGAAAAAAGTGAATATCTATTAATTTCACTACTGGGTGGATAGATGTCTGAAAACCCAGTTGAACCTAGAAAGGTTGATATTGAACATGTTTCATTCCTTGAACCTGTCTTTAAAGATCATATCCGAGCTGAAAATGAAATGGATGAATTATATATCAACAGAAAGCTTGTAAGCCATAGATTACAATAATATCAGTTATATGCTATTTTTATTTTTGTCAGAGGAGTATCAGCTCTCTGTAAACTCAAAATCCAAAGCTTTGAAAATTTGTTAATTTGCTTTTGTGCAATAATGAAAGGGTAAATCCTACATTCATTCAGTTTTCCATTTATATCAAGTTATATTTTCATCGGATAGGGTCTTTAAGCTTGTCTCTTCTCACGTTCCTTTAATCTCCTAGCTATGGCATCATTCACTCCGCTGGCATCGGAGAGTATCTGAAGGATTGGATCATGGATGGGGAACCCCCCTATGACCTCATTGAGATGGACGCTGATCGCTATGGTGATTGGTGCGACTATGACTACCAAAAGGTTAAGATCAGCGAGTCGTACGGCTTCAATAATGCCATAGGCTGGCCTCATGAGGAGCGCTTTGGTGGTAGACCAACCAAGAGAGTGTCGGGTGCCTATCAGCAGATGAAGGATAGAGGTGCAGATTATGGCTTTCATTCAGGTAAGTCTCGGCCAGTCTTTAAATGCATCGTTTAACAGTGTAAAATCTGAGATGCACGGCCCTACGTGTTATCAGTGTCTGTGATATGGTGTAATATTGAAGCCCTAAAAAAGTGCGCTTCAAAATGATCAAGAAGTGCCTCAAAAAAGTAAAAATCTTTGAGTGACCGGTTTTACCATACTCGTTGTCCCAATAAACTGTAGTGTTATGAAAACCGTTAGGCAAACGCAAAATTTAGTTTCGATTTTCAATCATAAATATCTTGATAATCAGACAGGCGAGCAGCTTGTAAAAGTCATGGGGTTCCTGACTGACCTAAAGGTTTATAATTATGAATGCAGCATGAGCTAAATCCAGGATTTTGTTTCAGAATCTGAGACAACGATACTGGATCCCTTTAATAGTATGAATGTTAGATGATATAGTGTCCTACTTTGTTTTGTTGCAGGATGGGAGCAGCCTCATTGGTTTGCTCTAGAAGGAGATGAGGCTGGGTACAAGCCTAGTTTCCACAGGACCAACTGGCATGGACCCGTAGGGAGAGAATACGAGACAGTGATGAACAAAGCTGGTATCATTGATCTAACCCCATTCGCTAAGTTTGTTGTCAAGGGACCTGATGCAACTCAATTGATGGATGTCCTCCTGGCTAACAAGCTTCCCGCTGCTGTAAGTGGAAGAGACAGTAGGCCTGTCTTTATCCGCTCATGTTTGCCAAATAACCCGCTATTTTAACTATCCTGATCAGAAATTAACAAGTTAATTTGCGTCATCATCAGCCCACAGTTGGAATTAGCAGGATATTTGGTCGAGAAAATATCATGAGAAATCTTGGGTCTTGTTTCCACAATATTTGGGAAATAGCGGGCTAATTTGCGCCCGTCTAAGCTAGTTTGTGATGAGCGTATCGGTCTGGTGAAGTCGCAATTCCTAGTCTGAAAATAGCAGGTTATTTGGCAAATTTGAACTGATGATGACAGGCCTTCTTTAAAAGGAAATTTTCAGGGTTTTCACCAATTGCAAAAAAAGAGATTTCCCTTATCAGAGATATATAACTTGTTTGCCCTTTGTCTGCTTTTTATCAGACCTTCAGTGATCTGTTTTTCTAATTGTCCTTTTAGAAATAAAGAGATGTCACATTAGATTATCAGGGTTTCCCGAATGTTGTGGCATTTTATGATTTGCATTTTCATTAATTTCATACTTTCATTATGGCAGTTTGGGGGATTTAAAGATACATGTAATATGTGATCATGACGGGCTTTATGAACAGAAGTGTCTGAATAGTCGTATTCTGTAATTTATGTTCTAAAATGTTCACCCCTTCTTTTTATTTTATTTTTTTTCAGATTGGAGGATGTAGTGTAGGGCATATGCTGACACCCAAGGGCAAAGTGTATGCAGAGCTTACAATCACCAAGACAGCAGACAATGAGTACTTCTGTATAACAGGAGCAGGCTCTGAGATACACGATCTCAGGTAGGTCAAAGGTCATTAATAAGGTCACATAATTTCTTCTAGTTTTAAAGGAGTGCTCATGGTGTGTATTATATTCCATTCAACAAATTACAGGGTAGAAAAATGTTTAAGTCAGGATAAAGCTGGCTAATGTCAGAACAATTGTAACATACAGTGATAACCTATTACTGGACACTTAACGGTATTTCTTCGTACTACAGAAATGCTTTTCAGTGTATTTGTGGCTATCAGCAAGGCTCATCGAAACAATGGAACCATTCAAATTTTGCATAAACATAAAAACAATGCTTTTAAAACTGAACACTTATTTGTCAATTAACTTCAATCGAACACTCGGATAAAAGTTAACATTATTTTACATGAATTACAATTCCAAATGATCGACAATATTGTAATCATACAAACTTACAAGCTTGGAAATAAAAATATCTTCAAAAATGTTGGTTACGAATGTTGTTTGCACACTGGTTGTAGAGTAAATGGGATTTCTCTACATGAAGTTGAGCTGTTGAGCTGAAAATGGAATCGTAAAGTTTATGTGCTTATTTCTCTCTACATGTATATGAATATCGATGACCAATCAAATGAATTATGTATTAAAGTGGGTCTTATGGAGAACCTTTAATCTTGGCAATGGTACCATAAGAAGTCATATTTAATTCAAGTAATTGTTTGTCTGTACAGGTGGATTGAGCAGAAGGCTTTCGAGATGAAACTGGATGTGAAATGCTCTAACGTCACAGAGGAGCAGGGTGTCCTAGGTCTGGCTGGACCCCAATCCCGAGACATCATGGCCGCTCTGACAGACTCTGATGTTAGCGAAGAAGGTTTCAAGTTCATGAGAGCTAAGGATATAGTGCTAGGAGGTGTCAAGTGTTACGCCATTAGGATTACATACTCAGGTAAGTTCTAACTGATAGGTAGTAAACCAATTTGCTGTCATATTAATTTATGTTTCGTCACTGATTTGGACAGATTATGTTGCATGTATGTAAAGCACTGTTGTCATTTAAAAATTTCTTTCAGCAGTTTGTGAATTATCATTGCCTTGTCTGAAAGTACAAAGGCCTTGAGTGTCGCTTATTGTATAATTTTCAGCTAATCTATCTGCAAATTTATTTGTTACCCCCCCCCCCACCCCTAATCATAAAAAGAATAAAAATGAACGGATAAAATAATATGTATAATGATGAGAAGAAAAGAAATAACAAATATGGTCTAGTTACACCCCTGCAAATTCATATGTGAATACAGTATTCATTTTGTCAATTTCTAACCAAGTATTTGTTTAGGGATTATAATGATGCTTGAATTAATTGTACAAAGTAGGATTGTATTTTTTCCCTAAAAACAGCTATGATTCTTTGACTCTTAACAGGTGAGCTTGGCTGGGAGTTGTATCATGCCCGATCCGATTCAGCTAAACTATATGAAGCGTTGCTGAAGGCTGGTGAGCCGCATGGTGTATGTGACTTTGGTCTCTATACGATGAATGTACTCAGAATTGAAAAGGGATTCCGTGGATGGGGATCAGAGGTGAGAAATGTCTTTACGCATCACGCATACCTTGCACATGCATGCTGTACCAACTGATCTGTTACACACACATGTTCCCCTTATTTACTATTTAGGACGGTTTCCCTGATAGGAATGGTACTATAATCCTTCAAGCCTTTCTGTAGGCTGCTTTGGCTGCTAGGTCATCTGGTTTGGATAGAAGTCTTTCAAAATAGGGAGTGTTTCTCTTGGAGAAAATTTTGAATCTTCACATGATTGTAACCAAACCAGTCTCTGTTTTTCATGCTGCCATAGTCAAAGATATAATTTGGTTTTAATCAACAATTGCCGACGTCCAATATTTACGGACATGCGAGGATTTTCTATTCGCCAATTTCATGATCGATGGCTTGTAAACAACGAAAGTTTGCCTGAAGATTCATTTTTTATTGCTTGTGTGCTTGACAAACCCTGACAATGAAATGCTTTTATATTTCTCAACAGATGTTAACAGACAACAATCCTCTAGAGGCTGGTCTATCTCCATTCATCAAACTCAAGAAGCCAGCTGCATTCATTGGTAAGGATGCGGTGCAGAAGATCAAGGATGATGGTTTGAAGAGGAAGGTCACTCTCCTCAAGGTCGATGCTGAAGATGTGGATCCAGAGGGGAATGAAACAATCTGGGTAGATGGCAAGGTATGCAAAACTTTCTCTCATATTAAACATTTTCTGTTTTCCTATCTTTATGGGAGCTCTTTATCCTCTTTTTTTTTTTTATAAATTAGTTGTATTATTCATCAATATTGCCCGTTCAAAGAAAATCACAAATATGACAAATAACGTATCACTGGAAATTGGTAAGCTGACAGATGGCCATCGTACAAGTTTTAGGTCAACTACATATCGGGTGATTTATACAAATACAAATAAAACCACCTCTATAGCATCTAGGATATACAAGAGATTTGCCAGAAAATAATGTTGTTTTATTGACGCAATATGAACCAATCCTGCCTATAAGCAGACGACATCCCATAAAGAATGAACATAATTGCAATGCTTTTATTTCTCAAATTATAATGAGTTTAGTGTGTATAAATTTGATGGCATTTTACACCATTCGTAAAACGGATATGAAGCCGATTCTGATAACTAAATTCTTTTGTTTGTAAATACACAGGATAGGGGTTAACAATCAAAGAAAACACACTTTCAAATTGAAAAATCCCCAGAATGATCAGGTAGTATGGACGGCATTTTTTCTCTCTTGAAACGCCGAACATACTGCGGTGTATGCAGCTGAAAATACAATGGGGTCTTATTTTGTTTACAAGCTACGGATGCATATTTTGATTGTGAAATAATGACTTTGAAACTGTCAACATGTTGCCAAGTTAAGGATTGTAAATTTTATTTTCTTTTCTTTAATTACTTGCATCAAACGTAGTATAGTTAAGAAACAAAAGTGTGTGTGCACAATTTTTGTCCTTTCTACTCTTGCATGTGACGGATTTGTAAGGCTCTGAATCAAAAGGTATTGAGCAAATCCACAAAATGTGGATTGATTGTCGCAAAAGGGTTATTATGCACAACTCTGCATCTACATATAGCTTTTTCTAACATTTCTCTCTGTATTTCAATCTTTGTAGGTCTCTTTTTTTGTGTAGACATAATATTACCCTCTCCTTTTGATCCAATCTTGGGTAAAAGAAATATGTTTCCCTATTTCTCTTTTTTATAACTCTTTTTTCCCCCTTCTATTTGTCACTCTTTATATTTCATTAATTTCTATGGGTGGTATTCTCATAAGTTAAGCCGGGACTAAGTCCAGACTAAACAAGAATTTTAGTTCACACTTCTATGGAATGCTAGGTTTCATCTTCCTCCTTCAATATTCATGACAAAGATAATCTACCAAAGACTTTGTTGAAATTCAGTTCATACTCATATTATCTTTTTCTTCCCATTTCATTGCAAAATTAATTTTTTGGACACTTTTCATTGAAGGTTTAAAATAATCTGTACAGGATAAATGAGTTGGCAACTGGCACTCCATAAAAGTGTGGACTAACTTAGTACGCGCTAACTTAGTACGCGCTACCGGAATACCACCCAATATATCTATATATCTTTCTACATATTTACATAGATATCTATCTCATCCTCCTTATGAATTTCTTTTGCTTTCTCTTTCAGATCCCATTTGAAAACTATTTTGTCCACCTTCCCTGACTGATAGAAATAGTGTTAATTATGGAATCCCTCCAATATAATCTTTGATATGCTTGTTCCCCTCTCCTTTCTTTCCTAGGTTGTTGGTAACACTACCTCAGGATGTTTCAGCTATCACCTGAATCAACCCATCGCATACGCATACCTCCCCATGGACCTCCAGGAGATTGGGTCAAAGGTTGAAGTTGAGCTGCTTGGCAACAAATGGCCTGCAACGGTCATCCAAGAGCCTTTAGTCTTGACCGAGCCTGCCAGAAGGAAACAAGAGAAGAAGCAACGCGCAAGTTGATTCTGCTGAAATAGTAGCAATCAAAAATAGGACTATTTCTATCAATGATAAGTGAAGTGTGTTGATTTTTTTTTTAATTTCGATCCAACCAGGCCTGCCTTACTTATAATGTAGAGGAAGCAGCAAATGAACAATTATTATTAATTACAATGTCGAGATGATATGCAGTATTACTTGAAGTTCTTTTCTGAAAATATTCATTTCTGTGTTGAACAAAAAAAAAACACACCAACCATAAGAATTTTATTTTTGCAAGAATGTGATATGTGAGCAGTTTACTTGCTCACTTTATATTTTACATCAGTTTTATATTCTTGTCATAGCACTTCTTGTATGTTCTTTGGATAGAATTATTTTTTCTCAAAATAGAGAAGCCATGTTATAGTGGACCAATATGTGTCATTCTATGTTCAGAATGTGAGCATCAAATATTACTTCTGCGAGGAGTTATTGCAAGTTCAAATACACAATAAACTTAAAAGTCATCGGTGAATAGACTATCTGATGCATCTGTACATGCTCTCATTAGAATAGGGCACTCACAGAATCGTATTAGACTATGCAAATCTAAATATATGGAAATATATTATTTCCAAAGTTTATTTTCCAAGTTCTTTTGCATTTCTTTCATTGTGTCCATGGCTCAGCTCCACAGTAGAATATTACTTTGATAAATCATTACATTCCATCCAGATCTTTACACTCGCAAAGCTCTAGATTTCTTGTTCTTCCACTGCTCAATACTAACTAGCTGTGGAATGCTCATCTTTGAGAGATTCGTAGTAGCAGATCAGCTGAAGTGTGTAAAAGAGTCTTGAAACATATCTGTTTGATTTGGCATGTAATCAATTGTTCTGTCATTTTTGTATGTTCTTTCTTATATTCTTTTTATAATGCAAATGCTTTTATGTGATCTCTCTCATTTTTTTTTTCTTTCTTGTTTCAAAAGGGCGCCTTGAGCATTTGATTTCAAGTGGATTCGGCGCCATATAAATTTCATATATATTATTATTATTATTGTTATTTGAGAATGAGATAATTAAGCATACTTTTGTAATGCTGCAGTTTGTACTACAGTTACCTCATAATACTCTTCAAGTCAAAGACAATCATGTGTAGTATTGATTCTATGTGCACTGCACCACTGTATAGTTTACAAAAGAGAAACTTAATCAGTATTTACCTTTCTTTTTTTCATGTCGTTTGACTGCCAAGATCTATTGATATCTGTGGGAAAAAATGTAATTTGTATATTTAAGATAATTCATAAGTATAAGTTTCCTTCATATCCTATTACTATCCAATTTCCTTGTAGCTGATTTCTTGAATTCCATTCCCCTTTATTGTATACAATCATTTTTTGTTTTCTTCCTTCCCCGTATCAAGTGCGTATTATGTTTCTTAAAGTTACAAGCTTCCTTCTTGTAATATTTTTCTTTGTTCTTTGAAAATCCTAACGATTTGTTATATGTTTCTCTTTGTAGTTGTATTTTGGAGCACGATTGGTAGATTTGGGTAAATATGCTTGGTTAACAATGCTGATCCATTCTATATTTAAGCCAAATCTTTTATTGTCCAAAATGTCATGAAAAACTCAACATCACTGCCTATACTAGTGTAATGATAATATAATAAAATACTCATAGATCTTATTTTTTTTGTCATTTTTTTAAACTGGAATTTTAATACATTTGTTTAAATTCTGATGTATACAACTCACAATATTAATGTTTACCTCTTAAATCTCATTGGACAATTATCAATCTCAAGGAATGCTTCTGCAATAGAGTACCGGTACCATCATTTCTTGTTCTTAACTTTTTAGTTCCCCTTCTCTTTTTTGATAGGAGGTCTTACACATGTACTTGTATGTATCTCTGGTTACCCTTTGAACGTATCTTTGAACAACCAAGTTTTTTTAACCGTTGTTTTGTCTTTAGTATACTAATATCACCAGTCATTTTACCTTGGGTATTAAGGCTGGTTTTAATAGTTTGGTCTAAATACATGTGGAACACATTTTTAAGTGCTTTTTAATAATGGCAAGTAAAAAGTGATGTGAAGTACCTAATGTATTGGATCTTAAAAGAATGTTCCATGGAATTAACTATCACAATTTCGGCTTCCCGGTATGTATTTTAGGTAGAAAGACCAGATCTGCTAGTTTGTATAAAAGATTGATAAAAAGGTATCTGTGGTATTGTAAGGAATAATCTAGTTCTTCCATAACATCCCCTGCAGTAGTACTCTGGGGAGTGGTGAATTACATGTATGTACTACTATGAATGGTTTTTAATTGATAGGAAAAAAAATCATTTTATGTGATTATAACATTGAAAAATCAGGAGAATATTAAACCACCTTCAGCCAAATAAAAGAATGCAATTTTTGAACATTTTATCAATGAAAATCGTGTCCTAATTCATATCTACCTATCTACCTGCATTAATGTATGCCAGTAGATGACAAACATTTGATTTTTTATCAATAAAGAAATCAATAAAATAACATTTATGTTTGTACAACTCGAGTTCATTACTGGTATGGGTATTTGTATTCTGTACAACATGCATTGAAGAGTTATTGAAGGAACAGATTGGCTTCTTAAACTACACTTTCAACAAGAAATTATACACAAACAAGTGAAAGGTATATGTTGTTTTAATAGCATATGTCTTTATTCATTCATACTTCGACCGATACCATTGCACTTAATTCATACAAGAATAACATTGGTATATTGGGAGAACAGGGTCAGTCACTCGTACTTCCTTGGTCTCCAAGTCTGAAAAGATTCTTTCTTTTTGGATACAGCTATTTCCTTACTTTCATTTCTTTTTTTCTCACAGCTTACTGATTGTAACATCTGGAAATAATTCATTTGAGACAGGAAGGAACCATTCTTACAGGTAGTTCTGCTTCTTAACAATTTTTAAAGGGAAATCCAACATTGATAACTCACTAATCTAGATGAAAGCAGAGAATTCAGAGAACTAGACTGGTGAAAGGTTTGAATGAAACTATTGTTTGGGGTCTGAATGAAATACTGACTAAACTCTTTGGCTTTTATAGAATATGTTGTGTGCCACCAGCCCAGGAATGAACATTGTCTCTCTTACGGGACTTCTCCGTGGAAAAATGTGAAATCAAAGGAAGATCAGTGTTCAATTTGAGATATACGTACTGTACTAAACTCATAGGCGAGTATTTCTGGTATGCATCAAACTGTTTCTCAGTGGAAAATAAATTTCGAGCTATCATGTTTCACCGACATCATTTCAACATGGGCATCACAACGTGAACAATAAAGAACCGAAATACATGTAGTAAAACAATACTATGGACAAAATAATTTTGAATTGCTTCTTCTAAACTTCTATGTACAGGGTACTTCCAAGTTCCAAAGTGATGGCTAGAGCCTTGGGGTCCTAAACAATCTTTACATTCTGTTTCCTTTACATATATGCAGAACATCATTCCTTCTTTTGATATCCTTTCCCTTAAAGCTCTTTCAAAGTTTCTATATTAAACTAAATTTAACATACATTTAATATACCTCACTGTTTGCTATGCTAATCTCTATCACTACACATCGAAAACAAATTAAAGATTATTACTAAGATTTTGTTTTTATACATGATAGGAAGATCCACATTTTCTACACTGTATAGCATTTATTAAGTAGAAGAATTTTAACCAGTGCCTCTTCAGTAGAAGGCACAGTATATACTGAGCTACATGTATCATACATACAGATAGTAATATAGCTACACTTAATAAATCAGCATGCATAACTTACTAGGCTACTTGCATTATTATTATTGTTAGCACCAAATTTTTAAAATTCTTTCCTCTGAAGAGAATTTATAATCTACAATGATCTCATTGTGTCCACCATGACCGATTACATTATCCATAAGATGGGAGATGGGAAATGCAGGCAAATTTGAGTTGTTGCTTAAAATACATGTATATCACAAGTTTTAACAATTTGGTATTTTCTATATTGCATGTTACATTGTTTATTCAAAAGCAATCCATAATGAGCACAGCGACACATGTAGAAAAATCACTGAAAGTTTCATACTGTAAGATTTCTTGCAAAATCCAGTTTCCAGTTTTGGTTTCTGTCAAGAACACAATCATTATCTCTCTAATACATGGGCTTTAAATTACCCGCAACAACTACTTTTTACTCATGATCTGTATTTTTGTTTATGTTATTTAAAAGCTAATTAGCTCATTTACAAATGTACATATTTCTAAGCTCATAGATAGCAAAAAATACCACTGGCCTTGCATAGAAAAAAAACAATTCAGATTTAAGTAGGTTTTAGAATAACATAGTTACATAAATATCATATGTACATGTACGTGTATAAAAACATCTACATATATACCAACATGCAAATACATGGATACACTAGAATTTTCAATGATACATCATACAATCTACAATTCTATATTTTTACCATTACATGTATATTAAATTCATATGTATATACAAAGCACATTATTAATATCTTGGTGGCCCTCATCTTCCACATAGAATTTAAGCATGCAACTCTGACAAATTAGTGCAAGTCCTAAATACATGATCCTAAAAAATCAAGGGAAGTTGAAACATGAATGGAAGAGGCCCCTCCTGACTAGAGAGACACATTGTGTGCACCATCTCCACTACCTGTAGGGAGTAGGAGTGCAATAGACTTTATTGGACTTCTTGTTTAGCACACAACTAATCTGCCACACATTCTGTAAGTACATCATGTAATCTCTAGTAAATGTGCCCCATACTCCAGCGCGAAATTCTATTCCAGCTGACCAAGACTTAAGTAATCGACCGCAGGTAACCATCTCTATATTTCTATGTACTGTGTATGTGGACAGACAAGCCACATACATAAAACTGAAAGGATAAAAAATAGCAAAACAAAGTTGCACATGCATTCTCAGGACAACTACATGTACATATAAATGTGCTTTTACTCGTACATTTTAGTTAAATTGTAACTCATAAACCTTTACTATCCAATTAGGTTGTTTAAAAAACTACATCATGCTGAACATACCCTTTTCGCTTGCTTCATCATAATATAAAAAGAACAGAAAAAGGAAATCAAAGGTACTTTTGGTCCACCACAATTTTGACAATATCAAGTGATTCATTTCTGACTCCATTGGACCTCTCTGGTGCAATAACTACATCTAACAAAATGATGACAACAATAGAAAATGTACTGAACAAAAGAATATTTGAGCTAAACACACTGTAAATAAAAACAAAATTGCTAGTACAGCATAATGCTGAATACGCATAAACATCCTTGTATGTTGTACGTGCTGAATGTCATGTTGGTGTTAATGTTTTACAGTAGATACACATAACATGCATGGCACTACTAGTCAAATAAGAACATTTTTTTTGGGGGGGGAGGGGGAACAAAAATCAAAAAATAAACCTGGTCCAGAAATTCTATACATTTTGGGCACAAGTTTGTTATGAATATTAATTATATGAATAAACAGTAAATTTTAGATGAAATTTCTATAACTGTGGACATTAATTCATATACAGTAAAAATGAAAAATGATAACGAGGTATTAAAGACACTGTACTGGGACGTATTTCCACCTAAACACCAATACTTAAACCACAGTGAATCACAGTGTACATGATTTGAAGGACAATACATAATACATTCAATAATTGTGCAATGGCAGTGCAAGGTATCATACAATGTACAAGGTGTCCCAACAAAAAAATAAGTGATCAGGGGAGTGTTTCACAAAGACTAAGATCGACATTAAGCTGGACTAAACTATGGCAGGCCATTAATGCCACTGGTTGCTCTTACAATTGTTCTTTCAATTATGATCTTTAGATAATATTTTTTCCTTCAATAATGAATTATCAACAAATGTAAATTCTGTAGATTTGTGACCATGATTTGTAACGTCCCTTGAGAGACCAATGCCAGTAAATGGTGAGAGTAAACAGTGGCATTAATGGCCTGTCATAGTTAAGTCCAACTTTAAGTTGACCTTAGTCTTTGTGAACCACTTCCTGGGGGCTCAAAGCAACAAATAAGGTGAAAATAAGGTGACAATGAAGCGTGAATAGGGGAATAAGGTCATGTCTTTGGATTCCTGTTTAATGAGTGCTCTTGATATATGTAGTGCAATGTGATGTTCAAGTGGGTTCTATTGAAGTAGACTATAAGTGTTGGAACAAGGGCAGTTTATACACTTGGAAGCCTGGAATCTCTAGATTTAGAAAAACACGCACACACATGTGCAGAAAAATGAATTCTGGCAAATTCTTGAGCCAAATGGATCTCTTTCATGGTTTTACATTTACATTATTCTTGGCAAGATTGAAACAAGTTGTTAGGTTTATATTGCAAAAATTACAATGGATGTTATAATGTGGGATAAAATTAAGGAAATATATGTAGGTAATACTGTCAATGAAATATCAGTCTCTTAAAGACTACACAATATTGGCAAGAAAACAAATATATGTGACAATGAAAATAATCTAAATTTACTAATGATCACAATGACCAGATTGAGCATTTGACAATCTCTACAAGAGCGCCTAACCAGAAGCCAGGAGCATGTGGGCTTCAAGACAAAAAGAACTGGTTTCCAGAGTCTAAATCTTGGACTACATCATAAGGAATTATACAATACAAATGAAAACATAACCATGATACAAATTCGGCCTTCCATAACATTGTAAAAATGAAGACGTGTTCATGGATTTGACTCATGAAATGGATGGACATATATATAAACAACATTTCCTTTATAACTGTATAGAAACAAAAACAACCAATAAATAAATGTATAAGTCCTGTACAGATTAACAAGTCAACCTTCTATCTGGTACTGACTTGTATTTAACTCATAGAAGTCAATGATGTTGCAGGAGATGGATTTCTGTATTTATTGCAAGTTCATTGAAACATCATTTGATGTCCAATTCCATGCTTTTTATCCTTGGGTAGTCTGATCGATGGTCTAAGGAAAGCAGCCACAATTAGCACAGTCAAAGACATCAACAGAGCATTTCTGGAAAATGAGAATTAGAAGACAAGATATCAATGAATGGTTACATTCAAGATTCTTTGCCAGAACATATCAAACTTGTTGCTTAGGGTGGGGGACTCTAGCATGAGAGATATCAAGGGTCACTCTTCCTCCTGACAAGGGTAATAGCAGTCTGTGGTATTAAGTATGCAAATGTTTAATTTCTAGCTTTAGAAAAAAGGCGTCCTCCCAAACCATTAAAGGTCGGGTGACATCCAAATATATTTTGATTCCTGTTGATGTGCAGAGCTGCATACAACTCATATTTTGTGTTTCAAACATCTCAATATATTTCATAGATTTTTAAACATTAAAAATATAATTTTCTCAGACCTGCTAAGCTCCACCCTAAACTAATGCTCTGGATTTCATTCATCTTGTGCATACATTTTGTGAAAATATGTAGGACAAGCCATAATGTTTGCCCTACCTAGCAAAAATTCATGTATACAACTTGCATTCTGACTATTGAAATACAATTATTTGTACAGGTGAATGAAATAATTTGTAACATGGCACTTAACAAAGATTTGTGCATTAAATTTGAATTACATTACGAAAATGGTCGATTGAGATATTGAGAGGGAGAGATTGAGAGAGAGAGAGAGAGAGAGAGAGAGAGAGAGAAAGAAAGAAAGAAAGAAAGAAAGAGAGTAAGAGAGATGAACATACCTTGCTATCTTGATTCTCCGCGTGTAGTTTCTGATGAAGAGTGTATCTCCTCTCCAAGGCGGCAGTAGTGATACAATCTGGTCATGAATGAAAAATGAAAGTAATCAATAAGGCAGTTTGCAATCATTATCATGAACTTCTTAATGGACAAACTGAAATGCAAGGAGAGAAGTACGACCCACTCCCATTTGTCAAACACATCTGTCATAATGTAACATTTTTTATTTCTGAGATTTTTTTTATATGAACTACTGTAATGCCAATTTTAAACTAACTTGTATTTTTTTCTCAATAAAAGCATGGAAGTAGATGCTGGTTGAGAGCTGAAATCAAGGTTGTTCTAACAGTACATCAACTAGAGGTTGAAACCAGATTTTCCTTGTTTTACCTCCAAAACTATTCTAACTCAGTTGTTGAATATTATCATACCATTACATGGGTACTGCTGTGTGATATTAAGTGTCTATTATTTGTATGCTACCAGTTCTGCCAGTAAAGAGGAGCACAACCATATTTGCTTTCTCTGTGGTCATTGCAACAGTGTGAAATGTTTGTTGAAACAATCTTGTAAGAGCTTCTACAACATCTATGTGTGAGGTAGTCAAACCTGTTTATAGCGACCGCCCAAGGGAAACACAAAAAGAGATCTTTGTAGACAAGTTACTTTAGTACATGTTTCAATGCCGAGAAACCATTTTCAAGGGAAACAAAAAATATGTTCTTTGTAGACAGGTGGTCAAAAGCAGGTTTGACTGTATATGTATCTGTGATTATAAAGCAGTGGCTTTGAGAAAAAGAAACTTTCATTTCATTTCATTTCATTTATTTAACCAGTATAAAAACAATTTACAATGAAAATACAATATACAATATACAATATAATGGTTAGGACCCCTAAGAAGCAGAAATCTGCTTGTAATCGGGGCCCTGCAAACAAACAATAACAAGACGCGATCATGAGTTCAAAATTGAGTTTGAGAATTATCGTCAATGACAAAAGAATCCTCTATTACATTTGAACCATTCTGATATTGTCTAGTGCCTGTAGAAAAGAAGACCTCCCCCCCCCCTCCCCCTCCAGCCCCATACAAAATTATAGAAATGGTTCTTGGAATATGTAGCTCCTAAATTACAGGAGCAATTCTAAAAGAATTAAAGCTATTGGTCAACTAAATATATAGTTTCTCATATAACAAATAGTTTACAGTTTAAACAGTTCCAAGAAGTGACCTATCAATTCAATAGAGTATCGAAGCTGTGACATCACAATAAACTATTTTTGGAATTTCTCAATTTTTTCTTCATTTTCTGAAAGAGCATAAAAATAATGTCCAAATGTTGAAAACCAATCGAATATGTTAAGTATTGGCTGAGATATGACCATCTGAATAAATAGATTTCCTATAGGAACTTAGTGTTATATGGCTCTGGCTCGTAATGTTATGAACCAGAGTAATATAACACTGAGTCATATCTCAGCCAATACTTAACATATTCAATTGGTTTTCAACATTTGGACATTATTTTTTATGTTCTTTCTGAAGATGGAAAAAGACTTGAGAAATTCCAAAAATAGATTTTTGATGACATCACACTTCACCGCTCTATAGGACTTACTTGTAATGTTAATAGTGGTTGACTTTGTGGTCTTATAAGGCACGCCTCCAATCTTCATCTGAGCGGTGCATTCCATGGATGTACTATTCCTAGCGAGAGCCGACTGGACAGTCAGGACACTAAGCTGGTCCGATGGGTCATCAAACAGCTGATCCATACTGATAAGATGACCGAGGTCATTGATGGGTTGACCGCCATCCTTGGTCCATTCCAGGGTGATAGCAGGGCAGAAGGGGTCAGTCTGGGCTTGGCAATAGAGCTGAATCTTTTCATTCTCACAAACCGTCACTGACTGACTGGGCTGAAGGCTCACATAAACTGTCAATGAAATCCACACATAGGGTATTCACTGAGTTGAAAATGATTTTTTTTTTTTTTTTTGGGGGGGGGGGGTGGGGAGGGGGGGGGTGGTGGGGTTCCTAAATTTAAATGCAATATGAGAACTTGTTACCAAAACTACATAATTTTATAATCTCCTCAAAAAAAACTCCAGAGATCCGTCTCACAAAGCCCTTTTTCAATGACAAATGACAAAAATCAGTGACAAATCTACTGTTCACAAGCAAGAATTTTACTAGGTTATTTACAAAAACTGTCATTTGTCACTGATGACCAGTTTTGTGAAATGGGGCCCAGAAGTAACTTTTTGGTCAGCGCAAGGTCTTCTTCAACAGAACGGCGCAGCACACAGCTTGTATTTCTTTCCTTGAAGGACTATATCACATTTTTAAAAGGGATTGGGCATCTTTGCATCAGATTCTGAACAAAATCCTGGTTTTAGCTCATGCTGCAATGATAATTATAAACCTTTAGGTCAGTCAGGAACCCCATGACTTTTACAAGCCGATCACCTGTCTGATTATCAAGATATAGTTGGTAATCAAAATTTCAACACTACCGACTATCGGGGGAAAATGAGTATGGTAAAACTGGTCACTCAAAGATTTTTTACTTTTTTGAGGCCCTTCAAGATCATTTTGAAGCGCAATTTTCTTAGGGCTTCAATATTACACCATATCACAGACACTGATAACATAAAGGGCCGTGTATCTCAGATTTAACATTGTTAAATGATCCCTTTAAACACAAAGTAACAAGCAGAGCCTTCTTCATATTTGTTTATCTATTATCCCCCGCAGATGAATATCTTTTGAATTGGGGAAGGTTCCTCATATTGAAATAAATAAATTTCATTACAAATACATCATATAATCACTCATCGTATTGTATTTCAATAAAGGTCAAACATCAAATGCAATAAGCCAGTTCATAGTTGCAGTCTGAGCATGAGCAGATAAAGGTCATTGCAGATTAAATTGTGAAATACACAGAGACAAAATACTGGATACGTGCTCATGAAAGATATGTAATCATTATTCATTTATGCACAAGCAGTGCACTCCATGATACATAGGTGGAAGTATTATTTGAAAAGGGGAAACAAAGGCTATTTATGTAGCACCTCCATCGCTGTAGGAGTGATTATTTCTAAATGTACTTAGTGGGACCTCTTCATGTTTTGAAGATCTGTGGATTTTCAGGGTCATTTGGGACATGTGCTAACAGTGAACTGGTCTATTAGAAGAGCCATATTATTTCTTTAATAGTAAGACAACATCAACCAACATAAACCAGTTTCCTATTCCTTGAAGAAGTAAAAAAAATCAATGTCAAGGCACTTTTTTCATGAAGCAAGGTACATGTATATGGCACTCACCATCTGATGGGTTCTCAGCACATGTTGATTGGCTGGAAAATAAAAAACAGAGCAAAGAAATCAAACATCATAATTATCTGACCTCATTTATACTACATCCACTTAAATATTTATCCTGTGTCTGGTGTAATGGAGAATAACAAATTTGTTTAATATCATGAGGATGAATGATAAATTTGTAATTTATCTGGTATCTATAGAACATTTGTTATGAAGTGGCAGTCACTTCACTTTTTATTCATATGAAGAATAAAAATGAGAGAATCACCTTGTAACCAAGTGAGTAAAAAATATATATGTAACTTTAAGATTCTTTTCTTTGTTATTTTGACTTTATCCAATAAAGTAGCCTGTGGAGGGCTAAATATTATTCAATTTTTTCCCAGAATTCCTGAATGTTAACTAGCTAAATATGAAATGAAAAATAGACATTACGAGAGCCACATAAAAGAAATGCCAGGGCTCTGTAAATAGAGCAGTGGATATAAAGATTGCACTGATTTTACCATTACTATGGTCTAGTGGATATGTTACCCGACTTTCACTGTGGTCTAGTAGATAAGTCACCCGACTGCAGATCACAAGGTACGGGGTTCAAGTCCCGCCACAGAACTCATGTCCTTTGGCAAGACATTGATCTACATTTGCCACTCTCTACCCAGGTGTTAATTGGGTACCTGGTAAGATGCGAAAGTTAATGTGGTTAGATGAGCAAGTGTGCGTTTGTAAAAATGATGCCTGGCTGGAATGCTCCCCAGGGAGTGGAGAATGTGCATACATTGTGTGCGGGTAAACCTGAATCCGATCACCGCGTTAATAATATCTCTGTAAAGCGCTAATAGACACATCATTGATGTATTAGGCGCTATATAAAAGCCAATTATTATTATTATAACATGCACATACCCATTGGCTCTACAGCAACCGCCTTCCCAGTGGCAATAGCCCTTCAAAAGTTCTGAACATCTCCTTTCACAGTTTGTAGCACAGTTATGTAGAGGCACTCTGTACACGGCATTATCTGATACAGCTATGATGTGACGGTTTGTGCTGTCTCCGGCTAGCTGAAGACCAACTATGGGCTGCTTGTTATCCTATCAAATAAGAAAAACAAACATAAAAAGTCATCAATTAAAACTGTACTTTGGAATCTCATTTCCATGAAAATGACTGCCAAAAGTGAAATATCATGCAAGAAGAACGTCACATGTGAGTGTTCCAACAAAATCAAATGTTTGATTGATAGGTTGATTGGTTGATTGATTGATTGGATTTCATGCTAACATCGACAAGCGCGAATTTTAGAACTCGCGATAATATAAGCATGACTTCTTATGCATGTTTTGAACAGGCTGAATTGTGTGCAACGCAAATTTAAGACCTAGCAAATATGCTTTGGGGTCGCTCAGCGCGAAAGATTAATCCCACAAAAATAACCACGCTTTGTTTGTCATCAAGGGCTTGGAAGAAGCACACATAAACATCCATGTGTTTCATTTCCATGGCAACTACATTGTATTTAATCCTTGTAAACTGTAACTTAGAGATAAAGAACACTACAAGGGCAGCTAAAATATGCCATGACATTTGGAATACTGTATCTGTGAATAGTTGAATTTCAAATAATGCACAATACCTTGTAGTTACATGTACACGAAATACATCTATGTGTTATAGACCTGTTTTGATATTCTGTTACTTACCGTCACACTTAATTCATAAACTTTGAATTCTGCATCACCAGGAAATTCACGATACGCTTTCAGTACAGAGCCAGATTCTAGTACGGAATCAAACAAAAATAGTAAAATAAAAAGAAGTTCACATACATCCACACATTCTCTTTGAGTGTTTTAATAGAAGGTTGAGTTCTGGGAGAGGTGAAATATAATTTGTGAGCATTTTCATTGTTATTATGCAAGTGTGGAAGAACATCAGACAAAAAATGTTCCCTGAAAAGCCCGGCTCTTCAAATGCCTCTATATTCTAAATATGGCATGTATCAGCTTAAACATGTGGGCCTCATTTTTATGTGTAGTGTAGTCCCATTTATCTTTCTGTGGACAGTGCTTGTTATTTTACCAAGACTAGGCTAAATTTCTTATCCTTTTGATGATTCCAGAATCTTGCAGTACACACCAATACTACTATGCTACATGATCAACTTTTTTTGATCGATTCCACACTGTTTCTTTCAAAATGCAATCGTATGATCAGCACTCAACTTTAACTTTAAGTGTAAGATTCAGTTTCAACAGGTAAATCATACTCTGAGAAGGTAGAAGAAGGAACTATAAATCTGATATGATATGAAAATACCTAGTAAATTTCTTACTTATCGTACTAGAATTGAATACTGACCTTGGATCATAAACACTGAGCTGAATGTAATATGGTACCCTGTCCTATCCATTACTCAGTCCTTGACCTTAAATCTTCTAACCACATTAAATACATACTTAAAATGATGATCTATAGTTTATCCAACTTCATTAAAAAATACACAAGCAATCACACAAAATGTACAATTTCAATGTTCATATCGAGGGGCCAGTGACACAAAGACGTAACCCCATTTCGGCCATTATGAGAAAAGTGGTTTATGTGTCACTGAGCACTTGGGCCTTAAGGAGTTAAGTCTATGTTTCACTAGCCATTGACTTCAATGGGGTATTGGGTGGAGTTAAGTCTATGTGTTTCCTGGAAAGCCCATATTTTTCGGAATATTTTGATATCAAATACTCATTTTGGCAAAATTTGGAGTTTCGTCTTTGTGTCACTGAACCCTCGATATGATGTATGAATTTTATGGCTCATGACCTCTTGTTCACAGCTACTTACCAGTACCGACATAATAGATTTGTTGATCGGTAATGTTGTCCACGACGATGGAAGAAAATCTGGCATTGTCGACCGTGAATATTGGAACACTTTGAGCAAGTCTCTGCATGAGTGGAAACTGCTCGATGAAGGTGAGGTCCTGGGTTGGGTCATTGCACTGTACAAGAGGAGAAGAAGAAACATAATGTCTTCATCAGCTCATATTGCCACGAAGTTACAAATCGCGTCTTCATCAGCTCGAGACTCGACTTCGAAACTTGAAAGTCGAGCTCGAGAAATCAGCTCGAGATATTTTGCTCGGTGTTCACACATAGTGCGAGTCTTCGGGCTGGTGAAGACGCACCGGACAAATAGCGGGATATTTTGCAAACTAGCCCAAGATATGCTGGGATGATTACCTCGACCAAAATATCCCGCTAATTGCAACTGCGGGCTGATAAAGACGCAAATTAGCTGGATAGTTTGCGATGGGGATGGTTAAAATAGCGGGTTATTTGGCAATCTCGAGCTAATGAAAACAGGCCTATTGACCTACTGGACTTTTGTGAATGCTAATTCCAACTGTATTATACAGTTATTGACTGGCAGGGGGTGTAATATAACATTACTTGGACCACTGAAGGGAGTTATATTTCCCAAGTGGTTATATTTTCCCGAAGCGCGCAGCGCTGAGGGAAAATATGGTCACGAGGAAAAATATAACTCCCTTCGGGTCCAAAGAATGTTATATCCCCCCTGCCAGTCAATAACTGTTATATTAGATAGCCTTGGGTTTTTTGGGGGGGGGGGGGGGTCCATATTTTTTTTGCCCGAAATTTTATTTCTTTTTTCGGGGACAATCAAAATTACGGAAAAATAATCTGTCGAGATAGTTCAAGAAAAAAAAAACCTTACAAAAAACAAAAAATAAATAAATTTTGGAAAGAAAAAAAAAATTTAAATTTAAAAAAAAAAAAATTACCCCAAAAAAGCATTTTTGGGGAAAAAATGAAAATGTGGAAAAAATGATTTCAAGGGAAAAAAAAAATTGTGAAAAAAAAATGTCAACAGCCGGTAAGATATAACCAACCAGGAAAATATAACAATTTGGATCCTCGCAATTGATATCACGTGACGAGCTCTGGACCAATCACATCTCGGTATCTGTCTAAGCTATATAATATAACCAAATATATAGTTAATTAAGGAGAGGAACCTACTCTTTGTCTCATGAGGAATTTGAAGTGGAAAGATTTGGAGAAACATTCCATACTTTCAGTGCAATACAATGAATATCAAAAAACAGATTTGACACAATGGATATCAAATGCTCAGTAATCAACAAATACAAACAAATGATGCCATGCCAACTTTTAGAGTATCATCTTACAATTATCCAAGGTAACTTTCTAGCTTTCTTGTGTTATTATATACATGTACATGTAGGTTGAGGGCAATGAAGGTTCAACAAACTTTTCAGCTACCAGGGGCAACTCTAATCAACATGTCAATTATGAAATAGATACGAAAGTAAAGCAAAAGAGGTAGATTTTATATGGTTGGCACAGTACCAAAAAACAATCCTCTGCTCACATTAAGGTCAATGTCCTTAAAGGAAACCTCACCTTTTAGAATAGGTGTAGGTATTCTAAAAAATAAGATGTATTCCTGCCCTTTGATGTACACTATTTCTTAAGAAAGTGTGCACGAGATATATATATATGAAGATATTCTTGGCATGTAATGACTTTAAGCTGGACGTTGGCTGAGATATGACCATCCAAATAATTAGATTTCAATAGGAAATCACTGTCATTTTGGAATGTTATGAACCAGAGCAAAATAACAGTGATTTCCTATTGAAATCTATTTATTCAAGAGACATATCTTAGCCAATACTTGACATATCCAATTGGTTTTCAACATTTGGACATTATTTATGATGCTCTTTTGGAAAATGAAGTTAAAATTGAGAAATTCTAAAATGGATTTTTATGATGTCACAGCTTCGGTACTCTATATCTTTAATGAAACAATGCCTAGGAGCAATTCTCAGTTCAATAACTTACATCTAGACCTGGTCTAGGAGTAGGGACTTCACTCCTTGGTCTGGTGAGCCAGATATGATCTGATGAGAGGGGACCTTTGAAGCTGCTAGTATCAAAGATTGTATCAATATCTGACAGACGATAGACACATACAGCTGAGCTCTGTGGTCCGTTACTGTGGAAAGATAGATACCAAGGATGATAGTTAAAATTCATAATATTACATTCTTTTTCAATCAATATTCCATTTATAGCCAATATGACAAATGAAATAACATCTGCATGATTAAATGCTCATTTATTTTTAGCCTAGTTCACATGCGACAAGGAAAAATAAACCAAATAAGTGTAATGCACTTTAATATTGTGTATCTTATAAACAGAGAGAGAATGAATGATCACTAAACTCCTGTAATTTAAACAACCCATATTTTCTGAAACTCACATTTGAAATCTTTGGTTTTCTGTTTTATTATTTTAAAGCCAACTGATTAAAATACTCTCAACATATATTATATATCAAATTTTGTGATTATAATTCCAAGTGTAATTCTATACTCTAATTTCTATTGTGTTTTAAATTTATGTCAAAGTTCATTGTAATCGATATGTTTATTTTGTGATTTTGTATGTTTTTATCTGTGAACTATATCGCAATTCAGCCATCAACCGCTGCAAAGATATATTTTAATAAACCTTGAATTGATTTGATTTGATTGATTGAATTGAGAAGCGAGTACTCTCAGGAGCCTTTGTTGTGCACAGCTACTTTTATGTGTACTATTAACTCAAACATAAATTTGTTTTTTATTTTTGTATGATTCAAATAGTTGACCCAACATGTCTGAACTAGCATTTTGTTGTTTTGAACTTATAACATTGGCTTTAAATCATAAAACAGTTGTTATCCGATCATGGCTACAATTCAAAGAAAGTATAAAAATTAACGCTCAAGTTTACACCCATGAGACTACAAACTGTTTGTACAAAATGTATGAGGCCTGACTATGAGAAAATAAGATCTGATTTCATACTGGTATAACCTGGGATAAACACCCTGTTTTCTTGCTGGTAGTGGTAGTCATACAATGTTCATTGCTTTACACAAACAATGTACGGCAGCCTTGTAAGGAATACATTGGCATTATCTCTGTTCAGGAAAAGTAAGACGTATCCTGACCTTCAACATATACTTTCTTTCACCTATTGTACCAGTACTTGTTATTGTATCTTCAGCTATTTTTTTCCTCCTTAACCCCTGTTCTTTATTCTCGTCATGTGTGTTTGCTAAAATTCAACAAGCTTGGTTTCTATTATGATTTTTTAAAGGAAAAGTAACCATTGTGTAAGACATACCAATTTAATGAGACCAATGCTGTTGCATTAGATGTTAGCATTGATGGTAAATTTGCCTTTAATAGTAACTTTCATGGAAACATTGATTTGATTGGCTGTTAAGTGATTTGACCACGGTAGTTAATATTGATGGCAAAGAGACCATCAGGGGGGTGTTTCACAAAGATTCTAAGTTGAACTTATCTCTAAGTTGGACTTAAAAATTATGGAAAGCCGTTAGCATCTTTGAAAATATTTTGTAAAAGTTATTTTGAAAGGCATAAAATGTTGATTCAAATCATTCATATTTTCTATCAACAAGGAGATTTCATGTTCTGGATTTGGAATTTATAAAAAAGTATAAAATACTTGAATTTCTGCTTTTGAATATATTTCATTTTAAGACTCCAATGGCTGTCCATAAATTTTAAGTCCAACTTAGAGTTAAGTTCTACTTAGGATCTTTGTGAAACACCCCCCAGTAGTATTAAAGTTGTTTGCAACAGGGCCCAGATTACCCCTACTATCAAAGATGTTTCAAGTAGTCACCTGAAGAATCAAAAGTGTTTTGAATTGATGCAAAATTCATATCATTGCGAAGGGGAAGCCTTCCTGATCAAATAAAACAACTTCCCTCTTCAAAATATGTTTGGGGCCCGCAGTAATCATCTCTCAAAAATGTTAATTTTGAGATCCAGATTTTCTGCCTTCGGCGACCCTCCATAGAAGGTCAAGATTCGTGATGTCACATTCGAGACACAGCCAGCCAAAAAATTTGCATTTTACACCTTTCCATGATATCTATATGATTTTTCAGCAAACTATTTGTGTTTTTCAAGAGAAAATCTTTCCATCCAAATAAAATTTGTCCATAATTATCAGTTGTGAATTTTCTTCGGGTGAATACTTTGAAATGCCGTTCATTTTACCAGTCATTTATAAATTTTCTGACCCTTAACAAAATTACAATTACTGGCAATCCTATTTACCCTTCCGAAATTGTAAGAAAACAATTCAAATTCTATACAATTACTTTATCATCTACTATTTTGTTTGCTCCCATTGATTATTTGTTTGAATAAATGAACAAGTTTGAAATAAATAAATAAAACTTGAAACTTCATCATTAATGATTCAAACTCAATCTAATGGGCAAGAGACATACTCCATAGATGCAAAAATTCCTACTGCAAACAGTTGAGATTCATTTGCACATAGAAACTAGATTTATAATTTAAAAATAATAGTAATAAACTTACGGTACACCAGAGAACACTGCATGAATGTAGTGATCTAATCCTCTCTCTTCAACAAATATGTCCTCTGCAGAAAGAAAAAATGATGAGAGGGGTATATCATGAGGAGAAAGAGAGATAGAGAGAGAGAGAGAGGAGAAGAGATAAAGGAGTACAAAGAACAGAATGAAAAGAAAAGGGGAAATAGTAGGAGAAAGTATTAGAGGATGGAAGAAGTACATGCAACAACAAAGAAGAGTGATAGAAACATGAGAGAAAGAGGTAATACAGTGAAGAGAGAATGCAGAAGATAAGAATAAATGAAAAAACAAGAGGTACCAGTAGTCAAAGGGGGGTAGAGGAAGAGGCGGAGAGAAAGAGATGGAATTATTTATAACAAAATATTAGTGTATATTTTACCCTTCAGCATCTAAACAGCCCAAAACCGCCCCTCCTTTTAATCACTGAACCACCCAAAATCGCCCTTCTGTTTTCGTCTGCTTTCAACGCTGTAGTATCCCTTCTATGGGGTCTACCGTGATAATGTTACACGTGTGTAATCTACAGTAGGATTCTGTATGGACAAATGTTCTTCCAGTGAGTAATAGGCCATTCTTACAAAATCTCTAGTTGCGAATGGGTTAAAGTGGAAAGAAAAGAGAATGAGTGATATAACCAACAACAAAAACAAAGGAAGGAGAAATTAAAAAAATAATAATATAAAGAGTTTTGCCAATGGGGCTGTGCAGGGCATTTAGATATTGATTACTCATATTAGTCAATTATAACTAAAAAAACAGTTGTCAGCAATATATTAAGTATAATTCTATAATACTGTATTTTGTACGCCCTAGGTACAGCTCTTATTACATTATACCATCAGTCAGATCAAAATTTTCAATATCAGTGAAATGCATACAGATAGTGAAAAAAAGGGACTACTTACGTATTTCATTGTAATATAAAGCAAAATCCCCATCAATAAAACAGCTCAACCTTGCTTTCTGAAAACTTGACCAATATCTGGTAATTCCAACATCATCCTAAATGCAAATACATAATTTAGAGATAGAATTGACATCAGGAAAGCCATCATGTACACATTATCAACATCTATCAAGTCAGATTGATGGGTAAATGTTGTAAATGTTTTATTTTATTTTCATTTATATATCTTTTTCTTTATATGTCTTTTTGGAGACAGAAGGGCATTAACCCATATCTACACAGCCTCATGCTCTTCTGTCACCAAAAAGACAAAATATGCTATAAATGTACTGTATAGCTGCTTACTACCGGTACTACATTGAATGGTGAATCCTGATTGGCTAACAGATAAATTTCGATTGGTTGATGGAAACAAATCTCATCAAATGGTGAATTCTGATTGGTTGTTGGATCAACACGCACTTCATACTCTTCTGTCTCCAAACAGACAAAATATCCTATAAATGTACTGTATAGCTGCTTACTACTCTGTACATTGAATCGTGAATCCTGATTGGCTAACAGATCAATAATATTAAGTGATATATTTTGATTGGTTGATGGAAACGAATCTCTTCAAATGAAGAATTCTGACTGGCTATTAATCTGATCAATAATATTAAGTGATATAGTTTGATTGGTTGATGGATAAACAAATCTCATCATATTACGAATTCTGATTGGTTAACAGAGCAATAATATTAATGGGAACAAATCTCATCAAATGATGAATTATGTTGGCTAAAAGATCAATAATATTAAGTGATAAATTTTGATTGGTTGATGGAAACGAATCTCATCAAATGAAGAATTCTGACTGGCTATTAATCTGATCAATAATATTAAGTGATATATTTTGATTGGTTGATGGATAAACAAATCTCATTAAATGACAAATTCTGATTGGTTAACAGATCAATAATATTAATGGGAACAAATCTCATCAAATGATGAATTCTGTTGGCTAAAAGATCAATAATATTAAGTGATGTATTTTGATTGGTTGATGGATATTAAAACAAATCTTATCAAATGAAGAATTCTGACTGGCTATTAATCTGATCAATAATATTAAGTGATATATTTTGATTGGTTGATGGATAAACAAATCTCATCATATTACAAATTCTGATTGGTTAACAGAGCAATAATATTAATGGGAACAAATCTCATCAAATGATGAATTATGTTGGCTAAAAGATCAATAATATTAAGTGATATATTTTAATTGGTTGATGGAAACGAATCTCTTCAAATGAAGAATTCTGACTGGCTATTAATCTGATCAATAATAATTAGTTATATATTTTGATTGGTTGATGGATAAACAAATCTCATTAAATGACAAACTAAGATTGGTTAACAGATCAATAATATTAATGGGAACAAATCTCATCAAATGATGAATTATGTTGGCTAAAAGATCAATAATATTTAGTGATATATTTTCTAAACCGATCTTAACTGCCTAATGGGTCGGTTTGTTAGATGTACACATAAACCTGTACACTTGAAACTAGGAGGTAAGCACATGCCATTGCTTCTACACAAACACATGCTCAGATTATTACCGGTACAGACATATTTTTCAAAGTCATAAAAATGTATTAGTCTGACCGTCTCATGAACATATTTTCTTTTCTTGCAGGCAGTTATTCCTGAAATATTCTAGAAGCATAACTGAGCCATGGCCACATATACACGTGAGAATAATTGATCATGTTTTGTAACTGAAGATTTTTTTCCCCTTTTAATAAAGTTAAAAACATCCTCCACAAAAAAAAAGTGAAATAAAAGATCACTATTTCAGCATACCGGTAGTTAACTTTCATTGAGTAATTGGTCTTGCTAAACAATTTAGCTTTTCATAGGTATTCAATATTCCAGATTTATATCAATCTGTATAATTATATTGATGACTGATCATTGTGTACTTGACAAAAAAATGATGAATTGCATATATTTCCATGTAATTTGAATTTTAATGTTCATTTTTATCTATCATATACATGTGCAATCCAGCTTACTGCTGCAAACCATGTTGTTTAATAAACCATTTGTGAATTGAATTGATTTTCAGTGATTTAACATTTACCAAGCTGACAATTAACCACAAGAATTAGATGTACGTACTTCATTCTACGTGCTGAACCTTCCGTATACCCAACTCATTTATTATCTCACAGATTTTACTTACTTAGAACCAAGAATTGACCGCCATTACTGAAGTATTTATTTGCACGTTTAATTGCCATCAATCAAAAACTTAATCACAATTATAGATACATTTGAGAACGAAGAGGAAAGAAAAAGTTTAAAATGTATAATCATGACAGACAATATAATATCAATTTACCCTTCCATAAAAGTTTGATTAGAATTAAATGCCACTTACAGAATGAAAACACAAATGTCATATTTCCTTGTTTCATATTCGATTCGTGCAAGATTGAAAGCCTCAGTAAAGACACGAGTTTGAATAAATTTACTCTCTATTCCTGTCTAAATGTTTGTAAACTTGTACATGTACCTGGGGAAAATGAACCCTGATTTCCTGCTCAAAATTGCAATCTTACCACAGGCTTTATAAACCCTTGATTGCTCTAATTTTCTTCATTTTGTTATACCTGGGGAGTGTTTCACAAAGATCCTAAGTAGAACTTAACACTAAGTTGGACTTAAAAAGTATGGACAGCCATTGGAGCCTTAAAATGAAATATATTCATAAGCAAAAAATTGGAGTATTTTAGACTTTTCATCAATTCCACATCAAGAACATGAAATCTCCCATGATAATAGAAAATATGAATGATTTGAATCAATATTTTATGCCTTCTAAAAAAAAAATTACAAAATATTTTCAAGGATGCTAATGGCTTCCCATAAATTTTAAGTCCAACTTAGAGATAAGTTCAACTTAGGATCTTTGTGAAACACCCCCCTGTACATTTAACTTGGGGAAAAAGAACTTTAACATTCCTACTAAAGGCTGCAAAATGTCCTCATTTTGTAAAACCTTCATTCCTCTCATTTTCTACATGTTTGTATACTTGTACATGTAACTGGGAAAAAAAGAACTTTATCAATTTCTATAAAGGTTGCAAAATTTAGTCAGACAAAAAGGAAAATTACTTTTAATAGGCATTAGAAACCATTTTCACTTTACCACTTTCCACAGAGCTGCATGTGTTACACAAAACCAGCTAGGGGATCAAACCCCTGACCTTTGCATTTCAAGTCAAGTGCATAAACTACTTGACCAAGACACCTCCACTCGGAACCAAGAATTGACCTCTGTGATACTGAAGTGTTTATTAGCACATTTAAATGCCAAAAATCAAAAATTCAAAAACCATTGAATATAGATACATTCATAAATCTAAAGGAAAGAATAAAAATACTTAAGTATATTCATGACAGACTTTAAAATATTAATTTAAGTAATAAATCAAACAAAAATCACAATATATATCCTGCCATATAAGATTGATTAGATTAAATGCCACTTCCAGAAAGGATACAAAAATTTGGTATTTCTTTGTTTCACTTTCACTACGTGCAAGGAAGAAAACTTCAGTATCATAGACATGAATTTAAATAAATTTACTCTCAAATCCTTAAAACATGATTACTCTCAATTTCTACATGTTTGTATACTTGAAGATGTAAATGGGGAAAAAGAACTTTATCATTCTTTGTCAAGGTTGCAAATTTTCTCAGATTAAAAGAAAGAAAAAAAAGAAGAAAAAAAACAAATCACTTTCGGCATTAGAAACCATTTTCACTTTGCCACTTTCCAAAGAGCTGAATGTAACACAAAACCAGCAATCCCTTGTTCATGGGTGAGATTTCTCGTGAGGACCTAAATCATTTCCTGGAGTATGCAATACTATACGAATAATGCATTGTTATGTGTGCATTCTAGAAGATAATGCAACATCACAAGGTTAAAATAACAACAGAGCAAAAAACAAAGCATTGTTATTGATTGTGTTTCATGTTAATTGCAACAGAACATAACAACATAAATTTAACTTGGCAACAAATTCTCAGGGGAAAACAGAAAGCTTGGGAATAGAGGAAGTCTCTACATTTCCTGCATCCCCATCCCAAACTCCCACAAAAAAAATATTGGTATATACCTGAAGACTACTACAGACTATACATGTACATGTAGCTAAATTTGATTAACAACTTTGCTATATTACAAATGTACAAAACCATTGTTACCAGTGGTATCTAAAATATATCGCATATTTCAATACTTGTCCCGGGCCATTTTTTATTTTTTTATTTTTGAATGTTTAATTAAATAGATTAATAAATAAATAGATAAATAAATAAAAAATATTGGTTTTGATAACATGCTGAATTTGATTCAAAACTTTCCTTTATTACAAAAGCTGGGCACAACATCATGATACATGAACCTGTGGCATGAAAAAATATATCACAACAGATCACTAATCAATCTCACACGCTAACTGGAATCTTTTAGGAATGTCGAGAAATGTTGTTTACAATCAATGGCTTCTAAAAATAGATTCAATGAACAATGAAAGTGGATTGAACTGTACCTGGATCTTTCTTCCAAATGCTTGAAAAAACATGTCAAGGTTCAAGTAAATTTATTAGTAGTCATTATGCTGTGAGGGCACAAATGTGCTTTTCCTTTGATTTCAATGTGTGTTCTACTTTAGATGATTGTAATTATGTGTACCATTATGATTGTATTAAGAAATAGTTAAATATATATATTTTTTTGTGTGTGTTTCTTTTCAAAACTATTATGCCATTAATATATGCCATTTAATTGTCCTGCCCCCCCCCAAAAAAAAAAAACAACAACAACAACAACAACAGCTGGTGTAGCGCTTTATTAGAAAGCATCACAAAATATTATTAGATTATCACTATTAACAAAGATGAATGTCAAAGAGTTAAAAGAGAAGACTGACCTTGCAAACTCTGGCCACTCTACTGTACACCATCTTGCCTTGATTCACATGCTCAACGGCTAACTCACGATAGAAGTAGTACACTCGATCTCCAATCACCAATGGTTTACCAACAAAGTCAGCCTCTGTGTGATGTCATTATGAATGGAGAAAATGAAATGGAAATCATCAGGGCCGGTATTCAATTCAATACTAATAGCATAAGTAAGAAATTTACTAAGTAAATGGCGTAGTTAAGTAATTTACTTATCTCGTATTCAAAAATGCATTTTAGACTTATACTTACGTAAGCCAAAATCTAAGTAAAAAACTTACTGATAAGCATTGTGACATCACATGGTCAATCAAAAGTAATGCGCAATTGATGCATTGCAATAAATGCGCAGGTTATGATACTGCGTAAGAAAACCATATGCCTGCCAATCAAGGCCTCCAAATAATTGACTTAAGTCTGGTATGGAGTTGGCTTAGATTTAGAGTACAATACTTAGCCAAAAAGTGTAAATTGAATTCCATAATTAGCCAAGTATTTTATCTAAGCCAAATACTAAGTAAAAAGCTTAAATGTTGTACTTAAGTATTGAATTGAATATGGGCCCAGGCCCCTATTTCATAAAACTTGTCATCAATAAACAAATGCTAAATTTCGATGACAAATTTGCTCTCAGGCAAATCAAATGCCACGATTTCAGTAGCGTAAGACAGTTATCGTAACATGTTATTGATAACAAGTTTCATGAAACAGGGCCCAGATCAACTTCTGTACCACCAAATTTTATATCATTTGTCACAAATGAACTTTTAAGTCATATACTTTGACTTGTAATGCTTGTTTTACCACTGATACAATGTAAACTGGGTATAATGAACGTGTAGGGTAGTGAACTTCAGCACACGAGGGCGATGGCTTTTATTATGGGAAGAGAAATCATACCCATTTTTTTTTCAACACAAAATTCAATCCACAAAAAATCTTCTCTTTTTTGTTTTTGTTTTGTTGCCTATGAGTTATGGAGGGGTTTAAAAAAAAACTAGATGGAATTCGACTGCGCGCAGTCGAAAATGATGCCTCCGTCATAGAGCAATTTTACAAACCGAAACGGAAGAAATTTTTCAAATTCAAGTTCAATTGTAATCCATTAACATGTTCTCAGAATATCGTGATTACAAGCAATTTCTCATATACATATATGACCCTTTGATCTTTGACCTCATGACCCTAAAATCTACTCAGTTCATTGGCTCTGCAAGATTTCCTGAGTTAAATAGTAATCCATCTGTCAGTTCTAATGATAATGCGTCCACAAGCTATTTTTGCATACATAATGAGCCCATGACCTTTGATCTTATGAACCATTCATTGGCTCTGCAAGATACATAAATGATCTAAGTTTGGCAGGAATCCATCAATCTGTTCTAATGATAATACGATCACAAGCTATTTTTGCATACATAATGAGCCGCATGACCTTGACCTTTACCTCATGACCCCAAAATCTAATCAGTTCATCAGCTCTGCAAGTAACATACATGACCTAAGTTTGGCAGGAATCCATCAATCGGTTCTTCAGATAACTAGATCACAAGCTGTTTTTGCATACATAATGAGCCCTGTGACCTTTGACCTTTGACCTCGTAACCCCAAAATCTAATCAGTTCATTGGCTCTGCAAGATACATACATGACCAAAGTTTGGCAGGAATCCATCAATCGGTTGTTCAGATAACGCGATCACAAGCTGTTTTTGCATACATAATGAGCCCTGTGACCTTTGACCTTTGACCTACGTGCTCCAAAATCTAATCAGATTGTTTTCCTATAGTGATACACACTATCACTAAGTTTGAAGTTTAAATCTCCAGTGGTTCTTGAGATATCATGATAACAATCTCAATGTATGGAATTTCATAAGTTGACCTCTGTGACCCTTGACCTTTGACATACGTGCTCCAAAATCTAATCAGATCGTCTTCCTATGGTGATACACACTATCCTTAAGTTTGAAGTTTAAATCTCAAATGGTTCTTGAGATATCATGATAACAATCTCAATGTATGGAATTTCATAAGTTGACCTCTGTGACCCTTGACCTTTGACATACGTGCTCCAAAATCTAATCAGATCGTCTTCCTATGGTGATACATACTATCCTTAAGTTTGAAGTTTAAATCTCAAATGGTTCTTGAGATATCGCGCTAACAAACTCAATACAAGGAATTTCATAAGTTGACCTCTGTGACCTGTGACCTTTGACCTACGTACTCCAAAATCTAATCAGATCGTCTTCCTATGGTGATAAATACTATTCCCGAGTCTTAAGTTTAAATCTTAAATGGTTCTTGAGATATTGTGATAACGGTCAAACGGGACGGACGGACGGACGTACGGACGGACAACCCGAAAACATGATGCCTCCGGCACCACCTTCGGTGGCGGAGGCATAAAAATTAAAAACATGTTTACCATCAGGATAAACTTGGGGTTATATCAATGGGGGTAAACAATAGAAAATATTGTTACAATTCAATTCAATTCAAAACTTTATTCAAACTTTGTAAAACAATTTACAATGACAATATACAATCTAATGGTTAAGACCCCTAAGAAGCAGAATTCTGCTTGTAATTGGGGCCCTGTAACAAACAATAACAAGATAGTGAACACAATTAATAGTAATACAAAGTAAAAGACTTGCATAATACAAGCATGCACATACATCGCAACACACACACACACATTCATGAAGAAGGTTTTGCAGAAAGAATAAAAAGGAGAGAAAATAGGAAAGAAAGAAATAAAAGTACATGTAAAAGAAAGAAAGGAAAGAGAAGTACTGTACCTACTTAACCATGGACATCATTCTTTGAAAAATACCTTTTTTGTTTTAAATTTATCATTGCTTTAAATCTGTTACTTGTAGAACTGGATCTTAGGTCATGATTCAATGAATTCCTTTCACGTACCATATGAAACATTTGAAACATTTGGAACATTTATATATTAAAGAAAAAACAATCGGCATTACTTTTGTAGCCACTAGCCAGTGCCTGCATTATTTGAAATACATGATGGCTTGAGAAGGGAAATAGCTTACCGTTGACTGATCGAGAGAAGTAAGATGTCGTATCGAGCCGTTTAGTGAACGATGTATCCGAGCCACCGGAACCTGCAGGGTAAACATCAACCCTGGAGATAGACGTCTCTGACTTGCCATGGGTCAGTGAAACTCCCAGGAATAACTGACCATCTGAAACATTAAGACATATTACTATAGTCAAGCCTGCTTTAGTGACCACCTGTCTACAAAGACCACCTGTCTACAAAAAGCATTTTTTTTTTTTTTTTTTATTGAAAATGGTTTTTCATTGAAACATGTACTAAAGGAACCCATGTTTCCCTTGGAATTGAATGGAATTGAATTGAATTGAATTGAATTGAATCAAGGTTTATTAAAAAAAACATGTGTCGCAGCCCAATGGCTGAATTGATCATGTGTACAAATAAAACCCTCATTGCATATTTCAAACATAAAATACAGTTACTATAGACAGGTTTGACTGTGCTTAGAATTTGGCAGACTGTCTGTCATACAATATACAAAAGAGTCACATAGATGCTGGTAAAACATCCTTTGAAATGGTTTAAGATAGGCACGATCTTTCATCCATACTGCAAACGAAAATACTGAACGTTTTGATGAGACTTGGCTACATAACTTAGAATATTTAAGTAATCAAACTAGTATCATACCATCGACCATGTGATAACTAAGCAGTATATCTGCATGATATACACTAGTCCTGGGTCTAATATATTCAAATATTCAAACTATTCTAATAGTTTACTGCCAATCGACAATCAAATACTACTTTTTCCACTATTCGCATGTTCCCCTAACAACGAATGTGATTTCGATGTTTGAATACGGTATATCTAATACTTCATAACGACATTGGCATTCAAAACATCAAGAAAGTACTACATAATAGACAATAACCAGGCAAAAGTAAAGCAAAGTGGAATCTTAAGTCCAAAAATTGAATGACGAGTATATTTTCTTTGATCCTGAATTTGTATATGTACATACAGTATGTGGCAATTTTATTGACTGTTCATAGATGATTGATAAAATGTAATTGAATCATTACTTCTGTATAACTGTCTCAGTTATATTATCTGTGTTTTTATAGTAATTTTGATCAAATTTCTACTGGTATTTTGGGGCTTGTTCACTTGTATGTGCCATGCAAAATATTGCTTGCCAGTTCGGGTCTAAAAATTGTAGCAATGATGAAATGTACATTTCTTTGATTCTGAATTTAAATGACAATTTTGTTTTACTCTAGATGATTGATAAATTGTGAGAATCATTACTCCACAATTATCATTTAAGTAATTGTCTCTCATGTCCACCCCACCCCCATGTTGTTTTGATAGTCATTTGATCCCATTTCGTCTGGCATTTTATGGCTTGTTTACGTACTTGTTTGTGCAAACGTGTGTTTGAGCCTGATCAACCGTCGTGATCGACATCAAAAATGAAAGTAAGAATGACTGTAAACCCTTCAATATTTTATCGCTTAACCAACTAAGTTTTATATCACCGTATAGAAATCCTATCTGGAGAGAGAGAGAGAGAGAGAGAGAAAGAGAGAAAGAGAGATAGAGAGAGAGAAAGAGAGAGAGAGAGAAAGAGAGAGAGAGAGAAAGAGAGAGAGAGAGAGAGAGAGAGAGAGAGAGAGAGAGAGCGTAGAGAGAGAGAGAGACATATATATTTACATTATGTTTATCCAGGGCCTTCATCTCAAGGTGAACACACAATTAAAACAGATCATCAAGGATAAATGATGGTCATTAAAAAGAGTAATCGAAGATGTCTATCAAGCCGTCAATCAACCTACCGGAATATTGTGAAGTTGCGTTCAGTTCCCAGTGTTTGGGTGCTATCCCAGTGCCATCCACAGTCCCGTGACCTTGTGCAGTACTGAATGAACATGTTCCCTCACCTCTAGGTCCTGGACAACTTACTCCTTCTATGCCCTGCAATACAAAAACATAACCCTCTCATCAAGATTTAAAGGCATCATTTATTTAAACAATGTTAAATCTGAGATGCCTGGCCCTACGTGTTATCAGTGTCTGTGATATGGAGTAATATTGAAGCCCTAAACAAATTGCGCTTCAAAATGATCATGAAGTGCCTTAGTTAAAAACTTTGAGTGACCGGTTATACCATACTCATTTTCCCCAATAGAATGTAGTGTTATTAAAAATGTTAGGAAAACCTTTTTTTTAATTTCGATTTCCATTCATAAATATCTTGATATTCAGACAGGTGATTGGCTTGTAAAAGTCATGGGGTTCCTGACTGACCTGTATCCATTTTGCTTGCATGACCATACTGTGTTTGATGCCAGGAATTATGAAAAGAAAGCTTTAAAATCCTTCAATTGGCACCACACTGAGAGGTTCTGAATCACAATTTTGATCGAAATTGGCAATTTTCTTAACCTCTTTTCAAAGTCTGTACATAAAGATATTGTTTTTAGAGACATCTTTATTAAAACGATGGAGCAATAAAAGAAAAAAATTATTGTAATAATGATAAATTAGTTGTCACTGTCATCGACGTAATTAATGAAAACGTAACAAGCTCATGCAGTGTTCATATAACAGCCCTTTGGCGAGCTGCCAGTATCATTCCGGCACTGAGATACTTTGTGTATTTCTGTCAAGATAACCTCAGCGCAAACTTCTATGTAGGCTAAGTATTGCCCTTACGTTTTAGCCATTTTCACAAGGAAAGATTCATTCATTACTTTATACAATTCATCCAAACTTGACACTTATAAAAAGAAAAGAAAATGGAGACAAGGGAGACTCACCGCACTATTTCTCGTTACATTACAGGTGTAACATCTTGGATTGAGGGCATTGGTTCCACACACCAGCAGCATGTTATTGGTCATTATCTCAGCAATCCTTATAAAGTTGAAACAGTCTCTATCCTGTAGACATAAAAAGGCAGTGAAGTACAGAAGTAAGATCATTAGCGGTTCCGGGAGTGGTAAAGTGGTGGTGGTAGTGGGAAGTGGTAGCGGTGGTCGGAAACGAAAGAGGAAGTAGTAGGTATTAGGGATAATTGAAAAAGTGGTGATAGTGGTAAAAGTAGTAGTAGTGGTAGTTGTGGTAGTAGAAGTGGTAGTAGTACTAGAAGTGGAGATATTATTATTATCATTATTTATAGTAGTAGTAGCTGTACCAGTACATTAAGTAGTTGTTGTTTTTGCTTTTGTTGTAGTAGTGGTGGTGATGGTAGTGGTGGTGGTGGTAGTGGTGATGGTGGTGGTAGTGGTGATGGTGGTGGTGGTGGTGGTATTATTGGTAGTGGTATAGGTAGTGGTAGAGGTAGTAGTATAGTAGTAGTAGTAGTAGTAGTAGAAGTGGAGATATTATTATTATCATTATTTATAGTAGTAGTAGCTGTACCAGTACATTAAAGTTGATATTCTAAGACAATCCCAAATATTGAGATAATTACATCAATAGAAAGCTTTTAACCCCCATAAAAACACTAAATGGTGTCCAACTGACAAAACAAGTTTAGAATGGTGAATTTATGCGAGTAAACTCTACCAAACTATCTAAGTCTGAAACCCGGAAGTGCATGTAGAGTCGGGCCTCTATCCGTGACGTCACAAATAGGGCTCAGTGAGAGTGAATGGCAGTGATATCCCTACGTAAATGCTATCCTGTCAGAGCTTAGATTTGTTGTTGTTAATGAGTATATTTGATGGATTTTATTTTTTCATTTGAATGAAGAATAACGAAGCAACATTTTCCAGTCGCTGATTTCCTTTTATATCCTCATATTCACCTATTTGGTAGAGATTTAAGACGAGTATACTGCTTGGGAAACAAGGTTAAATCATGCACGTTTGAATAGGCGTATGCATTATCTTGTCATCAGAGGAGCAGTTTTGTAAAACGAATAGGCCTAGAAATATGATAGTACTTATCCTAGATGTGTGTGACTGCCTCAAAAAAGGATACAGTACCAGTTAAACATTTTATGTTGTAAAATATCAAACTTGAACGAGATCATGCAAGCGCACTTCCTCGATAATATTTTGACAACGTCTAGTGATCGAACGATATTCATCCGCGAGTGATGCGGCTCTTGCACGAACGTTCGTGAAGCGAGAAGAATCAGGAGGTAAGACCAGGCCGCTGCTCTAGCGCGGCTTGCTTGTGATGGAACGTACGTGCGCTAGTTGTATATGTTTATCGGCAATTGCAAGAGAATGAAAGCGACGTTACCAGCTAAGAAAAACAACTAATAAAGACTTGCTCATGACTGCCGGTGTCAGAATTGGTATATCGCACAATTAATGCACAGCATGGAAGAAGATGAAGGATCTTCAGGGCCAAGGAAGGCGAAAGACATGGGAAAAGGGAAAAAGAAACCATCATGAGATCGCTGTATGGTAATGAACTGTGCATGGGGATACGGTCCACTTACCACCAGACAGCTACCGTTCACTCCGTGCCTGGGCCAATTTCAACACCAAAACAAAAATTACATGATGAAAATATCGACTAATAGCACATCGTTGGCATGTATATGTCATAATTTTTAAAAGGGGAATTGTTATTAATACTATGAAATATTAGGGGAAGGTAAAGAATTGTACATAGAATTATGATTTATTAGACTTTTCAGCCTTTGTAACAAAAATAAGCAGAAAATCTATTCTCTCTGCACATGCTTTCTATGGAACATCCGGGTACGTGAATATACTCTTTTCCGGACGTGATGTCATAATAGTAGACCAGCGCCGTGACTGATTTTCTATGCAAAGAGAGGCGAATATTTTCGACATTTCAATTAAGGATTTCGAGTAGCCAGAATTTTGTTGTGATATACTATGTAATTGAAAAACTTAATAACATATGCTTGCCGTAGGTACCAAATTAAGGGACATTTATTTGCTTAGAATATCAGCTTTAAGTAGTTGTTGTTTTTGCTTTTGTTGTAGTAGTGGTGGTGGTGGTGGTGGTGGTGGTAGTATTGGTAGTGATAGAGGTAGTAGTATAGTAGTAGTAGTAGTAGTAGTAGTAGTAGTAGTAGTAGTAGTAGTAGTAGTAGTAGTAGTAGTAGCAGTAGTAGTAAAAGTTCACAACAATATTTATTACCGACCTTACCAATAGAGTCATCAAATGGTTACATGAAATGGAAATGATTTAAAATGATATGATGAAAGTGAATGAAAACAAACTTACACTTTTAAATGTTGTACGAGCACGACACTGGATAAATGCATTTCCATTGTCACACGTTTTGAATTCCTCTATATTCTGGAGAGAATAAAGATAAAAAAGAACAGAATTAATGAGAATTTCCTGTACAGACAAGTATACATTCTGGACAGGAACCACATAGAGAGCATACACTGTACTGTAATCTATCCCTGACTAAACTACAGACAAATCATGTTTCATTTGTTTCATTTTATCTTTATTTCACAAACCATGATAAAAAATATTTTATAAATATATAAAATTTATATATATCTGATGGGATAAAAAGTAAAGAAAATTGCATAAAACTGTTAAAAAAATACATAAAAATATTGGAAAAAGAAATATTGAGGTTTAAAACTACAATAACTACATGTAGATGGAATTTTGACTGCACGCAGTCAAAAATTATGCCTCCGCAATAGAGCAATTTTACAAACCAAAACGGAAGCAATTTTTAAATTTCAAGTTTGATTGTAATCCATCTGTCGGTTGTAATGATAATGCATTCACAAGCTATTTACATGTATAGTCATACATAATGAGCCCCATGACCTTTGACCTGATGACCCTAAAATCTAATCAGTTAAAATTCAAGTTTGATTGTAATCCATCTGTCGGTTTTAATGATAATGCATTCACATACATAATAAGCCCCATGACCTTTGACCTGATGACCCTAAAATCTAATCAGTTAATTGGCTCTGCAAGATACATATATACATGTCTTGAGTTTGATAGTAATCTGTCTATTGGTTCTCATGATAATGCTCACATAATGATCACAAGCTATTTGTGCATACATAATGAGCCCTGTGACCTTTGACTTCGTGACCCCAAAATTTAATCAGTTCGTTGGCTCTGCAAGATACATACATGACCCAAGTTTGGCAGGAATCCATCGATCGGTTCTTGAGATAACGCGATCATGCGTTATTTTTGTATACATAATGAGCCCTGTGAACTTTGACCTTCGACCTCGTGACTCCAAAATCGAATCAGTTCATTGGCTCTGTTAGATACATACATGACCCAAGTTTGGACGGACGGACAACCAGAAAACATAATGCCTCTGGCTACTTTGTAGCGGAGGCATAAAAATGGTTTGCGAGGCATAAGTAACAAGACAAAGATCTCATATATGTCTTCGCTCTAAATTTAGTAGGTATGCAAAATAGATGGAATTATTTGTGACATACATCTATCACAATGAAAACAAAAAGCCTTTCTCTTGTGATTCTTGAGATGTCCCAATAGCAAGGCTAAAACCTGTACTTTCAGAAATTGACCTCTGTGACCTTGAAACTTTGACCTATTTACTCCAAAATCTATTTAGATCATCTTCCTATGGTGTATACATATCATCAACAAGTTTGAGCCTTATATCTCTAATGGCTCTTGAGATTTTGCAATAACAAGACTATTACAGGTAGCTGGAATTTCAGAAGTTGACCTCTGTGCCATCGACCTAATTACTCTAAAAATTTAATTAGATCGTCTTCCGATGGTGATACATATTTTCACTAAGCATGAGCCTCATAAACTCTAATTGGCAAGGTAGCCCATGTAAGTATAGATGATGGTTCTTTAAAAAAAAAGAACACAATTGAGGTTGATTATAGAATTACAATTAATGTCATCTTCCTTCATATTGTTATCCTTAAATTTTTATCTTAATATTTATTGTACTTAGTACGATAATAATAAGATATGGCCTCTTAAAATACAATTTTTCATCTTTCAATTCTCGCTACCCTAAATAGGTACGAAAATCTCGAAATTCGCGAGACGAGGTAATTTTCACTCTCTCGGGTCGTCACTACAACTTCCGGTATAGAGTCCCATCCCGCTGGCACTAGCGCCTGTGTTCGCTGTGCAGAGTTTTCACGCACGCTAAAATCAGGGTTCTTACGCTTGGAATCATGAGCCCAGCACTGTGCAGCCTCACAAAAGAAAACCATCGTCACTGATGTCAAAAGACGCAAAAAACAACGAATGAAATGTTCAAATAAACGTTGAAATATTTGCGAAAAAAAACAAGACCGAGCAGACGACATATTCGGTGCATACACGTTGTGTGGCGACGGCGTTTTACGTTTGCGCTATCGCGCCTAGTAATATACCGCCTGCACAGGAAGCTGTAATGTCGAAAAGCTATCCCATAATGCAATGCGTGTTTTCAAGATTTTCCCCGGATCTCGGCAGAATCGCTATTTGGGGTAGCGAGAATTGGTTTTATTTTTGTGTTAAACCATAAAAAACCCTTAACCCTTACTGTACTGGACTATTTTGAGCACCTCGTGACTGGGGGGGGGGGCCTGGGAGGCCCCCCCCCCCATGATCTTGGCCGTCGAAAGTCTGATGAACGCGAAAATATTTACATAAGGAACAAGATGGTATAATTAGTTTTTTACTAATATGCAAATTTTTGTCGTTATAGCCCAATTAATTATGCAAAATGCTAATTTTATGCATTTTACAGAAAACTCTTCATAATTGTCTATAGACTTGTGAAGAATGGGGGCCTGGGAGGCCCCCCCCCCCCCCCCCCTATGATCTTGGCCGTAAAAAAGTCTGATGAACGCGAAAATATTTACGTAAGGAACAAGATGGTATAATTAGTTTTTTACTAATATGCAAATTTTTGTCGTTATAGCCTAATTAATTATGCAAAATGCTAATTTTATGCATTTTACAGAAAACTCTTCATAATTGTCTATAGACTTGTGAAGAATGTTGAAAATGTATTGAATAAATGTTCCTTCATCTGAAATTCATGAGGTTACATTATTTTTATAATATTTGAAAATGCATATCGGTAGGTTGATTTGCATAAATTATGAATACGCATTCATGAATATCAAATCTAGAAATATACAGGGAACTAAAATCATTACAAAAATTGTCAGACTCCACTTTTTGAATGTTAACTGAAACCCATTATTCATATAAAACTTCTTTTCTAACACAACATAGTTATTTTTATGTAATTAATAATGATAATTTATGCAAATTTGATGCGATTTTCAAATATTTATTTTCTTGTGTATTTCATTGTTTTTTATTTCTTATTATATCTATTGTTTTATTTCTAATGTATTCTTTTGTTCTGGAATACATCAAGTTACTTTGAGAAACATATAAAGGCAATTTGATATCAATTCATAGTATTCACATTTCTGCTTGTACATGAATATATGCAATTATAGCATATTTTTGATGACTTCCCTACAAATTTTTATGTAACACCTTACAGGTATATCCGATTTCAACGAAAATGGTATCAAAATGTGCGTAAGACTTGAGGGAAAAATGTGATGAAACAACAATTCAAAATTCCAAGCGGTTGCGGTGCGATCTCCAAAAATGTCGAGGGGGGGCCTCCCAGGCCCCCCCCCCCCCAGTACAGTGAGGGTTAAAAAAACCCACAGAATCCCATAGAAACATGTACACTGTACAAATACATGTAAACCCCCGCAGCTCCCAATTTTCTCATTAGATGTTAATGAAAGAGCAAACATTTTACTCGATGGTTCTTACCAGTAAAAAAAATTCTGACATTTTACTGTCCCAGAGCCAACTAGTACGGTAGTAGTGTCGAGTTTTCTTGAAAATCTTATTTATTTTTTTTGTTGTTGATTTTTTTAGTATGTTCGGTCAGTTTTTTTGTAGAGGTTGGCATCTCTGTTTCAGTCTGTTCACTTTTGCAAAACTAAATAAATGCAGTGGGAAAATTGCTAAATTACAATGATTTAAAGGTACTGGTATGTCCCATTTGCGGGCCAAAAAATATGAAAGACAATACTAATTTAGAACTTCCCTAAACAAAGAGGGGCTTGAAAAATGTCTTTAAGTGGGAAAACAACGATTATTAGCTGTCAAATGGAATTGGGAGCTATAGAGCCAGTAAGTAGTAGTCTTATTTTTTCAGACTATTGTACGGAATGGTCGTACGTTTTATGCTGCGCAAAGATTCAATCAGTTTAATTTTGGCTATTACAAGAAGTGGGTTATTGATGTACAAATGCTCATGTACCCTTTACAGCTCATTTTATGTTTGTTATTACCAAAGATGAAAAAAGCCAGCCACTCAATAGTGTCTGACAGTGAAGTCTAGCGAGTAAACGGTTTCCTTGCATAATTTGAATATTAGGACACTGCTAAAGTTTAAATTTCACAGATAGGACATACATGTACATGACATATTCATAATTCCTACAAAGTCCTACAGAATTTGATGTTGGCTGCAAAAGGTACATACATGTAGTATCTTTAAATAAAATTCTTACCATTGTAAGATTGTGTGGATCGTTATGATTTAATGTGAGCAGCGTTTCCCTTCCACCAATGAGGGCGCTATTTGATTCACTCCATAGAATACGAAAACCCATCGTACCAGGTTTAGAATATACTTTCTCCACTCCTGCAACTGCAATAATGAACAAAAAAATATATGATTATTCACTAATTTCAATCTCAATTTTATAGAGATGTTTTGATACATAAACCACATAAAGGACAATTTATAAACATAATTTTGTACACTTTAGATGTTGACTATTTAAGGTATTTGATAAGCATGTACTGTACATGACACCATAAACTGTATAAATGGTATGGTATGGTATGGTATGGTATTTATTTCATTCTTCATAAAAAACATATACAATACATACAGAGTATTAAAAAAAAAAGAGAGAAATATATAAATACATGTAGAAGGGTAACATTACAAATAATATGAATACAATAAAATTAACAAGGAAATTAGTTAAGAAAGAAAATTTATGTCGAATGAGGGGTCAACAAAAAAGAGCATTTAGCCTTGTTAAACGTTGACCCCTAAACAAATACGTAATTAACATAACATTAAGAAGAAAAAGAAAGCAGGTAGAAACAGTAAAACGGAAAAGGAAAACATTATACAAAAAAAAATAACATATATATATATATATATACTATGATATTCAGGTTATTGAGTACAAATTTGATAAAAACAATTGGAAGGAACGTTTAAAACTATTTAAGGAAGGTTGATTCTTTAGATGGTTTGGAATCGTGCTCCATAGATGAGGACCTTTATAAAAAATAGTAAACTTTGAAATATTAGTTCTAACTTTTGGCAGATGGTATTCAACAGCATTACGTGTATTATAATTATGTATGTTACTATTTAAAATAAATTTTGATGTGATTGGAGATGGTAATAAACCTCTAGAACACATAAACATAAATATTGCAATATTCAATCTATTAATGTCATAAACATTTAGGAGATTTAACTGGGAAAAGATTGGCAAAGTATAAATGGAAAAGTTTAAAATTGTTAATCACAATTGACAGCATAATTTAAATAACTTGATATGTCCCTAAATTATCATGATGATGTAATTACATCATACTTGTTTATTAATTATGTTATTACATTTTATTTTAATTTAGTGACAGATTAAATTATTCAAAAACATATTCATATGGACACTTGGCATTCAATACTTAGTCTGTGGATTAAACCATGGACTAGAGTTAGTCTGCTTTCGAGAACACCACCCAATATATCACTATGAACATGACAGACAAAGAATGCGGACAAAATATACAGTTCCTCAGGCAGACAAAGAAACATCCCTTCACTGCTATTATGTAAAAAGGTGAATATGCATGGACACCTGTTCTACACACTTTTACATAATAGCAATGAAGGGATGTTCCTTTGTCTACCTGAAGAACTGTATATTTTGTCCGCTTTCTTTGTCAGTCATATTCATAGTGTATGTAATATAAAGCATCTTACCTTCTGCTGGTAGAGTAGCAATGATTGGGGTACTGGAATGACCTTGGATCACCAAACTTGATAAGATCCATGTACATACAATCAACAGCTCCATTGTTGTGTGATGCAGATACTCCTGTGGTAACAGAACAATTGAAGGGTACATGTATTCAACACACGATTTTTGGGGTTAAACAACCTTCACTGTGAGTATAATGGACTGTTTTCTTAATGTAATCAGTTTAAATGCTTAATTCTTTGTTAGGTGGCTTGTTACAATTTATTTCATTCACTTTTTATGAATAATTGTATGTTAATAGTCAGAATTCAAATTGCCAGCATTAGTTCAAGGTAGGACAAACATTATGGCTTGCTCCACTTATGAACAACACGTAATGTATGCAATTCACATTTCGTATTGAAATACAATTATTCATTACAGGTGAATGAAATAATTTGTAACGAAGCGAGGCACTTTACAAAGATGTGAGCATTGAATGAGATTGCATTCCGAAAATGGCCTATTGAAGGGTACTCAACACACAATTCTTTGGGCCAAACAACCCCTACCATGGAGACAATTAAACTACTACAACAGAGACCCTCTCAGAAGCAAAGAAAAACATGATCAACGATGCTGTGGCTCATCTCAAGCAAATTTACCTGCAGTATGTATGCATATACAGTCAAACCTGTCTACAGCGACCACCCAAGGGAAACACAAATAGTGGCCACTGTAGACAGCTAAGACAGGTGGCCGTTGTAGACAGGTGGCCCTTTGCGGCCATTTTGATTTTGAACAATTGATTGACAGCATTCGCAAGACCTCTCGCAGACCTGCCGCGACCCGCCAATGCGACCGGACCAACAGCAGCTGTGAATATACCGACCAGCCACAGCGGCGCAATTCTGCTCACACAGTGAAGTCACAAAATCGTCGGCACTATAAAGCTACAGTACGTGTAGTAGATCTAGTAATGGTCATTTACACACAATAAAACTATTCAACCCCAAACTCGTCAATCAAAACATTTAGTTACCGACGGGATATTGTTTCTTGCACATTTCATGAAAACATAACGCTGCAGAGTTATTGTCATGGATTTCAATCGATGACTGGATTGTTCGTCGCGCCGCACGTTCACAGGCTAGGCTATAGCGAGGCCTGGCGAGTGACGTGGGTGGTCCCTGTCTGTCAATCAAATTTTCAGACTCGTTCATCTTGATTTCTTTTAAATAATTTATGACATGCATTAAAAAAAAATGCCTGACAATTTTAAAGATAGAAAATTATGTTTAATTAATTCGTATTTTTATTTTGTTTAAAAACCGTACCACTCTTTGTGACTTGACCACGGCAGGCGCTTGTAAGACGTTGGTCGGTAAATCATAGCAGACGACAGAAGACATGCACAATCGGTGAACAATAGAATACAAGTGATTATGAACGTCATTTTTCTTATCTTTATAAGGGCTCTGTCCAGCGATGAGGCAGAAATCCCATCAATAAATCAGACAATGCAAAGCGAAATTTGATTACAGAAATAAAAATGAACGAGCCTGAACAATTGATTGACAAGACGCCGCCCCGCCCACTCAACATGACTCTCGCAGGCTAAGCCTGTCCGAACCTTCGCGAACAATGACGCATCGATCGCATGTGTACATGTGACAATGATGCTGTATTGTTCTGTTTTCAATAGGAACGGCACATAATGAAAATGTGTAAGAAGCCATACCTTGTCAGTAATTCAATGTTCAGGATGTTTTACTTAAAGAATGGGTTGAATAGTTTTATTGTGTGTAAATGACAATTAGATCTAGCTTTATAGTTAGCCGCTGTGGCGACGATCGCCTGACTGTGTGAGCGAAATTGCACTAGCGCTGCTGTGGCTGCGGTCGCTACATTTACACGGCTGCTGTTGGACGCCATACGGCTGGCTCTGGCGGTCGTTGTGTGGGCATTTTCGGTGGCCAGCAGAAGCAAAATTGAGTGGCCGCTGGTCGCGCTAGACAGGTGGACATTGCCGACAGGTTCTTAAGTACATGAAATCTCACGGGGGGATTTAAGTGGTTGTTATGGCCAGGTGGTCGCTACAGACAGGTGGTCGTTAACACAGGTTTGACTGTACTCATTTTAAGTTGGCACCCCATTCAAATGACTTTAGATCTTCCTTTCCTGCAGGCAGGTGATTCCTACATATTTTTGTTGGAATTCAGCCATGGGTTTTCAAGAAGAAGAAGAAAATGTACAATTACTGCCCCTCCAGAACTTTGGGGTGGCTGCCCCCAGGCCCTCCTTGGGGATACATTACCTCATTTGAACAACTTTAATTCACCCTTGCCTAAGGAACGCTTCCTACTGAGTTTTGTAAAAATCCAGCTACCGTAATTAACGGTGTATAAACCGCCCTCGTGTATTAACCACACCCCTCTTTTTCACCCTAAAAAAAAACAGCAGCAAGCCAGGTCCGTGTTAAAAAACAGTAGAGGACCTAGGATAGAACCTTGTGGTACGCCATGTAATAGATGAAAAATTGGAGGAATCTTCTTCTTCTTCTTATCGAGTCACTACACAAGTCCCGTCCAGTGGTCCACACAGGCTTTAGCACGGCAATTAACGGCTTCCAGGTCATCTTGGGTGCATGGCTCTGGCAGGAGTGGGCAGACTAGCCTAATTGGAGGAATTATTATTTTAAACTACATCTTGAGATCTATCAGAAAGATTACTTTCAAACCAAGATGACAGACAAATTTGAGTGTTGTTCTATTTTCCCAGAGGTGAGTCAACACACCGATTACTGAGCTGGGAGACATTGCCAGGCATAGTGCCAGGTGGAAAAATCGAAACTTCAAAAAATAAAATAAAAAATAAAATCATTTTTTTTTTTTTTTGGTGTACCTTGTATAAGACGCACCCCCGACTTTGAATTTTTTTCGGCGGCAAAAAAGTGTGGTTTATACACCGTTGATTACGGTATGCATGATACTGAACTTTGTACAACAGTATCTTTACCTATATCTTTAAAATTTGACTATTTTAAAAATTTTGAAAGAGGCAAATTATAAAATGACTTGAAATTACCTGGTAACATATTTTTTGGAATAGGATTTGTAAGGAATTACAAAATAATGTGTAAGAGTTCATGAGCATAACTAAGGCTATAAGTAGGGTGTCTGATCGCGCACCCAATGTTGTGTGCTAAAACCCTTCCCATAGAGATTGTACGCTTCCCTATGTGGTCTACGTGCATTGCGCGACCATCCAAAATTGGTCAATGATTTTATGAAAAAATTTGAAATTCAAACCTTTATAACAAATGATCCTGAAGGTGAAACTCAATAAATGAGGTGTCATATGAAAGAGCAGGTTTTTCTCCATATTCCCCATAGGGGGCCACCCCCAGAATTCTAAAAATATCTTGGTCAAAACAGCGATTGAAATGTTGTTTGCATCCTAGCTCCAAAATTTGCCACTTTCCTGAGCTGCGCCCCCGCGGCTTAAGCAGGGCTAGACGTAAGGATAATATCCAGATGCTTTTTTTTTCGCTAGCCCCAAGGGATCATTTGTTATAACAGTTTGAAAATACCCTTCCCACATTTTTGGAATCAGCTAATTAGGGAGGCGTGAGCTCCGCTCAGTCCAAACCATGGTTACATCGTAACATGTGCGCTTATAGTGAATGAAAGTATGGGTGGCCGATTCTCGCCATAGAACCCGGAAGTGAATACACGTAGTCAATGGCAATATCGCGGAGATTGTCTCCGCGATATTGCCATTGACTACAACGTGTATTCACTTCCGGGTTCTATAGCGGGAACGGCCACCCATACTAGTCAATGGCACATATCGCGGAGACAGCGTGGCTCAAGCTTGCAAGTCGCGCATTGGCTGAGCAACTTGCGTACGATATGCATACGCTTGCATATCGCGCGATACAGCTGTTTGGCTAAATTTAGCAAAACAACATAACTCTGCGTGTACGTCTTTTTCGTCGATTCTGAGCAAAATGCTATGAATATTTCAGCATTTTGAAGGGGCTGTATCTTTTGATAGAAACATCGGCGAGACTCGAAATTTGAAATGTATTATTCTGATTACATTTTTAATTCAAATATCAAACAAAAATGGTGAAAAACGATCCCAAATTGAAAATTGAAAAATCGTTCAGACACCCTACTATAAGACACATGTACATGTAAAGCCAGAAGTGTGTGCTAACAATAACATATCTACAGCACCCTTTTTGGGGGGATGGGGGGTAAGTACTGTGATAGATATTCATCTTGCTCCTGTAAACTCGCAATATTGGCCCAATCGGTAAACAAGAAGGTTGTCCCAATCAAACTAAAAGTAGGCTCAAATATCTGGAAAACCAAGGAAATTTTCACCAACAAAACTTGTAAGTTCCATTCGTTACTTACTTGTATTCAATAAATGATTCATTAAATCATTTATCATATCATTTGAAAGTATACATATAGCAGGTCTTACAAAATATTGCGTGAATGTACTACAATACAGTGTTGCCTGTCTCAAAGCCACACTGTCTTACTTGTAGCTAGGCCTACTCGCTCCATCAGTGACCATTGATTGGTCCCCCATGATCCCCCTTTTTCTTATGTTATTTGAGAGCTGAGTTGATGAAATAACCACCTTTCAGTGACATTGTGGGGTGGTCTAATCCCTCCTATAAACTAGTACATATAAGCTTTAATACACAGTCAGGATAGTAATGCTGCAGATGTGTGGAACCGATGATGAAATGTGAAGTGTACGATTGGTTTCACTTTCATCACATGATCAAAAATGAAAAATCTAAATATTTCGCACTTCTCTCCTGACATCTTGTTTTGAATAATGTTTATGTAAACTTTATGGAGCCGCAAGCGTTATTTCATCAACTTATATCAAGCCTAACTTCATACAATTGTTAAGATTAAATTGATGTCATCATCGATATGGTCTAAGTGGTACTCACCATACACAAATTCAAGTAGATGGGGCTCCACAAATTTACAATTGCAAATCTACACGTCTATGACACGCTATCACGCAGGATCAACACGACAAATACACTATTTCCGAGGACAATCCACCATATAAACCTATAGGAAACGAAGGGAAACGTTATATGATGTTACATGTTCACTTCCGACATCAGTGTACAAATTTTACCAAAATCTCTGAGTGAGTTTTCTGTAGCAGCTAAGCTAAGCGCACATCGTCAGTCATTAGTTCCCGTTCCGCTTCAACGACGTCATCATTACTCATTAACGCATTGGGGATATCACGCCCACCCCATGCCCACCCCCGTTGTTGTTGTTGTTGTTGTTTTTTATGTTGTCGTCTTTTATTTGGCTTTGAATAATTTTTTCAGAGATGAACATCACCCTAAAATCTTTTGGGAAAGGATAACTCACACTTGGTATAGCTCTATGATTAAATGTCGTATGCTTGGGTGCTTCAAAGATCAGCACCATGCAGTCAGGATCGCGAGCCCTTATCTTAAAATATTGAAGCGTCAGTTGATGTACATATCTAAGCCTAATTATAATTATATAGTTTACCATTATTACTTTTTTCACCGGCTTGTCTGATGCTTCATTAATAGAAAACTCAGTCGTCGTTCCATGAACAATCGGGTGAAAGATGATACTGAAGGTTGGCGGGCCCCCCCCCCCTCCAAAAAAAAACAGTAAGGGAGTAAACATGGTTTGTATTTTTAATCCAAAAGAACGTAACAATGATAAAAACCTGAATTAAATCACATATAAATATCCATTCAAAGAAAAAGGAAAGTGACAGGAATTAAATTTCATAAACATTGCGCATGCCACCTATACGGTATTTATCAATGGAGGTCTCTATAATAGCGATACGCGCATATCGTGGACAAATTAGGCGAGAATGGGAAAGCGTGTCCGTTTTTTTTTGTTATAGGGGTGAGAAGACATGAGCCCCTGAACGCTGGCGTACTGATATGGGGGGGGGGGGGGGGGTGGGTGATGTATTTTTTATTCGAAACAAGTGATTTACAAATGTTGATGTTGTGACATGATTTTCCGGCATTTTTTCTCCATTTTTTTTGTAAGTCATACCTTTTTATGCGTTTGTTGGAAAATAAGAAATTCCAAAATTACAGTCAGGCGAAATACGCTTATTTAAAAGCCTTTATGTCATGGTCTGCAAAGTGGCTGGCCTCCCCCCCCCCCCCCCCCCCCCCGTCTACTTTTTGAAAAAGTATGTTAAAGAGAACAATAAAGAAAGACGAAGAAAAAAATAAGTGACCTGCCAATGTCACAAATAAGGTATAAAAAATGCTCATCTGACTGTAATTAAATGCTTAAAACCCCAGAGCTTACGGGGGCTCCGCCCCCTGGACCCCAACAAGGGCTCTAAGGCGGGCCCCTGGATGCTCATCTGACCGTAATGAAATACCTAAAACCCCTAAGCTTCCGGGGGCCTCTGCCCCTTGGACCCCAACAAGGACCCGAAGGCGGGCCTCTGGATGCTCATCTGACCGTAATTAAATACCTAAAACCCCTGAGCTTCCGGAAGCTCTGCCCCCTGGACCCCACCAAGGGTCCAAGGGCGGGCCCCTGGATGCTCATCTGACCGTAATTAAATAACTAAAACCCCTGAGCTTCCGGAAGCTCTGCCCCCTGGAACCCCACCAAGGGCTCTAAGGCGGGCCCCTGGATGCTCACCTGACCGTTATTAAATACCTCTAACCCCTGAGCTTCCGGGGCTTTGCCCCCTGGACCCCACCAAGGGCCCAAAGCGGGCCCCTGGATGCTCATCTGACCGTAATTAAATACCTAAAACCCCTGAGCTTCCGGAAGCTCTGCCCCCTGGAACCCCACCAAGGGCCCTAAGGCGGGTCCCTGGATGCTCATTTGACCGTAATTAAATACCTAAAACCCCTGAGCTTCCGGAGGCTCTGCCCCCTGGACCACACTAAGGGCCCTAAGACGGCCCCTGGATGCTCATCTGACCGTAGTTAAATATTAAAACCTCTGAGCTTCTGGGGGCTCCCCCCCCCCCCCCTTGGAACACGTCAATTGCCTTACAGAGGCCCCTGGATGCTCATCTAACCGTAATTAAATACCTCTGAGCTTCCGGGGGTTCAGCCCCTTGACCCCTGCCGAGGCTCATGCCCTGGACCCCACGCCAATTTACGCTCTACCTGATCGATAATACTCCACTTTGAAAAACGTTTCGCGGGACCTGCATGTAACGTGTAAGACTGGTGGTGATGCAGATTTTTCGTCTGTCCCCCCCCCCCCCTTCCGAACTCTTTTTCTCCTTACGTCACTGCCCCTGGAATGTTTGCCCCCCCCCCCAATCCCATACTGCTTCCGGCGCGCCTGATCGCGATTGGTATATATCAAATAGTTATGTTCATAAATAAAACACCAGAAGCTTACATAATAGGCCTAATTAATTAGGCCTATACTACCCTAGGACCCGAAGAAAAGAAAAAAATTGTGATGTATAATGAGGCCTTAATAAGTCCTCTGGAATGGATAAAGCGATGACATTATAAAACTCTCTCTTTTTTAAAAGCTTTAAATAGAGTTGCTTTATAATCAAATATTGTTAAATATACATTTCTCTTCCTAGCATAGTAACTGTAATATTCTAATGAATACATTTTTTTTTTACAATGCGATATTTTAATTTTTTTTGGCCCGACAAGCAACTGTTGCTTTCGCTTCTCCTCATCCACATAATATAGTTTAATCATTATCTCACCCCTTTGTCGGATAATATTCGTGTATGGTTGTCCGTTTTTTCCCCCTGTATATTCCTTTGTAATTTATGACAATGTAGGCCTACACAATTATTTTGTTTTTTGAATTTGTTTAATACATTATTTTTACTGGAATGTGAAAAATAAATTTCATAGGCCGATATATAATATAACATGAAATAGGCCTACCGCTCCCACCCCACTTCATACATTACATTAAATTATGAATCAGCTTTTCCCTTATTTTGTCCGATTTTGTTTGGTGTATACTAGCCTATGGTCGGAATGAACTACTTTCGAGCCAGCGAAGCGAGAAAATAATGTTTAGACTTCTAATTGCACCGTAGTCATAGATGATGTATAATATTAATGTTAATAAATATTATTATTATCATAACAATAATAATGGTTATAATAATAATGGTAATAATGATAATACCATCAGTAACAATGATAATAATAATGAGAATAGGCCTAATAATGATGATGATAATAATAATGATAATAATAAAAAATAATGATAATAATGATAATAATAATGATAATAATATTAACAATAATAATAATGATAATAATGTTAATGATAATACTAACCATAAAAATGATATTGGTAATAATACTAATACTCATGATAATAATTATTATAATAATGACAATCGAAACAATACTAATAATACAAATGAATTACTCATGTAGCCTCATTAGTATAATACGTTCTTGCTACTGAGAGTCCTGTGATTATTACTACCCCAGCAATGCCAGCTAACCAACCGTGTATAGAGTGGGTATATTATAGGTAAAAACTGATCAAGGATCGAACCCGTGATCCCTCATATTAAAGTCAAGAGCCTTCCCCACTATACTTTATTATTTATCCAGTCATAGCATAAAATGAACCAAGCAACGCTACAAAATACATCGAATTAAAAAACAAAAATTAAATCCTAATTTTAGTCAACGGTCTAAAGTCGAGTTTAAGAAACAAAGCCAGACTGATTCCCCCTCCTTCTCCCCTACCCCTCCCCTCTCTCTCTCTCTCTCTCTCTCTCTCTATCTCTCTCTATCTATCTATCCCTCTCTCTCTCTCTTTCTCTCCGAAATGTTCTTCATTTCCGAAAATCAGAAACTGAACATTAATGTTTGTCGTTCCCACGGAACGCTGGATGTCTGATTACACCGATTATCTTCATAAAACCATAATCTGTTTAATAACGACTTTGTAGGCTAATCATGCAGGTCCTATTGTGTTGCCGACGACAGACCGCTTCTATACAGTATGCCGCATTCTCCGCTAAAGTGTTCAGAAAGTGTGTCGATCTGTTTTCAACCTTGTTTTCGACCGATTAATATCAGTTTTATCAAATTAAGTTATTCTCAGGAATATAGTGTGTTTGAAATACACGGGGTTTGAGACTGTGCTAAACTTAGAAATGATATTCCACTTAGGCAAAAGATGGTCAAACATCGTTTATCCCTATGTCGCTAGCTATAATCATTACAGCTAGCCACCTGATTATAAGTATTATTTTTAATGTTTTAATGACGTGTTCCCGACCAAAGACAGTTAGATAATGTACTCAAATCAAAGGCCTTTGTTATTCTCCATGAGGTTGCATCATTTTCCAATAAGGTGTATAACCAAATGTTATGTTTTCACATTCTCACTGTGGCACTTTGAAAGCATGTCGCCAATATTGCGACCAGATACTTTACCACTTTCCCCCATCAATCAAAAATAGTGTAAACTGTGGTATGCCTATAATTACGGAAGTCCTAAACACTAAAACTCCCCATAAGTAATTTGAAAGCCTACCTCCCTAATATATCCTGAGTGTGGCCAGATGATTACTCAAATATCCCGCAACACATATACGTTATTACCTCAAATAATAGCATTGGGTCATCTTCTTTGTAATTGCTTGAAAGTTAAACACCATAGCTTGTGATCGATAAAAACATTCTTTTCCAAGGACCTCAAATATTATGTCAGAAACGTTACCATGACTTATTTACTAATTTAGGATAATTAATAATCAACATTGTTGATACCAAAAGCGATTTCTGATGAGACGTAAATTTTGCGTTGCATCAGAAACACAACATGACGTCATTATTGATGATCGCGGACTAAGAAAATTTGTGAATCAAAATAAATTATGAACACGCTGTTATTCACACAATGACACAACAATGGCGTTGGAATACAATAGGCAGTAAAAGACCTTCAGTTATTTTATCGATGACTCCAATCTTTTTAGTAGGGCTATATCACTTTAGGTGGATATATAATAATTATGATTCACCACTGTTTGACACAATACAGTCGCGGTTAAAAAAAGTTCTCACAGTTCTGTTTTTATAAAAGTGGTAATCACAGGAACTGTTGCAAAGTTACTACACACCCTCATACGTCATTTTGATAAACATGTTGACAATAAATTCCAAATAGTACAAACAGTGTGTTACTGTTAACGTATCTTTTATGCTATCGAAAAATTGTAAAAACACGGTCTAAAAAAAAGGGTTTTGTTACAAATCCCCCATTCATTGTTTCGTATTCTTTAAGTATCATAGTTTTCTAATCTAAAGGATTTTTATCAATTTTTCATGCTACCTGAATTGAACCCTTTGGTGAAGAAAGTCCCGTATATGTATAGCTGTAGAGTTTTGCTTCAAGAGGCCATCTTCGTAATGTAATCAAATTAAATGCACACATTTTTTTTAAGTGCCTCGTTACAATTTGTTCCATTAACCTGTTACGACTAATTGTATGTCAATAGTCACAATGTGAATTGCGTACATTATATGTTGCTAGGTAGGTCAAGCCATAATGGTTTTCCCTTATCATCTCCTTCTCTCTGCCTGTCTCTTTGTATGTATGTCTCTCTGTCTCTCTCTCTCTATCACTCTCTCTTTCTCTCCCTGTCTCTCCCCCTCTCTTTTTTTTTTGGCTCTCTCTCTCTCTTTTGCCGTCATTCTCTTCTTCTCCTCTTTCCATTTTTTCCTTGACCACGTATAGCTGTTGTAAATTGTTTTGATGTTAACTATAATGTATAATGCAAGTGAACGTCACATTTATATGTTATTTTTTTAAATGATAAGGATCAATTAAATAAACAGATTATAGTACATCTTTCATGATATTCGTGTACAGAGTTCATGGGATCGAGCAAAGCGGATGTACATCATGTTTCGAAGGCCAGGTGCGTGCTGAAAGCATATACTTGAGATCCTCTTTCAAGGAATATTATAGCAAATCATCAGAAATGAGTAGTTAAAGCCCCTAAAGTGCTGGGAGCCCCAAACGTTTGATGGTAACATTTCACTAAAATTGTATCATATAATGTGAACGAGGGTGTCATTTAAGACACGTTTGCGCAAGAATTTTCTACTCAAATGTGTTTGAAGCCGAATATTGATGCCGAAAGAACACAAAATTTAGGATTTCTGCGTACATCAGAAAACCCAAATTATGTATTCTTTCATCAATATTTGTCTTCAAACACATTTGTTTTGAAAATCCTTGAAGAAGGAGAAGGGGAATCTTTTCAGAAGTGTGGCTAGAAATTAATGGTAATTTAAGTGAAATTTGCCACCAAACTTTTGGCAAAATTTTTCTCCCAACACTTTAGACGGGCTTTAAGACTACAGTAAGAATCTATCCCAATTACCGCGAGAAACTTGATAGCTTTCACAACGGATGCTAGAGATATTGATCTTGGCGTTATTCTATGAAGAATATCATATCAGGAAATAGGAGCTGAAAGTGCATTTCGCAATCCTTGTGTTGTTCTACCATATTAACTTTCACTAAATTACACGTATTGAAAATAATAAGTTTATAATCAATTGGGAAGAATGGTGTGCATGACTGTATCAAGCCTTAATGACTATTCGAAACAAGAAATTCAGAGGTGATTAACACCATTCGATACAATTTTTTTATCTGCTCATTTACGCGGGAAAACTTGGATGAATAGTATGAAGGTAGTCTTTGTCCTAGCGGATCCAGAAATCGAAAAACGCTGGTATTGGTGGCGGTGGTAGGGGAGAGGGAAGGGGAGGGGGAGGGGGAGAGGGAAGGGGAGGGGAGGGGGAGAGGGAAGGGGAGGGGGAGGGGGAGGGGGAGAGGGAAGGGGAGGGGGAGGGAGAGAGGGGTGCACGAAATTTTCCTTAGGAGTGCATGGGTATTATGCTACCTAAATGTTGTATTAATGAAGCCATTTCCCAAAATATGGGTCACCCATCATTATTCAAACTTTTCTATACTTTTCCAGTGCATTTAATAGTATTTTTATTGGGGTGAAGGTGAGAGGGGGTGGGGGTTGTTAGCCGAATCTGCTTCATACGGATGGTATGCATATTTTTCGTTGGTTTTTTTATGTTTAATAAAAGTTGTTTTAATTTAATACGCCCAATTTAAATCTCCTTCTCAGTACTGTTTTGAAAATTTTAAAATGAGTACATTTGGACCAATAATTCCTAATATTTTCACATTACCTCGAAGCACACCCTTTTCTTTACATTCTGAATAAACATGTATATTTTCAAATAGGATTATCCTCAGAATAATCCTAGACGTGGCGATGGTGCACATAACTCTTGTAAATTGTGGTGCATATAAAGCATCACTACATTCATGTCAAGTTAATCTCTCTTTTTTGTGCAATATTACAAAGATATGCAAACGACGTGTCTTTGTACTGTTATCCCTCAAGGAATTACCCTCATTATTTCCTTGTTAATCAATCCGATGCCATGTTTTAATACTAGTTCGATAATTAATTTCTTTCCCTCACTGATATCTCAATGAAAATGTGAAGAGAACGAGAAAGCCAAAACACAGCTAGATCCATTTCCCTTGCATGATGTGGACAAGACAAGGACTTCCTGAAGTTTATCAGTGGAATCGGGCTGATCTGGGATTATCATTAGGTATAAGATAATCACCTTTCATCGCTCGATGAGAAAGGGGAAGTATCACCCCATGCCCCCCTTCGAGGTATAAATCATTCGCTTTGTAGAACCATGGGTCCATGGTAGAACCTATGGTGACAATAAGGAACATGGATTGATTTGATTACTGTACAGGGAACTGATTATTCATGACTATTAACAATAAGTTTATTCTGTTAAAGGCCCACTGCACTACTTGTAGCTACTTGCGCCCTCTATATAACAAACAATGCATAATCGGTGACCATCGGTCCCCCATGATCCTCTTTTTCTTATATTAACTGAGAGCTGAGTTGATGAGATAACCACCTGTCCAGTGACCTTGCAGGGCGCTCTAATCCCTCCTGTAAACTATGGCAGATAAGCTTAACGCTTTCCTCATTAATACATTCTATTTTAAAATCTAAAATAAGTTGTCGAATTTTCAGGTCCATTATCCTCAGACTATAGCAGAGGAGAATGCTTATTACTAGGTGTCTGTTGAAACTTATATTGTCACCATGGGACATTTTTGTAATCATTTATATCATTTTCTTTCTTTTACTTAATAAATGTGCACTAATTAAGGTACTTCTTGCCGGGGGCTTTGTTTCCCTCAACCCTGACCATCAACTGTGACTATACCTCCTTTCGTTTCGATTCCTTTTCTTGAATGAACCCATCCCAATAACACCAATTCCGTCTGTCAACTTCGACCACCCCACCCTTTTCGTCTCCAAAATCAACAGATGCTACTCCAGTCATCCTTAGACTTGATACGAACGCCAGGCATGTAATTGACATAGGAGCTAGAGGCAAAAGCGTGACAATGAAACATTGTCAGGAAAACAGACCCGCATATTCTACAAAAGCAGCAATGAAATCAGCAGTCAACACACTAAACGACATATCGATTAACATCGTTATGCGCATGCGTTGTATTCAGAAGTGCTCACCAACTTATTTGAACGAAATGAATTGGGTCACTGTCTGACTGAAAGAGGGAGAGAGCGAGAACGCGTGTGCAGTAACCAATAAAAGCCACTCAGAGCTTGATTTCACTTCTAACTCCTGAGCAAATAAGAGTCAGACAAATTTGTTTTTATACCTGCGTTTCAACAAGAGTTCATTATTATTTTCTGTTACCAGTGAAGTCGACAAACGTTCGCAGATATACTTCCCTGGAACATGCTATCATGCATTTTAGTGCTGGAACATTGTCTACCTCTTCTAACATGTTGAACACTTCTATCCTAGTTTGCTGAAAGTGAAATGCAACAATATTTTGGAGAAAGATTGACGAATGAGTGATGTTTTTTTAAAATAGACTTGATCAACTTCTTTTCTATCAGCAATAGACAAGCCTAGATGTGGTGATAATATTTTATGCGCATGCGACTTCTGCAAGGAACTCCAAAGCATCACACTTATATCTTAATTTGATCGTCATCATTATGGCAAACTCCACCGTCGTAATGACGTCTCTCGTCGATAATGGATCGACACATGTGGCACTGGCGAGTAATACTCAGTTCATCGTCATTTCTGTCTGCTACATCATTATCTGCATCTTTGGCATCGTCGGTAACTCCATGGTCATCGCCGCCGTCGCACTCTGCCGAAAACTACAAACAGCAACCAACGTGTTCGTGGTCAGTCTTGCAATCACCGACCTGCTATCATGCTTGACCCTTCCCTTCCAGGTGGCCATGTTTCTGAGTCGAGATGACAGTACACGTCTCCCCGATGGCCTGTGCGCCTTCATAGGGGCTATCAGTATCATCTGCTTGGTGGGCAGCATCCTAACATTGGCTCTGATAGCATTTAATCGATGCTTTCTCATCACACAACCAAGAAAGAGGTATTCCTGGCTCTACACGACGAGAAAGTTATTCACAATGACCGCCATTGCTTGGTTGTATCCAACCATCGTACTGGTTTTGCCTCAAGCCGTCGGCATTGGTAAGCTTGGTTACTCACCTGCTTATAGGGCGTGTCTGTGGGATGATACTGATGATCTTGCATTCGTGAGTGATATCTTAGTCGCTATCACATTCTTATTTACCTTCGCCATTATTCTCTTCTGCTACATCAAAATCTGGATCTACATCCGACGTCACGTTCGTCGTCTGCGAAACCACTCGACTTCAAAGTTACCCCCGAGTGAACCGAGCAACTTGGATGATCTCAGCAGTACTCAGGAACACCATACGGATACGAGTGCAGGTCCAAGTCAAACACATAGCCACGCCCATGCCAATGGCGGCAAAGTGGAAACGAAGAAACGAACTAAAAAAGTAGTTAGTACACGCGAAATTGAGATTACAAAGAATCTCTTTTACGTCATTTGTGCGTTTTTTCTGTGTATCATACCATATACGATTACGTTAATCCTCCCTCCAGGGCCGATCCTTGATCTTCTTGTACTCTACGCAAGCATCCCGCTTGTGTTCAATGGCTGCGTCAATCCCATAATATACGCCTACAAGCATCCCACCATGAAAGTGGTCTTTCGATACATCATCAGATGTCAGATAGGTTCGATCCCTAAACCTTCCAAGTGTCTTCGCCGTGCGATGAGCCTACACCAGCATTCAGAGGGGAGAGGGGAGGGGGCAGTCAGGACACTCAATGTGCGAGATGGTCACCCTTCATTTTGTAGCTTGAAGAAAGACTCGTTTGTGAGACAAAACTCGAACAATCCATCTAGATCGTTTGGAAGCGCGAGGAAGGAATCGCCAGACAGACAAAGCTCGCAGAATAACTGATGTCATTAAAGGGATCCATCGCTAACTTCATGTAATCAAAATTATGACTGTTAACTTATTGATAATATAGTTGGGCAAATTTTTGATCGCTTTTCATATCTTGACACGATTTGAAATTAATGAACACCAATGATAAATGTGTACTTTTGTTGTCAGTACATTATTGTAGCCTATATACATTTGAAATATTAAGCACAGGGTGCTTTGATCAATCAACTATATCATATCATCATCATAGACAGTTCTCAATATGAAGTCAGTACTTTTAATAAATCGAACACTACTAAATTTACATTTTGTTACGCAGGAGCGTCGCCGAGGGGGAGGGGTTAGATAACCATTTTTGTCGACGGATTTACAATTCGTACCAAAGACCTGTCTAAATATCACCAAAAGCTATGACTTTTCAGTATATAAATTATTTCATTATTCGTTTCAGTATTATTACTCTAATATAATTTTGTGTAGATATTGTGCATCCACTGTCGGCAAATTTGGCCGGGATCACCCCTCCCCAATTAAAAAGGTTTAGCGGCGGCCTGCGTGTATCTGAACTTAACTTTTTAAACGACATGCGTATTGTATATAATTTACTTTATGGATTCTTGAGAAATTCTTAATTCTTGGGCGTATGTCAATGTGACATATAAAACCAGATAAGACCATAAAAACTTTGAGACTCTTTTCGTTTCTCAAAATTATAGTAGGAAGACTTCATCATTTCTATACATTAGACTTAGAAATAGAAGGTGACTGTTCGAGGTTTCCAGCATCTAGACCAAGAACTAGATAGTTTATTCCTCAGCACTATACATCCTGACTTATGGATCCTGCTGAGTATCGTCGTAGAAGTAGAAGAAGAAGTAGTATGAATGCAACATTGTCAATTCCAAGTAATATAGAGCCCCCTCATATTTTATGAAAGAATTTGTGTATGTTTAGCTGTAAGACTCATCACATTTACTAAATGTAACTGCTAAAACTGATACGAGTTTAACAAAAATCAGAACTGTACAAAATGTAATTATCATGCAATAGTCTTCATTCTGAAATATTTGGAAGTTTATTTCTTTTTAAGGTATACGTATAGTTATAACAAATTTAAACATTTTTGACGCGGTTTCATTCTGTTAACCTAATTTTACAATATAATTTCATCTGAACACTATTATTCTCAGAAAGGTTACATACATTGCCATTCATTTGAAACTTAAGTTCTATGAATGGGTCTGTGTCGCCACATGCTGTCATGGAGATGATAGACCTTTTCCACTTCATATTGTATCTTATTACAATATTAATATCATTAGTCTCAAATTAAACTATGTCTGATAAATTCATCGTGGTATTATAATGTAGGCATTTGGTGCTTTCTCACCTAGTTCCCAAGCCGCCGAATATTAATTTGGTGATTATAGTACTTTATTAAGACTGTACTGTATTAAGAAAGGGTGATACATGATATTACCATTGTATATCGAACGAGAAATTTAGAACTCTGCTATATCCTGTCTTAACTACGTCATATTGCATGCAGTCTGTTGTTTTAGAGGAAGTTGATGCCATGACCCTTTATGGCCTATATACTTTTCAGATAATGCATAATTAATCTACAACGTGATGTTTATTTGTTTAGGCCACGTTTTAGTGGTTCGTGACATGAGTATTATTTGTTTATCTCCCTCATTTCCTCGATACAGGCTACAAGGTTCTATGTTGATACAAACAAGATCAAATCATGTCACTCGGGACACGGTCATGTGATAGCACCAGTCAATGCCAATGCCGATGGTTGCCATTTTCAAGTGCATGCTAACGGATACTTTTAGAGGTATTTTGGCTTCAAACCTACCAACAGAAAAGAGTAATGATTAGTCACTAAAAACGAGGATTAATGTAATCATAGGTTTACATGGCATGGGAAAAACCCATCATCCCCTTGCCTTGCCAAAAGCGCAACTTTATAGTTGGTAAAATGTGCCACCCTGTATAAATATCAGAAATAAATAGATAAATAAATAAATAAATGATATGACAGTAAAAACATTATTATGACTACAAAAATTCTTCCATGCTTTTCAGTGCTTTATTTTGACATATTCGTGCATGTATTTTTTTTAAAGCAACCAAGACAAATAACCGGGAGAGCACTCATGTTGCTTGTACCGTTGTACGATCTTATTAATATTTTTTGTTCAAACTGAATGTCTTATCTGTAGCGCATGAACAAACAAACATGGATATAAAATTACATAGTAATAATCCTACTTCAAGGTGATTTCTTAGATTGTGTTTAAAGGAATGTTTAATCTCAAGCGCATGAACAACAATACAAATAAACATGGATATAACATTACATAGTAATAGGTGATTTCTTTGCATACAATAGTAGGACAGCCCCAGGGATATCAAGTACCCTGGAAAATATGATTCTTGAGATCGTAATATTATACTTCCTGGTACATAAATGATTTGATTGTTAATCACTCAAGCATTGTGATACGAGTGCTGTGACGATAACCTTGTGTTTGCTAGAAAATTTCCTCAGCATCGAGCATCTCTGTAGAATTTTTCTAATATACGATAGGGGGAAATGTTTGTTACATTAGCATAAGTCAGGTTGCAAATGAAGTTTTCCTTATTTTCCCTTTCACATTATGAATTATGATATTCTATTCGATTTCATAGTTTCACTTTCTCCCATCTAAGTGAAGAGGAAAGGTATATCTCATCATCGTTCTTTTCCTGTTAAAGCAAATCTAAACAAAATGGAGCGTTTTGAAATGAAATAGGTATTGATATGATCTTTACCATCCGTTATATCTGATAGCTTGAAGTATTTCTATACATGTCAGTGTAGGTGAAATGAAATGTTTTCTATATTCTATGTCTGAACATGTTTTCTATATTCTATGTCTGAACATGATTTAAACCATGCCTTGAATTTCCGTTTGAAATCATCTGTCCTTACATTAAAGCATGTCTCGTATTTAGTCACGGTTAGGGTTGCAATTGAATGAAATACATATTGTTGGCTTTTAACGGATATGCTACCCTGTAGAGAGTTCATGCGGAATGAGTGGAAATGGGTGAGCTAGGCGATCGAGATCGAGAATCATGTTTTAACGAGAACCACCACCCCCCCCCCCCCCCCAACAACCACAACAACGCTGTAACCTTGATCGAGGTAAGCCAAGAAAGACATATGAGTTCAGCTCGTTTTGTAAATTGATATGTCCATTTTTTTTGGACAGATGCCATTTGTGGATTGAAAAATGCGCTCACACTTGACCTACATGTATATCCTACTTGTAGTTTTTAACGAAGGTTTAACATACTGTACATATAGATTGTCCCCTCCCCCCCCCCCCCCCAACCCTGGCGGACAAACAAATCTGCCATACTTTTTATTTAGACCTGTGAAAGAAAACAATTACCAGTCGTCTAGTCAAGTTCAATCACAGGCCCAATAACAGACTAGTTTTGCGAGAGTCCCCCTGCTTGGTCATATAAATCTAGATCCGCTAGAGGATATACCCATCTCTTGAATATTATTGTTTACTACTTCTCGAATCTTTCATTGATCGTCTAGTAATCACCCAAAAAAACCTTCTTGATCGAAAAGTAGATGTTGTGAAGGTTAGATCTTGAGAACCTTGCCTTGTGATGTAATAGCATGCATGAGTCACACTCGTGATAACCTACTTTCACCACACTCATCCAAAGCTATTGAAGTTTTCATACATCTGCACTCGGTAGTTGATCTATTAAAGGTAAGCGTTCTTTAGCAGTTCAATCTCAATTACATTTCCATACAGGACTGGCTAGAAGCCAACTGTCTATCTTGAACAATGTACCGGAAGAGAGAAGTAGTGGAATTCAATTACGTCTTGAATGTATTGAATGATAAAATATGGTATATAACGTATTGTAAATCATGGGTGTATTGGATTAAGTGCTATTTGATTTTGTTAAGATCATTGTAACATAATTATCAGTATTACAGTATTTGATTTTGATTTGACATGGAAGCCTTACATTTATGATACGATTGTACTGCACCTTTATCATTCCAAGCCAAAACAAAAATTTAAGAGGAGTTGATAAACGACTCAATAATTGTATTTTGAGCTCATGAGTGCTAAACGAACTTTCTCCTTTCCGTTACATTTTTTTGCGTCATACTGCATGAACAAAATCACCGCAGAACTGTATTTGATTTGACATTTTTTTTATTTAATTTGATCCTAATGTTTTGGTGTATATTTCTGAGCTCCTTGATGTATATATTCATTAAATCTGTGGGATAGTAAAACTCAAGACGTTCAGTTGTGCCTTTGTAAACGTGACGGTGAGAAAGAGGAATTCGAGCGAGAGGGAGAGAGAGAGGGAGTGAGGGGGAGAGAGAGAGGGGGGAAGAGAGCTAGGGGAGAAAACAGAACATTGAAATAATTAGTTGTATTGACTGAAAACGAGTGCAGTAGGAGAGAAAAGGGAGAGGGGAAAAAAGGAAAGGAAGTTGAGAAAGAGATACATACATGTATAAAGAGAGAGACACAGAGACACAGAGGGAGAGAGAGAGAGAGAGAGAGAGAGAGAGAGAGAGAGAGGTGTCCTGAAAATTGATTTAAACCAGTCATCATCTTCTTAGGCCAAGGAGTTGTGATAGCTCTCCTATAACCCCTTGATCAGGCTAAAATGGGATTATCAGTGGACATTGTCTTACCATACTTTTATATAAAATGATGCGCATAATTATAATCCTCCTTTGATTTTGAAATGATGTAAAGATGTATGACTCGGAGGTCCTGGATATTGATACGAGATTTTCAGATAGATGGGCGCCTGCATACCCTAGTGCATGCATGATATAGCAGTAGCTCCGAATGGAGGAGGAGGGGGTGGGGAGGGGGACAGAAAAACCTCGCGTTGTATGCTTTGCCAATGTGCTGAAATAGAAGGAAGTGATGGTTGGGGGAGGGGTAATGCTCTGGAGCCGGCATTGCATGTATAGAAACGATTAAAAAATGCGGGTACATTATCTTGGCGTACTGGCAAAAGGGGCATCGTCATGACCGTTAGAAGATTTGACATCGTCCGAATGCCAACGTTCCAGTTTCTAAATCGTGTCATTCTATTACGTAATTTTGTCATAAAAATATATTAGATAACGATTCAAATATAAAAATAGACCGCCTCATTATTTGCATAAGAGGTGACAAAGACTTGAATATTATATATTCTAACGTTTACGGAGCCGGGGGGGGGGGGGGGTGTAGGGCTGCAACCTCACATATCGTAAGCTTATATGTGGTCTTGCAAAAAGCTTAATCTTTACTGATATGCCACACTAATAGTTACCCGAGGCAAGAGGGGCTTGGGGCTGCAGCCCCGGAGAAAATATAATTTTCCAATATTTGAGCAACCGCCGTCCAATTGTCTGGCAGCAAGATGGTTTATATGTAAAATATATGTTAATAAGTATCTTTTAACGACAAAATTTACATTTTTGCTAAAACAGAGTTTAAATAATTGTTAAAACCAGTGAGTTAAGTTTTAAAAAAAGTTAGAAAATAAAAATAAACGGTGAAATTAATATTGTACCAAGATGGGTCAGGCCAGGCGCAGATACA